GCGGACGTTCCACTGTCTTCAAGGAATGATGAAGTTGGTATCGTCTTCCCAGTAAACCAAAACACGTTCCAATATTTTGTTTACTTCTTGTGACTCGCCGGGTTAGAGTTCAAAATCTAGAGGTCGATCGAATACAAAATTTACCCGCGCGCTTTTCATTGGCCAATTTGATAAGGCTATTTATAGTCACACGAGATTACTTTTTCGCATAGGGCTTCGCTTTAATAACGATAAAGTCCTACCTCATATTAATCATAACTATTTATTGTTAAATACAAATAGTATGGACACAACAATAACAATTGAAAACAAAAAATATTCCCTTTTTAACAATAATCAAGCAGCCGTCGTAAGTTGTTTACGACAATAACGTAAAACTTTGGAACGATTTCCGGCACCATGCTGTCGAATGTATGTCCCGAATTTGACACTTTTTCAACGAAAACACGGGAAATCAACTTCTTATGCAATTAAGAAACTATTGCTTAAATGATTAAATGCACAGGTCTTCCTTCTGATGTAATATTTTCATTGAAATCGGCATGATTTTCAGACATGACTGGTCAAGGTAACCGTGAATATTTGTGAAAGGCATGCTCGTTGTCTTATCGGAATTTCTGTTCGGTAGGCCTAATTATTTTAATTTGATATACAGTCCTACAGCAATTAACTGCATCACATGTTTTGTTAAGACTAACAGGTATGACCAGCAAGCGATGGTCTATCTATTGTTTTCCGCTGACTGGGGTGAAGCGAGGTGTGAAAAATTTACCTTGAGTGGACCGATGATTACCTCGGGCGATGTACAATTAGCCGGACCTATTACGTAATTGTCCAGGTGTTTCACACGGACAACTTACTTATAAAATCCATTCACAGCAGAAAAAAAATCATAGTAAGCGGGGTCCTACCTTTGACCATATAATAATAAACGATATTTTTTTGCCTAGATAAAGAAGGAAAAAAATCGGTACATGGGGGGAAAATATCATAATAACCGATATATATACATAATAAATGGGTTCCACTGTACCAAAAATGTTCTAACTTTATAAAGTTATACCAAAGTTTTTCACAAGTATTGGCATTTTTTTCTAAGTCCAGAAAAGGTACAAAAAGTTATACCAAAAATATGCAAAGTTTTTCACCTGCATTGAAATTATTTTTTAAGTCCAGAAAAGGTACAAAAAGTTATACCAAAAATATGCAAAGTTTTTCACCTGCATTGAAATTATTTTTTAAGTCCAGAAAAGGTACAAAAAGTTATACCAAAAATATGCAAAGTTTTTCACCTGCATTGAAATTATTTTTTGAGTCCAGAAAAGGTACTAAAAGTTATACCAGATTTTTTTAAAGTCCAGAGAAGTTACAAAAAGGTACACTATTAAGTTTAAGTTTAAATTAAGGTATCGAAAAGTTATAACTTTTTTGTACCTTTTATCAGGAGTACAAAAAAGTTACTGAAAAGGTACGAAAAAGTTATAACCTATTTGTAACTTATTTCGGTATGTGTGTGTGTGTATAGAAAGCCAATGAAATACACTTTTTTCTCAAAAAAATTGCAGAAATAGAAAAGACGATGATCCCAAGCATTCTTTAATGTCCCCAAGCAGAGGACATTGAAAAAATAAAGAATTTATTTCAACTCACGGTTCCATAGAAAGTGTTCATATCTTTGAGACCGAATCTATACGAAATGTATCTATACTTTTAACTAAAATATATACTTAATGACAAAATATATCTAACAAATATATCGTAATGATAATAACTCTTTAAGCAATCAAAGTAATACAATTTAGTAATATTTCCTACCTGTACCACAAGTTCAGTGTGTCCATCGTTCACATGTACTACAACATATCGCTTCCTGGCGAGGCCGGACAATCTTAGTACACGTACGACAGTCGTCAGACATGATGAACGCAATGAAGTTACCATCGAAATATTGCTCCATATATGACAAAATTATTCTATTCAAGTTGCCGACTGTCTGTTTAGTTGAAATCATACACATTTGCATCTTCACACTTGGAAGATCGACAAAGATCGAATTCAACAAGATGTGATGACAAAAAAATTCAACGGCTGTCATCAAATAAAAGTAAAAACTACGTCGGGGGACTATACAGCCATGGTGTTTAGTTACACGGCGTTTTCTAGAAGCCATACAGTTTCCAACGCACGAGGTAATAAGATAAACAAAAGACGGTGATTGTTATGTGTCTTAAATAGCAATCTTACTCCGTATGTTTTCACAGGTGTATTTTGTTTTAGACAACATGTAAAATGAAAAGACAACAAATGTGAAAAAATAGTTTTATTTATTTAAAAAAAACTAACATGAATTATTCATTATATAAATAAATTTAACCTAAAATTGAATTCCAAATAAACATAATAATATACAATATATGAGGCCGGAACGACTAAGTATACGGGGCCGGACCGGGAAGGGGCCGGAACTACTAAGGTCAGAACGACTAGGGACGGAACAACTCGGGGGCCGGAACGACTTGTATTCTTAAGGGACACACTTCCGTTGTAAACAAGCATGGCGACCGTTCAAGTTTTGTGTCCAAACGGACGACGTCAAAATGTGAAAACTACGCCGAATACGAAGCTTTTACAGGTATACAGTGGAAAGACATTGTAAAACACTCTTTTTTAGTCGTCGGAGAATATTAATCTTGATTTGTTTTATCCTTTCATCGCCATTATCGATTTCCTGAAAGTGAAACTAGAAAGAGCAAGTCATGCTAAATGTTCTTATGACATTCGAGTCACTGTGAATTTTATATCCCTGTATTTATCTACTTTGTTTGTGTAAAGTGTTTCTCATTTAATATGTATGTAATAATGGGCTTTTGAAGTACCTAATTACTTAATAATTAATTTTGTATTTTTGAACACTGGTCGGCTGCTTGTGTATCTCGGTCATCTCGGCACTTGGAGAGTTCGGCACTTACGTTTCGAGTCACGTCGGCATTTTCAATGGGACACCTCGGCACTTGTTTATTTTTATTTTGGTACTTTATAAAACAACAAATATTTTGGTACTTTATAAAACAACAATTGATTTTTTTTCCTGTACATGGTCTTCTATTTTAATTACACAATTAATGTGTTATTGTTTTCATTATGTTGTGTTTACATGTTCAAAACATGTACGTGTAAAGAATGGACTTCTATTGTCATTCTTGTTTATTTTAATGCACGGTTTAGTTGTTGTTAAAAAAATAAAACACGCAAGTTTAGTTGCAACAAAGTGTATGTAGAGCGTTAATGACTGTAAGTGTTTGTTTTCACATTCATGTATCTTGTCATCATGCACAGGTGGTTGTGATCATTAAGAAAACAACGAAGCCATGATCATACAAGTTGTAGCTAAAGCGTAAATTTCAGAAACGTATTTTCTTTGAAGTTCGAAATCATTTTGACGCAATGTATTAACTTCAAAAACACACGCCGCAAATCAATGTTTCTATTACATCAGTAGGTGTTGATTCAAAAAGAATCAATTTAACCAATCAATGATGAAATTGAAAAATGAAAGAATATCGCAGGATATAAATTAGGTGCCTGTAAACTGAAGTATTACACTTAATCGAGTCATGTCTGATCCACCGGCAACTTGTGTTTCGTGCACTCGTGTTGAAAGACCGCGTCAGGAGGCATTGCAGTGCGACAGTTGCTCGCGTTGGCAGCACCGAATAGGCAAGTCTGGTAAGTACCTGAATTAATTAAGTCGAATTATATGGAACGTGTACTGGAAAGATATATTGCAGTAGTGTTATCTGTATTCGTCTTATCGTATTCTTTGTAAATGGTTATGTATACCAATTTAAAACTTTCGTTATTCTAAAAATTGTAAAATTGTGATTGGGTTAAAAAGTATAACTGCAATTATCTTTCAGTACATGCTCCATTATCAAACTATTCAATATGATGTCATTTAAAGAAAGTTTACATACATGTATTTGTTTTTAATATTTTTGCCAGCTTTTTGAAAAGTTGAAAATCAGTATATTATTAGCACTAGCTGTAGAAATACTGTCAGATGATTAAGGAGGATAACTAAATAGTTAATATAGGTAATATAATGACCACGTGTCTGTGATAGATAGTTGAAGGGCAATTGGTAATGACCACGTGTCTGTGATAGATTGTTGAAGGGCAATTGGTAATGACCACGTGTCTGTGATAGACAGTTGTAGGGGGAATTGGTAATGACCATGTGCCTGTGATAGATAGTTGTAGGGGGAATTGGTAATGAGCACGTGTCTGTGATAGATAGATGTAGGGGGAATTGGTAATGACCACGTGTCTGTGGTAGATAGATGTAGGGGGAATTGGTAATGACCCCGTGTCTGTGATTGATAGTTGTAGGGGGAATTGGTAATGACCACGTGTCGGTGAGAGATAGTTGTAGGGGGAATTGGTAATGATCACGTGTCTGTGATAGATAGTTGTAGGGGGAATTGGGAATGACCACGTGTCTGTGATAGCTAGTTGTAGGGGGAATTGGTAATGACCACGGGTCTGTGATAGATAGTTGTAGGGGGAATTGGTAATGACCACGTGCCTGTGATAGATAGTTGTAGGGGGAATTGGGAATGACCACGTGTCTGTGATAGATAGTTATAGGGGGAATTGGTAATGACCACGTGTCTGTGTTAGATAGTTGTAGGGGGAATTGGTAATGACCCCGTGTCTGTGATTGATAGTTGTAGGGGGAATTGGTAATGAGCACGTGTCTGTGATAGATAGATGTAGGGGGAATTGGAAATGACCACGTGTCTGTGATAGATAGTTATAGGGGGAATTGGTAATGACCACGTGTCTGTGACAGATAGTTGTAGGGGGAATTGGGAATGACCACGTGCCTGTGATAGATAGTTGTAGGGGGAATTGGGAATGACCACGTGTCTGTGATAGCTAGTTGTAGGGGGAATTGGTAATGACCACGGGTCTGTGATAGATAGTTGTAGGGGGAATTGGGAATGACCACGTGCCTGTGATAGATAGTTGTAGGGGGAATTGGTAATGAGCACGTGTCTGTGATAGATAGATGTAGGGGGAATTGGTAATGACCACGTGCCTGTGACAGATAGTTGTAGGGGGAATTGGTAATGATCACGTGTCTGTGATAGATAGTTGTAGGGGGAATTGGTAATGACCACGTGTCTGTGATAGATAGATGTAGGGGGAATTGGTAATGACCACGTGCTGTTAATAGTTAGTTGTATGAAATGCCCACGTGCCGGGTTGATATACTTAGAAAACTGTATTTAATGTTCATATTATATACGTCACGATATACTTAGTAACCTATTTAATGTTCATATGTATTCGTCCCGATATACTTAGATAACTGTATTTAATGTTCATTTTATATATACGTCCCGATATACTTAGATAACTGTCAGGCCATCAGAGAGCGATTTGGCGAAGATTCTAAAATACAGGGATGTGCATTCCACTGGCCCAGGCCCTCTGCAGGAAGGTGCAGGAACTAGGGATGCAGGTAATAATTATAACTGAATAATATTACAAGTTAACCAAAAGTAATATCAATATTTTAAAGTGGCTTTCATAGGCTCTGTTTGTTTTTCAATTCAAATTGCATAGATAATAGTGATGTCATGAAAGTTCATTCAGCTCAACTACCAAAATTGAATTAGAATTATAAAGATAACATTTCTTTGCAATTTTAGAAAGCCTACAACGAGAAGAACGATGTTTATACATTCTTGAGACAGGTGATGGCGCTCAACTTTCTGCCCCTTCAACACATCAGATCAGCGTTTGATAAGTTGGACAACCAGGCCAATTCCCCTCAGACCCGTGACTTTATGGACTATGTGTACAGAAGCAGGTAAATATAATATTACGATGACGTAGGCGATTTATAGACCCATCAATAAACTATTGTACGGAAAACAAAATAAGAAAATACAGATACAACTCATAAACGACAATAAATAAACGAGTAAAACATAATATGATTTGATGAGATAAATAACATATTCCATAATGTCTAGGTTATTGTTACAAGCTTAGAAGTTATATGCTTCCATGTCTCCAAGAAGAAGAATAAATAACCCGCAGTATACATTTGATATATAACAATTATTGTTTCTATTTAGAGTCTTCAAAATCCATGAATGGAGCGTGTACGGCGAGTCCATCCGGACCAACAACGATGTAGAGGGATGGCACAACCGTCTCAACTCCCGGTGCAGCACCCGTGGTCCAGTGCCTTTCTACCTTCTGATACAGGAACTGTTCAAGGAGGCCACCGCGATCCCCCTGCAGATCAGAATGATATCAGAGGGAAAGCTGCGACGCTTGCAACGGAAACGCACAACAGAGGTTCAGGGGAAGTTGTTCCGACTTTGAAGAGCGTACAGGAGGCAGGAGATGTCAACCAGCAGGCTTCTGCGAGAGTGCTTTTTCCTCCTATAGTGTTCCGTTACCTAATACATGTGTTCATTTACAAAACACATCTATATAGAACATTTCATTGACTTAAATTAGATAATTTAATATTCATTATATTTGATCATAATAAATTGTCCAACAAAGTAAATTTTCTCATTATTTCTCAGTATTATTGTTTTCGATTTATGACTAATAAATTAAAATGTAGTGTTTTAATCGAGTTCTTAGTGTGGCGTTATTATTGCTGTGAACAAACGTCAACTAATGACTTTTCATGCATCATAACGTGATGCCACCCAAAATTGAACATTTCAAAAAACCGTTTCAGTTGGGGTATCACGTTATATATTTTTTAAGAATTTGCATAAATTACAACAAATTAGAATAATTACAGAATTAAATTAATTAAATTAAAGATAAAATGATATAGACTCTTAAACTATTCGACAGTTGATTGTCTGGACAATTAGAATTAACTCATTAAAAACATTTTTCCACTTGAGAAATATGATGGTGGATGGATTCCATAGAAGACATACCACTTTCAACGAGTTATTCCCCTTTATACTTATTTTGAATACATATCACCACAAGTTGTGGATACGACGACACAAAATACCAACAAAAGATTAACGGATTTCAGATTAAATTGCAACTTAAACATCAAACTAGAAAAAATAAGTACCGACTTGTCTTCACAAAGTGCCGAGGTAACCAAGTGCCGAAAATATAAGTGCCGAGGAAACCAAATGCCGAGGCGTCTAGCATTCATTTGACTACATGTAGTTATATTCTTTTATTTCTACATGGACATGTCTTATATCAGTACTGAAGGTGTAGATTTGTTAATGGTGGTGTGTAACATGTCAACATCTTTCCTTTCACACAGGTTTTGGAAGATGTCTGCCAAAAGCAAGGATTCATGCCCCCAGATGATTATGGATTTATGTAAGAGAATGAAGGCTGTTTTTCCGAACCTAACATATGAATATATTTTCTGTTTCATTGCCTCCACAAGATGGTTGAAAATCTTTCATACTTCTTAAATTTTTGCTTTTGTTTTTAGTTGAAGTGCAATTTTCAAAGTTTGGATAGAAATTAAATATGAAGATAAATATGTTACAGATGTAAAAAAAACAACAAAAAAACTGGTGTGTTAAATTGTTAATTTCACAACTTTTTGCAGTCTAATGTACACAAAAATGACAGCTACACTTGGAAAAATTAAGATGTTTCAAATATAAAAAAAAGAAAATGAGAAATACATGTCAGGATTACTTCTGCTATTTTGAGTATATGAAGCAGCTTTAGAATTTGTATTGTTCTTCTTCTTCTTTTTTGTACAAAGTACCTATGAAAGAATGTTTTATTCAGGATATTGTATGTTGCAATTCATTTGATTTGATCTGAAAATTTACAGAAATTCTGAAGGGATTTTGGGGGAAAAAATTGCACCACTTCCATTGGAACTGAGGTCAAATTTCAGTCCAAAAATTGGTCCTTGAAAATCCCTGCAAGTACATGTACAAGTATAATTATTGTTTCATTTGATTTATATCCAGACATGGTAACAGTAAGAAGGAGCTTGACTTAAGTCTGTCAATGCGCTACGCCAACTTGGCCAATAATGCCAAACTGGAACTGGTCAAGTCGCAGACTAGTCGCGCTGTTCAGGACGTCACCATCGCCTTACAGCTGGAGAATGGGACACGGCTGCAGGAAAAGTTCCCCCCTCAGACCTCACTCTGGGACATACTTATACACTGGGAGGAAAAGCCAGACAGGTAGGTTTGGTCATTTAATATCCACCTGCAAACTTTAAACAGAGTGTTCAATTCAAAATTAAACTGTTTTTAAAGTGGGAAATAAATTATTTTGAAAATCTGTAATATATATAGCATCTTACATGAGTTTCCATTTCATATATATGAGATTCATGAAACGAGTCTAAGAAATTTTCAATTTAGCAAGCCACTGGGGAACTAATATGAAAAATTTGTGACGAGTTTTATAAATTTCATATGAAATGGAAATGAGTGTAAGATCCTTTTTATCACATAATCAAGATTTGTAGCATTTATTCGTGTAAAACAACAATTTTCATGCAACCTTGAAATGTAAAAAGCCACCATTTTGACTCCTGTGCATAAGTCTGTGACGTCATGTACTTTTCCTAGGCGTGACATCACAATTGAAACAATTAAAACTTACAACCAATCACAGGGCTGATAGGTCATATCACATGGGTTAATACCCAAAAAAATATGACATAGGTATATTTACTAGATAACACAGAATATTATGTGATAAAATGTGTTATGTAACTTAACTTTGCAAAATATACAGTGTTAACAGAAGACAGTTTCGAAATTGATTGCATCAAATTTTCATATAAGATAAGATTGGAGCGATAGGCCTGTTACATACAGGCAGTTTGATGATTGGAGCGATAGGCCTGTTACATACAGGCAGTTTGATTTTATAAAGAATACTGGATAAGAAAAAGATTTTAAGATGACAGCATGGTAAGAAAATAAGGACTTGGTCCGTGATGTCTCTATAGATAATGGTTGATGATGCTATGTTTCCATGCTGTTAAAACAGTCTGGTGAGGCCACAGATACATGTGCATTATTTTATGCAGTGAAGTATCTTAGTGTGTGAACTTTCATTAAATTACTGATTGGGTAATTGTTTTATTTTATCCATATCATTTCGTTTTGACATCATTTTTTCACAGTACCTGTAAAGGTGAGCTGACCAAGGTTGATGCCACACATAACCCGCCTCTCCAGCCTGTCTGTATTTACATGAGGGAGGAGGTAAGCACTAACTCTATGCAAATTGACTTTACAAAACAACTCAGCTGAACATTTTTTTATTAACGTAAATTTTCTCAAATTGAAAAAATTGCATGTTTAAAATTCAGAAGGAAGTCATTATGAAAAGTTTCTTGTTACACGACCAATAAGTGCTTCTATGTGACGTTTCAATGACTAGTAGGGTATGTACTCTGTCACCATCATCAGACAAAGGATCAGTTAAGCGTATGCACACAAAGGTGTACAATGTGTACGAGTTATCCCCAGATCAATGTTGATTCAGCTACGCTGTGGAAGGTAGTCACTGGTTTCAATTTGTTCTCTACAGGTGATTGGAGAAATGGCTTTGAATGCAACCTCTTTACGGAAGCTTGGTTTAACGAGTGGGAACGCTGTGATAAGGTAATTAGAAATACTAAACAGTGATATATCATATAGCAGGATATTTCCACGAGGATGATATTTTCAGGAGTTTGCGGGTCAATTATGTGATCACGAAAATGTCATCCGCAGAATGATATGACATGCGTAAAAATAAGTCGGCGATAATAAACCTCATAACTGTAATGTCATCATGGAAAAGTGTGCATGTTTTTGTGACAATTAATATATATAAAGAGTAATGATATTTGGACATAGGTTATATCACACATCTAATAGTTTTATTGATGAACTCATCTAATAGTTTTATTGATGAACTCATCTAACAGTTTTATTGATGAACTCATCTAACAGTTTTATTGATGAACTCATCTAACAGTTTTATTGATGAACTCATCTAACAGTTTTATTGATGAACTCATCTAACAGTTTTATTGATGAACTCATCTAACAGTTTTATTGATGAACTCATCTAACAGTTTTATTGATGAACTCATCTAACAGTTTTATTGATGAACTCATCTAACAGTTTTATTGATGAACTCATCTAACAGTTTTATTGATGAACTCATCTAACAGTTTTATTGATGAACTCATCTAACAGTTTTATTGATGAACTCATCTAACAGTTTTATTGATGAACTCATCTAACAGTTTTATTGATGAACTCATCTAACAGTTTTATTGATGAACTCATCTAACAGTTTTATTGATGAACTCACAAAATACACTTACTTGTTATTGCTCAATGTTCTGTAATATCATTTGACTATTTGACATCTTATATACCCAGTGTCTCGTCTCTGTGCTAAGACACTGCAGAACTTTCTTTCCTTTCACAAGTCTAGATCACAAAATTATGATTTTAAGCCTGCATAAATAACCAATTATATTGTAGTTTCTTTGAAAAATGCAACATTTTAGCATTATTTTTCTTCAAATGGTAATACAATGTATACTATTAAAAATCAGAGCATGTAAGGTTCTAAATTGAAGAAAGATGTTTTCTTAAGTGATTTTGTGTTTGACTAATCAACTTATTACTGTCATAATGTTTTGAAGGTTCATACACAGAGCTGTTGATGACAGCACACTGACAGAAATTGCTGATCATTTAGAGAAGGAAAAATCAAAGAAAGCCAAACTTGACCAGTCGACCAGCAGACAAACATCTGTACCAGACAAACAGCCAGCCAAGATGTCCGAACAAAGCGAACGTGCACCACAGCCTGCTGTACAAAACATAAATAAAGACAATATCAACACCACGACAAATAAACGTGATCCGGAGTTAAACAAGCCCAAAACAGACTCTAGTTTTGGTGTGACAAAGGAATCACCGGAACCCATGGAGATAGACCAGAAATCTTCCAAGTCGTCTGTTTCCATGGAAACATCAGCAATGGAGGTAGAGTTGGGGGCCACAGGAGGGGTACCGGATACACTCTCTGGGGCAAGAAATAAAACAGAAAACAATAGGCAGCAGGAAGCAAGGACAGGTCAAAGTTCATCAGGTGGGGTTCATAAGGTAATGAGTGGAGTTCAGAGTTCATCTGGGTCATCCAGGGGTCAAGGTGCATCAGGATCACAGAGTGCTGTTGACTCACTTCGAGGGATGAATATCCCTGGGGTGGAGGTATTCACCCCCCAAGATTTCCTGGAGTTATCCCCAGAGGAGCAGAGGGTGAGTCATGGCCAAGTCTTAATTAAATTGGATTGTGTAATACATATTTACATTTGGAAATGTACAAAACATTAATTTTATTGAAAATAGTGTAAAATATAACTATGCTTAGATGATGTGTATGCAATGTTTTTAAAAGTCACAGCAAAGTAAAGATACTGAACATTTTTTGTGGTTTCCATACTCTTAATTATTATAGTTTGGACAGTTAAAAAAATCTTTAAAATACCACTGTTAAAAATAAATCTTTAAAATACCCCTTAACAGCCCTATTCTCAACAATTACAGAATAACAAATTTTCATGAATTACGGAAATTTTACATATTTGTAGTCATCAATTGGATGTTAAAAGCATCTACTTAATAAATTTATCGTGTTTATCAACATTTAAATAATATTATACAACACAAAATTACCACATATGTCTTGTTTTGTATTGTCATTTCTCTAGGTAGCCAAGAAACTTGCAGCTGCCTATGCCAAGCAGAACTCTCAACAAGTCACATCAGCTCCATTTGCAAATTTTAAAGTAAGCTCTAGAAGTGAAATGCCCAACAACAAAACGTACATCAGTATGTTTTTGCACATAATGTTTTGGAGATTTCTATAAAATAAGTTTTTTATGCGTAAGCTATACTATCTTTCTTTTTTCTGCTGGAACTTTAAAGAATATTGTATTGAAAATTTGTATGTAGGCCTTATGAATATGGTAAAAGTATTATTCTGTAGCTCAGAAGTGTCATTCTGGAATGTAAATGTCAAGGAAGAAGGTCAAGCAATCACTTGAATTTAACTCAAAAATCAGCACCATATTATTAGTTATCTCTGGTTTAGGAGGGGTCTACAGGCTCATAGACCCCACCTGTTTTTAGCTCACCTGGCACGAAGTGCTAAGTGAGCTTATGCCGTGGNGGGTCTATGAGCCAGTAGAACCCTCCTAACCCAGAGATAATGATTTTGTCACTCTGACAATCTTTTTTTTCTGCAAAGTTATAAGTCACTTTGTGAGTTTGAGTTGTACTCGACTGCTACCAAAATAGCCCTTACCGGACACCTTTTCAACTATATTTCGGACAATACACAACCATCTTTTTAATAAGCACCCTAGCGGCCCCTTCATTGCCTGTTTCGTTGAATTTGCTGTCAATTAAGTAGGCTATTTCATCCTGTGTATGATTGGCACACCTCGAATGCTTGTGTGTATCGGACGCCATCTTTGTTGTTATCTCCGGGATCCCCTCGCACATGCTTTTATAGACCCCGGCAGAGCGGGGTCTATAGAAATATAGACCCCGGCAAGATATCCAATCAGAATGAGTGTTAAAAATTAGAAGGTTGACAAAATTATATAACATCAAATTTTTCATTTCATGCATAGTCTAACATTTTTAACCTCTGGTTTTACATTATGTCATTAGAAAGAAGCGCCAAACTTTGTTGTACTAATAATTCATTTAAGTTTCCTATATAGGTTCATGTATTCCCAAAAAGCATGAATGTTATACATAATTGATACACACATAGTTTCATGTTCTACTTCTGAAATGGAAAATATTTGAAAAATTTAAGTTATTTTCATGTCAACCATTTGCAGTACTGTATTGCCTAACAGAATTCCCCTTGCCTTTTTATCAATATAAGATGTTATACCTCGTTTCAGTTTCCTGAAGAAACAAAAGGAAAGGATTTATATCACAATGAGCTGAGGTAAGTAGTTTTACATGCACTGCATTTCAGCTGCACAACATATATAATATTTCATGCAGAACAGTTCAGAAAAATACTAATTTCTCCAAACCTGGACATAATGGTCTATTTCACTGAGGTATTTTTTTACAGTTCAGCCTGAGGGACAGTATGGATGAAGAGCAGAGCATGTGTTCATTAAACCGTTCTCATGCTTAAGCATGGATTTTGTGCCTAATTTCTTGTTCCGGCTATAAATTAATAAAAAAATCTTATTTTGTCAATAATATGGAAACAAATTAAAGAGACTTAAGGCAGAATACTGTTTTCAATGTTTACATTTGACGTTTTGATTGTTTTACATGATTTAAGTGAGTTGCAAGAAAGTTGGTTTGAGCACAAAACCCATGCTTGAGCATGAGAACGGTTTCATGAATACGGGCCCGGGTATATGCCTATGTATACATATATTTTCTTCTTTATGGATCTTACAACTGAATTTTTGTGAAAGTTTGAATCTGTTGTAATATTGATATTCAATTAAATCATTAGCTAGGTTTTATGTTTTCAAGCTTTCCTAGATTGATTAATTAATGCATCCACATGATTTTCACATTTGGTAGATTGATGAACTTAAAAAATGTTTTTCATTTTTCGCCTTAGAAATTGATGATCGTGATCATTAGATATAAATAATTTAGTAATTTATCTGATTAATTTTGTTGTTTGCAGTTCCGTTACCAAGGAAGATTACCAGGTTGGTTCCTTTTCAATAGTTACTATATTTTGTACAAAATGATAACATATACTAGTAAATACTGAGAACACAAATCTCTTATCACCGTATTTATCCAGCAATAAGCCCATGCCTGATAATGCACCCACCAATATATACTGCAGTTCAGTAGAAATGTCAACAAGTGCTCTTTCATTGTGCTGTAATAAGCCCATCCCAATACCTTGAGTCAGAATTTTTGTGTCTGCCCCTGGGCTTATTGCATGATATATTATACAATCATAGATAAAAATCAAAAAAGAGTCATTCAGGCTTATTTTCACCTGAAAAGTATCCAATGAAAAGTACATCAAGTCTAATACATCATATACATTGAAATTATTCGATTATTTAAATTTGTGCCTTATGAAATATATGATGTCTTCTTTTCTGGGATTTCAATATTGAAAGTGTATACATCTATTTCCAGCCGTGTGACAGGGAAACTGTGCTGTTTAATGCCGAGGAACCTGTCTATTCCTCACTCGGGAGTTCCTCTCAAGGTACTGCTTCTAACATAGCAGTAATGTCTGGGTACAGAGAAACTGTGCTGTTTAGTGTCGAGGAATCTGTCTGTTCCTCAGTCGGGAGTTCCTCTCAAGATACTGCTTCTAACATAGCAGTAATGTCTGGGGACAGAGAAACTGTGCTGTTTAGTGTCTAGGAATCTGTCTGTTCCTCAGTCAGGAGTTCCTCTCAAGGTACTGGTTCTAACATAGCAGTAATATCTTGGTAAATGGACAGACTATGGCAACAGGTCCCTAGTAGGAAGTTCCTCTCAAGATACTGGTTCACAACAGTAATATCTGGGGACAGTGTTGGTATCTCCACCAGCGAATGTCAAATTAACAGTGTCAGGACTCAACTTTACTTTGAGTTGAATTGAAATTTGAAAGGATTCCTGTCCTACTTGCATTCTGGTTTTCCCTATATGCCGTAAACTCTCTTTAACTGTTTAGATTTAACTGTAGCACAGTCGTGTTCAAGACACCTCTGCTGACCAGGTAGCATTATTCGTCATATGGTTTGTTACTGACCTACTATGGAACCATAGAGGGTCAGTAAAATTCATACGGCCTCACCCCATATGAATTCTACTGACCCTCTGGGGTTCCTTAGTAGGTCAGTAACAAACCATATAACAAATTGATCGCACCGAGGGCCTTTTTATACCCCCTTTTGATACACCTGGGACATATTTTGTCCTGCTCAAGTGTCTGCAATTGATCTTAAAACTGTCTATAACTTTTGAACTGTTAAAGATAAAGGCTTCATATTTGGTATGCATGCTCAACCAGTAAAGTCCTTCGACATAACCCCAAAGTTCATGATTGTGACCTTGTTGCATTTCAACGTCTTCTCTATGTGAATCTTCTTCCTTTTTTCTACTCGGGTCGTCTGCCCAAATCGTACCATATTTGTCAACAAGCTGAGTCGCCAAGACGCTTTCAAATAGTACCTGATGTCATGTCAAGCGGGAGGTCAACTATTTTTGACTGGCGTAGGGGAGGCAACTCTTATAAATGTTTTTAAACGGTTTTAACCTTTTCTGGGCGTTTCTGTACGAAAAAATACAAAGGAAGGTATTCGTTGGGAGATATTCGGGAAGGTGTTTTTTAGACCTGATTTGTTTTAATTTCGAAGCGACAGACAAGGGCCACCATATTGCCCCCAAATTTTTTTTACTGACCCCTTATAGTCTCATAGGGGGTCACCATGTGACCCGATTTTAACCAATCAGATGCGACAATTCTTTCCGAGGTGCGATAAAGATAGTTAGAGGGATAGAATAACAATCAGAAGTTCAGGGTTTGAATCCTGGTCTAGCCCCACTGATTTCTTTTACACCCAGAACACAATGGTTAATAATATTTTGCTTATTTCATCTTTATAATTTCTCATGAAACTACCGCAAGGTATGGTTTTCTTTTCAAAAATAATTTGTCCGTCTCCAAGATGAAAATTAAGACTAGGAATTACTGTGACATATATTTTGTTATGTGGGATGTTAAATTTGAGTTTATGTTATAGAAGATTAACTATACTTTGAATCACATCACTAAATGTTGGGGTTATTTTTTAACAATAAATATCTTACTATTTCTCTGCCTTTATAAAACTTTTTTATTTATAACAATTACAACAAAAATGTATTATGTTTTGATCATGGTGTTGAAGATACTTAAACCTGTACCAGAAACATATCATTAAATAACGTTAAATGTTAAGTATTTCAAATATCTTTATTCATTCTTGATATTAGCAAAGCAGTGGTGTTTAATTAATTCCATACACATGAGACGTATCTGTTGTGTTTCTTTGTAGAAATATCTGATGAATTCTTTGAAGTCACAGAAAAAGATTTGAGGAAATTAATGATTGACCGGCAAAAAGAAACGTGAGTTGTAAAACACTGGTAAAGGTACAAACCTAAGGTACAAACCCTAAGGTACAAACCTAGGGTACCAACTACCATATCGCGGGGATTTAAAGCAGAAAAAAACCTTCTGATGTTTAAAATTATTTTTTTGCAATTTTATTCCAAACTTGAGGTTAAAAGTGATATTTAAAATTTCAATTTTGGCAGTCCATCGTATTCCTGAGGAATTTGTTTGCAAATGATTTTACTTAATTATTATCATGTGCAGTCATCCCCCCCGGTTCTATTGCCAACCCCACATACTGCCATGATGTTAAGAAACATTTTTCCTCACTATATAAAACCCCGTTAATACTAGGTACTGCCATCCCCCGCATGTCGCCACTAGTGAGCGTGTCCCCGGGTTATACCGCATCACTGGGGGGAAAGCTAACTTGCCAGTAAGGCAGTATTTTCCCCTCATATTTTTAAGCTATTACGTAAAGGCTCCTTATATTTTGGCAGTGAGAATGAGCAGATGCTGATGACACAATCAATGCGTGAGCTTAAACAGGAAGAAAAGTGCAGTAAATACCAGCGAGGGGTTATCAGAGTCCAGTTTCCAGACAAGCTCGTCGTACAGGGATTGTTCAGGCCTAAGGAGACAGGTGAGAAGTCCAGACCAATAGGATACCTTCTTTACCTGCACATAGGTCATCAAGAAAGCAAACTTATTCACAGTTACCTATATAAAAATAATCGTATATTTTTTTCTAACCTAGGTTAACATCGAAATCCCACTTAAATCTTTACTTCTTTTTTTTTTTTTTTTATCAGGACCGTATGTCACATGTAAACCTCACTGAAATTCTTTAAAATATAAATAAATCTCCAATTTTGGTTCCAACAAATTAATTAGAATCTTCAGAACAACACAAAAGATATAAAACTATGTAATGCTGTATTATTTCTGTTTTAAATGTCTTACAAATTTCTTACAAATTCAGAGAAAAACTCACTATTTTTGACCAAATCTCACTAAAACAGTTTACATGATCTCACTATTTTTGACCAAATCTCACTAAAACAGTTGACATGATCTCACTATTTTGCACCGGAAAGTTATGGCATGTATGACATAGGTGTCAACCTCTGAAACCTCCAATGATGGAGATCTCCCTCATCCCTCATTTCAAATGAGAGAGAAAGTGCATGAAATGTGACTAAAACTGCTTTGCTCAATTTATCTTTCCCTTTTTATGTATCAAAATAACTTCAAAAATCATTCATTTGATTCAGACACGTCTGTTTTGAGCATTACACACACCCTGCAGTAACTAGGAGATCATTTGACCACAGGCTGTAGATTTTGAGTTTGTGTGAGTTTTGACTTGAATTAGGGGGAGACTGGTAAATTTTGGTCAAAGTGAGGGAGTGTTGACAGATATGCCTGCAGTTTGGACAAAGAAATCTGCCCCAAGTAGAAGATTGTTGACTATCTAACCCTAGGCTGATTCATATGAGGGTTAGACATTTAAGAATCTTAATCTCCTCTAGGGGAGATTTCTCTTTCTTGCATACCAGACCGAGATATCCGCATTTCCGTTGGTGCTGGATAATTCTATCCAACCTACAGGTCTGGATCGCTAGCAGGCAGGCGGGGGAGTTATAGTGACCTTTTGGGGTCATGCCATTGTTCGTGGGGTCCTTTTATGACGTTTTGGGGTCAGTCAGGGTCATTGACGTCATTAACAATCGCCATCCAGGCTTCGTATGCAAATAAGGAATGTGCAGACAATTTAAAACTTTACTAGAAGAGCAGCTGTTTTTATGGGTTTTAGGTAATAAGCAAGAAATAGAATCCATCCCTGATGTGAGTTATGGATAAGGTCATTCAAACTCAAGGAATAAAAATATTGCTCATGAGACCAGAGGCTTTTCCTCATTTTACAGAGATATCCATACTTCAAGTTGGGGAAGACATTTCTGTCCCACCCTAGGGTAAAGAGGGGGGTATTCCCCTGTCATAACAATTACAAATGTATATGATGTCAGCAATAGCAGATCATTTGTTGGTTTTGCTTGAAAACCATGCAATCAATGCTTGTGTTTCAGTCAACCACTCTTGTATTTGTGGTGGGAGAAAAATAATCATTCCCCACTTTGGGGAGTAACTAAGATATAAAAAATCTCCACCCCTGGGGTATCATTCTGAAATGTTTGGCCCAAGGCTTTCCGTTTAGGCACGAGACTAGGCGACAGAGATTGCGGATGGGTAGAGCGAATTACGGATTAAAATCAACGACACAGCATTATACAAAGTAATACTAATTAGACTCAATATATATTTTAACTGAATCTTAGAAATATGAAGAATTAAAATAAATTGTCAAATCTAACAGGGTGCTACACTAATGTTTCGCTCTGATTATTTACCTGGGGTAAGACAGAAAAATGATTTTATGAGAAAAATTGTGGATATCTCTATCCAATAGGGAGAAAAACTACCCAGTCTTTCAGGGACTATTCATCAGCCATAATAGGTTAAGACATAAAGTGAATGGTTAAATTGCCCAGTGCTTGATTCTTAGTATAAACGTTAAGTAGTTTGTATTCGTATAATTGTATAATCTTTCTTGAGAACTGTATTGTTTTATAATAAAGCAGTCTGCATTATTTTCTAATATTTTTTGATGTTACTAATATTGATACGTCAAAGACCTTATTATGTCATTCAGGAAACTTGAGATATCTACTTATGATGTTTCAGTGTTTCAAATGTACAAGTTTATCAAAAGCCTGCTTGAAGACCCGAAGACACCGTTTTATCTGTGTAAGTGTTTTTATTTTCGAACATTGTGAAATTGGGGTAAAGACTGATCCATGTACATACCAATGAAATGTCTTAATCACAGTCATGAAAAAATCATTTTTTTCACTAATTTCAGCATTTTCCTTAGATTTTTACTGCAATTTTTTATTTTTTCCTTAAGAAATTGTTAAAAAATTCTAATTTGGAGTCTTTCTGTTCATAAAGAAGTAGATTTGCATTGCTACTTTACTGCCTAAGCTGTCTCTCTGTATTTGGTATATATACTGTAAATGTGCAAGAAAATGATCTTTTTACTAAAACAAATTCAGAACTTTATTGCTGTAAAAATCTATACAACATGGCATCTATCAAAACGACTACTGTTAGTGGAAATAAAACTACTCCAAATCTTTTCATGTATGTATAAACAACAAAAATCATATCAAAATTAAATCAACAGCTTGTTTAAAGGACAAAAACTGAATCAAAATAAAAAGATCGTTGTTATGAGAAATCAACATAGTGTTTAACAGGTTTTTTTACATCTTTTGTTACAGATACATCGCCACCAAAGTGTGTACTAAAAGATCAGACCAAGACCCTTATAATGGTGAGTGATAGATTTAACAACTGGCTGGAATTTAAATGAACTGTAGAAGCAACATTTTATAGAAATGTTCTAAGGACAGCAATCAAACACTACTACCAACGCCCCTTCCCACCCCCCAACCCCCACTGATGAAAAGTTGTGGGGGATGGGCATTGCCTGCCAATTTTCTCCCCTCCATCCCTCATCCAATGCCTCCATCAGGGGCAAATTCAGTGGTCATTACCAGACTTTCTTAATTCTAGACTTGATTTTTAGCCCACCATCATCTGATGTTGGGCTATTCAAATCACCCTGCGTCCGTGGTCCATCGTCTGTCGTCTTTCCGTCGTCCGCCGTCCGTCCTTAAACAATTCTTGTTATCTGTATTTCTCAAGAAGTACCAAAGGGATCTTTCTCAAATTTTATATGTAGGTTACCCTTGGTCCTTAGCTGTGCAGGGCAACTTTTGAGACTGATGGGATAAACAACATGGCCGACAGGCAACCATCTTGGATTTTGATAGTGAAAGTTTGTTATCGCTATTTCTCAAGAAGTACCAGAGGGATCTTTCTCAAATTTTATATGTAGGTTCCCTTTGATCTCTCGTTGTGCGTGTTATATTTTGAGACTGATCATAAAAACAAAATGGATTAAAAGAAGAACTAAACAGATCTTTCTCATATTGCAATGATCGATTCTATTTCTTTCACATTAAGTACTGTACTAGTAAATATGTGAAATGTCAAACTTACTTTGAAGGTTGGCTTTCGTACACATCAGTATTAAGTTTAGATCAAAAGTTACCTCAAGGTGCATTTACTGTTAGCATTACTGGATCAAACAGATAAGAGGAAAGAAGAGAAAAGATCAAACTGACAAAGAACTAATGAAGATGGTACAAAGTTGGGCGCCAAGATCCCTCTGGGATCTCTTGTATGCTTATCTGGTACGAAGTACCAGGGTGAGCCTATGTGGGTGGTGCTTTGTCCGTGCTGTTGTCTGCTTGTTTTCTGTCGTCTGTTGCCAATCAGCCTTTGCTTAAACAATATACCAAGTACTCATCAGAATTCAACCAAATTTTGGTACTTGCATGCTTAAGCTATACAGGATCAAAAGTCAGAAAACTTAAGGAGCTGATATTTTAATTGAGGGCTTAGGGTCTTCAGTAAGATTCATCAGTTTGGAATTATGAATTATCAAAAAGTTTTACTTTATGCACAAACAATGTACGTATTAAAAGTGTCACAATCTGAAGGGCTGGGTTAACATGGTCAAATAGACTGTTTTGCTTTAAACAACATTTTCTTCCAAAGTACTGGACAGATTTCAACTGAATTATAGTGGTAGCATGCTTAGCCAATGGTTATCAAAATTTGTACCTATAAAGGGTCTGAGGGGTGAGATACAAGGGGTCTAATTGGCTAATAAGCTTTAAATGATGTCTTCTTCCAAACCATAAGTCCTTCTTTCACCAATGAACTTTCAACTTGTCACATAATTGAACTATTGTTAAAGTACTACAATAGACTCTGCCAATTAATATTTCAGGCAAACCTGGTGCCGGCCACATTAATATATTTTGGATCTGAAGTCTCAAAAGGTATGTAAATATCGGTAACTGATTTTGTTTTTAGAGTGAAACCCAAGAATGATGATAAAAAAAAAAGTTTCATTTACACCATATGACTCTGGTCAACAAAGATAAGGTTTGCTATTAAATTAATTTGTGATTAACAGAATTCAATGTTGTTTTGTTTATAGAACACTATCTATCAGCCAAGGTGATGGAAGGAATGGAATCAAGAAAAGCTGCCGATGACAAATTAAACACATGGTAATTATCAGCAAAATATTCTTCTTTATTTGGATCGGAAAAATAATTGTTTTTCAAAAAAAAAATTGAGCTTCCCAATGCCAGTTTGGCACTTCTTAGTCAAAACACATATACTATACAGCATTGTACCAAAAGAATTCACAATTTGCCCAAATTTGTTCATAATTTTATGCATTTTAGCTCACCTGGCCCGAAGGGCCAAGTGAGCGTATGCCATGGTGCGGCGTTCGTCGTCCTTCCGTCGTCCGGTGTCAATATTTTACTTTAAACTCCTTTTTCTTAATAACCAAAAGGCCCAGGGTGATGATATTTGGCCAGAAGCAAACTGGGATAAAGGGCTACCAAGTTTGTTCAAATAAATGACCTTCACCAATGTTTAAGGTCACAGGGATCAAATATGTTCAAAATCTAACGACTTCTACTCCATAACCAAAAGGCCTATGATGATGATATTTGGCCAGTATCATTCTTGGATGAAGGGCTACTAAGTTTGTTCAAATGAATGACCTTCACCCGTATTCAAGGTCACATGGGTCAAATATGTTTAAAACCTTTTAACAACTTCTTCTCAATAACCAAAAGGCCTAGGATGATGGTATTTGGCCAGTAGCATGCTGGGATGAAGGGCTACAAAGTTTGTTCAAATGAATGACCTTGACTTATTTTCAAGGTCAAAAGTATCAAATATGTTTAAATTATTTAAATTATTTAAACAACTTCTGTATAACCAAAATTTGCAGGATAATGATATCTGGCCTGTAACATGATGGGATGAAGGGCTACCAAGTTTGTTCAAATGAATGACCTTGACATTTATTCAAGGTCACAGGGATAAAATATGTTCAGAATCTTTAAACGACTTCTTCTTAATAACCAAAAGGCCTAAGATGATGATATTTGGCCAGTATCATGCTTGGATGAAGCGCTACCAATTTTGTCCAAACAAATGACCTTCACCCACAGGGGTCAAATATGTTTAAAACCTTTTAACAACTTCTTCTGTATAACCAAAATTTGCAGGATAATGATATCTGGCCTGTAAAATGATGGGATGAAGGGCTACCAAGTTTGTTCTAATCAATGACCTTGACATATATTCATAGTTGCACAGGTCAAATATGTTTAAAACCTTTAAATGACTTCTTCTGAATTACCAATTCAAATGAATGACCTTTGCTCATATTCGAGGTCACAGGGATCAAATATGTTTAAATCTTTAAATGACTTGTTCTGAATATTTAAAAGGTCCAGGGTAATGATATTTGGCCAGAAGCATGCTGGGACAGAAGGCTATAAACTCTGTTCAACTTAATGTCCTTGTTCGACTTTCAAGGTCACAGGCTTCATATGTTTAAATCATTTAATAGGTTCTTATGAATCGAACACAGATATTTTGCCTGTAGCTGTATATTAGTCCACTTTTAAGATTACAAATGTGAGATTAATACCAGGTGAGCGATTCAGGCCCATTAGGCCTCTTGTTACCTTTTTACATTGGAATGTTCTGGGGTTAAGTATACCACTATTGAAACATCATATCACATACTGAGAGATATTTTCATTCATTTGTGTTAACTCGATTTCAAGGCATGACAAGTTATTCAGATGAAATTGATTTTGTTCTTTGTCTTTCAAAATAATGGCAACATAATTTATTCCCGAAGATAGATCACCATAATCTATAAATCATTCCATAGATAAATACAAAAATGTTGTCTGATTAAACCTCATTTAAATCTCTTTTAGGGTGTCCAATTTCACTTTCATCTCACAATGTTAGCTCGAAGAAAATTCAATGAAAAAAGATAGAGATGCAAATCATAAGTACTTTTGGTACGATGCTGTACCGGGTATATAGTAAACTATATTCAATGTCATTATGATATCGGCCATATTACAGAGAGCAAAAAGGATTTAAGTTAAACTGTGGTGAATATGACATGGTGTATAGTCATATTTTGCTGTCAATCAATTTATTTTTTCAACATTTATGAGGTCATAACAACAATGGGTTTTTGGACATATTGAATGAATCGCGTTAGCGATTCATGTAAAATATGTCCAAAAACCCATTGTTGTTATGACCTCATAAATGTTGAAAAAATAAATATCATTCCTTATATTTACATTGACGAATCCTTTCAGTGGATCGATATAACAACGAATAAAACAAATAAACAGGGTTTGTTCCTGCTTATACACGGGTGCAACGCAGTGGCGAGAACAGTGTTTTTTCGCGGGGAAATGTGACACTATCGTGAGAGATCTTAGCAACCGTCAACAACAATAACACAACAAAATGTAGTTCCATATTCAATGTTTATTTGTAGCACAGGACACGTGAATACGTGGATATTTCACAAAGCACAGTTCAATAGTATTTTAAGATGTAAGAATTAAGCATCTAGGTCGGTCGTTCCTGTAGTTTTTGTAGTGTATTACTACGCAGTGTGATCATGTTACTATCAGTTCCCACGTGCTGAGATTCTATGAACACCTGTGTTATGCATTTATGAATGTAATTTTTGTCAATGGGTCTAAGCATACAGAATGTAAATGTATACTTATAAATGTACCAGGAAATTTTCGCTTCAGGTTAACTTTCACATTTTAAGTGCAAAGTTATCTTTACAGCAAATAATAGTAAACAATATTATATAATCATATACAACACTTGATATAGCACCCTATCTAGCTAGAATAAGCCACTCTTAAGTGCCTTATAGTACATAGATATACAATTTATACAATCGATACAATTAGCATATACATTAATCAATACCATTTTGAAGAATTCGCAGGGGCTGCCATATCAGGTGCTAACTACTAGTCCTATGCCACCTCGCTAATATCTCCCTATGTGTGTATGCATGTGTGTGTGCTGGAGATGTATTGTGTTTATATAAAAGAAATTAATTGTGAAGGGCAAATAAGGATTTCAATGGCTTTGAGCGAAAACTTGACACAGTGAAAGTTTCTAATTAGATATATATAAGTGTACATGTGGAATATTACATCTAGTGCCTTTGTGTTATAGCCTACCCAACAGTACAGAGCCACAGGGATCCGAGCCAGTCAGTGGTCCCAGCGGGGCCTCAGCGGGGACATCTGGTGGGGCCTCAGGGGGTGCACCTCGGGATAGGCCACGTCCAAAACAGAACACACAGTCATCCACCGGTAAAGAGCCAGGCGTTCCCAAATGGTTCAAAACAGGTAGGGACATACAGAAAAATTAAATCATTTTCGTTGATGCATTTTCCCTAGAAATTCACTTTCCCAGCAAGTTTGAGCGTTTTTCTCATTTTTGATAGCCAGTATTTCCCCCCCAAACTTAGTGTATTAACTTGTTTCCACCATATCTTTCTTCATTATTGACTATGAATTTCATTCTAGATAAACTTTATGAATGTCATTGAAATCATGCATGCACAGTATGGGAGGCCAAAGGCGATTTGTCAGTGATGATACAAATATTTGAAAAATATCTTATTTATGCTGGAGCACGCGCAACCATATTAAATATAGCTGTATTCTGATTTTAGCGGCTTTCGCGCTATGTCCCGTCCACAAATTCATGTCCAAAAAGCACCCACTAGCCATTCCATAAAATGCAAGTTTCACAAGACAGAAAATGACAACAACTCAATACATACGTTTATTTCATTATAAGGTAGTCACCCAATTTACCTTTGAACTAAAGCCCTTGTTCCTATGTTCCTGCTATACATCCAGTATTTAAATGTTAGAGTCTAGTTCAGAAAACAACATTTGCACTAATTAATGAATTGAGGTACTGCGATTCTGCTAATTTAAGAGAGTGCTAATTATTCCTACCTCATTTGTTCCGCTAAAATTTGAGCACCCTAATATAAGTACTTTTACAGTACCTGATGTAAGGAATATGAATATCCTTGAATTGTCTTCTCACTGTTCGTAATCTATATAATGTTACTTTATTTTGCAGGCAAGAAGTAATTAATATGCTGATCCCCTTGTGTTGAAGCCCTAAGTCAACTATCATTGGAACTGTCTGCAAATTCTATCAGAATATCTGTGAAAATATGAAACTGCATTACAGGGATGAAACAGAAATGTATTTTCTGTGGGTACGGGTACAAATGCATTTGTTCTGTATTGTATAAAGGTTAAGCCAAAAAATTTGTATTTCGTCAAATTTCAAATATTCATATTTAATAAGCTGCCAATCTCTTTAGGAAATGAGAGATGAGGTGATCGTGAGTTCATAGTTTTTTTTCCCCGCCTATACTTGTAAATACAGTAAAACCTCATAATTATACAACTGTTTGTCCAAGGAAATGTTGGCGTTATAGAGGGGTTTGGCGATGTTTATGTTGACAGTAAACAAAATGAAACAAGGGGCATTATATTGAGGTTTTACTGTAATTAAAAATATTTCTGAGAAAATAACCCCATCAGACACACAAATGCTTGAATCTGAAACAAATATTGGCCTACTAGTTACGTGTGGTGATTGCTCTAATAAAACAAAAATGCAAGTCCAATGAGGTTTTGAAGCAGGAACAGGGATGATTCTCAGGTTACTCAAGATTTAAATCACAAGGTCAGTAAAAACTGACAGCTGGGGGGGGGGGGGGGGGGGGGGTCTTAATATTACATATGAATCAAGCATTTCCTGAGGCTGAATTTTTCAGTGTGCATGTTCATATTTATACAAGTTCCAGTGTTAAATTTGTTCTTATTTTCGTGGCTTGAAATTTATATTGATTTCTGAAGACAAATCTTTCAAATAATATCACCGTAATAAAATTACTCAAATTTTCAAAAACATTTTCAAAATCAACTGCCTCTAGCCTGTTGGTCCTGATTGATAGGTAGTGAATATGGTAGTACTATTTTGTAATCACAATCACACTTTCCGTGTGCTGATGGTAAAACTCAAACCTCGGACTACAAACTATAATTTCAATGCCCTAGCGATTTAACTGATCTAGCTGAGTTAGTAACAAGCGGCTACAGTTTCACCATTTTAGCTTGTGTATAATATATAGAACCACTAGGAATTTGAAGAGGTGTTTTCTATTTTCTTGTACCGATAAGTTCCTCCAGTTAACCAAAGGTCTGTTCATTGATATACTTTGTCAGCAGGAATCCCAATGAATCAATGTATAATGAAATATTCATTGTGAGTGATTTTCTGAGTGATTTTGTTTTTATGATTATGTGGTAAGATTGAAGAAGTTGTGTACCATGAGACTGGTACTCATTATGAAGAATGTGGTGGTTCTTCTTTGTGGGTCATTGAAACTAATTTCAAGACGGTTACTCTGCAATGTATATGCTGATATGTGTACAAAACAATTTGTTTTTCTCATTAATTTTACTATTTTCAATATCTTTTTGATCACAGTAGTGGAATTGGAAAGAATTAACTTTTCAAAGAGGTTGATATTTTCTTCATTGAAAAAAAGCACATATTCATGAATGAGCATATTTCTTTGTTCTTTTCGCCATGTTAGAAATACGGTAAAGGTAAATCAGTTTTACCGTCTAGATTTGGTAGTAATGCTATGTATGTCTGGGTTTGTATGCTTGTGTATGAAATATAATACAAACTGTTTGTAATTGCTATATCTAAGTGCTCCTCCTTTATCTAATAAAGATGTTTCCGTTAATTGTTAAACATGTTGTTTTCTTTATACAATAAGCAATCGTTATATTAAGGTTTCATTAAACAGCTATCATTTGTGGGTCTTCAGGTGGTGAAGTGGAAAGTGCACTCGCTTTACAACAAGATGACCTCCCCAACCAAATGGGTTTTCTCCGATTCCTCTGGTTTCATCCCACATAAAGACCCCCTGCACGCTAACTCCCACCTTGTCATAGGTTTGCGGCTCCAAAATTTGACACTGCATCACAACACTTTTATGGGTTTTTTGGAATACCAGTACTCCTTTTGAAAAGGATTTCAATAAATATTTCACAATAATAACAGTAGAAATAATACAGTTTAATTTGTTGTGGCCTATTGGTACCCTTTAAAGTTACCATGCCACAGTCTGTGGGGGAAAACTGTGGTTAAATTTGAAGTAATAAAATTTCATAGATAGTATGAAAAGATTGGAATTGAAATTGCTTATATTTATGTCAAATATAAGCACGCAAAGGCTTTCCCCGACTACGATTTATATATATATATCTCACCAGGCACAGGGTTGAAGCCATATCCACGTTATTATCATGCATAAGCAAATTCACCAGATGTCATGAGAACAGAATCCAATGAATGGCGTTTATGTGATCGACTGAGTCAGATGTAATGCTTCCCCAAGCAAGCACTATTGGTAAGGAAACACTGTATGAAGTCTGAGCCCGAACAACCTAAAGAAACTCACATTTTCTAATTTATAGTAAAGGTGACCTTGACCTTTGACATTACGACCTGAAAAGCAATCCCAAGCAAGCACTATTGGTAAGAAAGCACTGTATGAGGCCTGAGCTTGATCGACCTAAAGAAACTCAGATTTTCTATTTATAGTAAAGGTGACCTTGACCTTTGACATTACGACCTGAAAAGCAATCCCAAGCAAGCACTATTGGTAAGAAATCACTGTTTGACGCCTGAGCTTGATCGACCTAAAGAAACTCAGATTTTCTATTTATAGTAAAGGAGACCTTGACCTTTGACCTTTCGGACCTGAAAAGCAATCCCAAGCAAGCACTATTGGTAAGAAAGCACTGTATGAAGCCTGAGCTTGATCGACCTAAAGAAACTCAGATTTTCTATTTAAAGTAAAGGTGACCTTGACCTTTGACCTTTCGGACCTGAAAAGCAATCCCAAGCAAGCACTATTGGTAAGAAAGCACTGTATGAAGTTTGAGTTCAATCAACACAAGGGAACTCAAGTTATTGCACGGAAACCTTGTTTCGGACGACGCAACAGACGACGCCTCGTGTTTCAGGCGACACAAAAAGACAGTTTTTTCCTGCTGATCAGAAAAAAAAGCAAAGATTAGCGGCGGTTACATTTACAAGAAAAGCTGACTTTGTCTATGCGGATATTCTATTGGCAGTATATTACTGTAACATGCCAGTTAAATTTTTATTGTCACAAGGAATCTAGTCCAATCTAAGCCACATTGCCCCCTTTTGGCCCTGCCCCTCAGCCCCTGGGGGGTTAGCCCCACCATTTGTACAATTTTTAATCCTCATTAAGGGATGCTTCCAGTCACATTTAGTTAAATTCCAATTAGTGATTAAGAAGAAGAAGGCGTTTTAAGAAATTGTTGACGTACGGACAACGGATGCCACGGTATGGCATAAGCTCATCTTGGTCCCAAGGACCAAATGAGCTAACAAGAGGCTCTGGGCCTGTATCGCTCACCTTGAAATGCTAGCAAAATTGAAGTTGAAATAGCTAGATGTTGCTGGTACTGTGTACATGAGTCAGGGGTTATAGTTATATGCAATTGGACAAAATCCTGTCATTCCTACAGGAAAAGGAGGATTTTGAAGAATTTGCTATGTTTCCCCAATTAGGCCTCGTCCCTCTGCCCCCAGGGGGGTCAGATCCACTGTTGGTACAAAATCAAGTCCCCTTCAACCAAGGATGCTTTAGACCAAATATGGACAAAATCCTGTCATTCCTACAGAAGAAGAAGGATTTTAAAGCTACAAAACAAACTTGGTAGCCCTCATCCCAACATTCTACTGGCCAGATATCGTCTGGGTCTTTTGGCTACTCATTTGACCCCTGTGATATTGAGTCAAACTCATTCATTTGATCATACTTGGTAGCACTTTTACCCATCAGGTACTGGTCAAACATCATCACCCTAGCTAGGCCAGTTGGTTATTGAGAATAAGTTGTTTAATCGGACGCCGCACCTCAGCATAAGATTGCCTTGGCCTCTAGGCCAGTTTAGCTAAAAACGATATTGCGATTAATGTACTGAGAACATGAAAATTTTAGCCGTGTCGAATGTCCTGTGTTTTTCACATTGAGTAAATTAGTGCGAAAAATATCCACATGCGTATATATATCATAAGTAGATGATAGATGTATAAGATATTTAAATTTCTGAAGCAGTCTTGACGCGAAAATTTCCACATCGCAATCTGTTATATTTACATATGCCCTTCCAATTTTCCATTAACTCTATGGAAAGTCAGTCTGCATTATCTGGTCACATGACCATGGTTTCCGTGACATCAGTGGTAGCAACCACTCCCATCGATACGATATCCGCCATCTTGTTGTTGTCGTTTGTTTCATACAAGTCGCATTTTGACGGGTTTTGCAGACAATGAAGACATCCAGAATAGGAAGGTAAGTTCTTACTTTTGTATTAGAATGTTCTGCACATATAATGACAGTATTTAACTGCATTTATCCGTTTTTGCCTGGTTACATTTTTTAATGGCGACCGTGGTTTGGAAAGTTTTTGGTCCGATAATGGCCATCTGCGGCTGTTCCAAGAATTGGACCAGTGAGGTTTTGCGGCAGCAGGAAATATAAATTAAGCTCATCCGACTAACTAATAAAAGACAGATTGTATGAGGAAATGTAAATATATGTCTGTCAGAGTCGGTTAGGACGTCCTGATTATTTATCTGTCACCCAGATTGCATTCATATTGGCTGTAACTGCAATCTGACAGATACGCGAACATTTCCACACGCGAACATTTCAACTTTTGTAGTATCTGGGAACATAGATAGTATGATAAGATTTGTTCTTGTCTAAGTATAGAAAGTGTAGAGCATATCGGGTAGGTCTTGGAATTCGCCTGTACTATAAATATGACAGCAAATATGTGGGGTTAAAAATAAACAATAAAGGTGGCAATGACAGATTCACAGTAAGTTGAGTCATGGTCCTTTTGAGATGTTCTCCTTTAAAATCTGCTTAAAAAAAAGAAAACTTTTGTCCAGATCAAGATGTCTCTTTCATATATACCATGTCTGTTCCTGCTTTTTAAGGACTGTTTTACCGACATTTTGACGTGCAATATGTAAAATAATTTCCAGTATTCCTTCACATCTTTCTGGATGTGGTTTCAACAACTACGTAACGCACCTCAACTCAACCCGTCGGATATTACATTCACGTAGGATCTAGTTAAATTCTTTATTTCTTATTTTGAACATTTTGTATTATCAGAGAACAATTCTGATTCCAAATCCAACATACGGGGTCAGTAATTTATATAGATGTTAAACACTATGGGACCTATGACATACCCTTGTGTAATTCCCGACGTTATACGTTTTCATTCGCAGAAAAAAAAACTCAGGATGACCTCCAAAAGTCAAGATAAACTAAGGAAGTTTTGTCTTACAGAAAAAGTTTATATCAGGTTATAGTTGTGAAAAAGAAATTGCAGATTTGACTGCAGAAGTGGTCTCTTTTCTAAAAATAATGAACTTGGCCAGGTGTGGTACAAAAAATTCTCAGGTGCAGAAAAACAGATTTGACCAGGCTAGTTCTCTCATGAAAAAAGCTAAATGGTCACGTAATTGTATAAAAAAAGTTGGGTGATTGTAATACCGTTAAAGATTCACTTGAATTATATGTGTATTTATGATAACTCGCCTATTCTGAAATATATTAGTACGCATGGTATTTTATACTGGGGTTTTTTTTCTGTACTTTACAGATAAAATCAACTATGAACCATTATGCAAGAATTACTGTGTACCCAGTACACAAAGTAGACGAAGCCAAATTTTTTGAGGCCAGGGCCACATTCGTTTATCGCGGACCAAACAGTGGAGCCAATTGGACCACAGGGACCTGAACATTTGTTACAGCTATATTTGGACCTAAACTAAGGTGTTCAGAGTAATTTTACATGTTTTAGGGGTTTAGATCGACTTTTGTTAAAAATGACACATATATAATCGTTGAAATAAGGTCGGGCCGAGTAATCTGATGGTGCTCTTAGGCAACAAAGCCTTGCAAGGCATGCATGAACACTTGCAGGTCTGCCAGGATTTATAGACAATCGAGTTGTTCCAGATAAATGAACATGCTAATTGAAAACCTATTAAATTTTTAAAAATCATTAAATGTTTACTGATATGACATTGTGTTTCTAACTGATGTTTACAATTAAATAATAACTTAAGATACTCTAGTAATCTTTTATTTCATAAACAAGTGATCAACATATACATTAATTAAGATAAACAAAAGATCAAAGACAGTAACAATTCAAATAATGATAACGAAGATGACGGTGATGATTCACATGACAATTCTCAACATGAACAACATGAATTAAGTTTCAAAATGGACGGATACATTAAGTAACAAGAGGCCCAAAGGGCCTGAATCGCTCACTTGGTATTAATCTCACACCAGTAACTTTCAAAGTGGACCGAGTGCAACATATTAAAACGGGTCAAATTAAATAAAAGGCAAAATAACAAAAAAACAGGGTCTTTCGATTGTTAAGAGGAAATTCATTTTTTTAAACAGTTGATCCCTGTGACCTTGAAAGTAGGTCAAGGTCAATCTTTTTATCAAATTTGGTAGCCCTTCATCCCAGCATGCTCCTGGCCAGATATCATCACCTTGGGTTGATTAAATATTTTAAGACATTTCACGCCAGAGACATTGAAAGTGAGTCAAGGTCATTCATTTAAACACAGTTTGTAGACCTTTATCCCAGCTTGCTATTGGCCAAATACCATCACCCTAGGCCTTTTGGTTATTAAGAAGAAGAAAAAGTTGACATCGGCTGGAGAATTGGACAGAAGACAGACGCCGCACCATGACATAAGCTCACTGGGTCTTACGTGACCAGGTGAGCTAAAAATGACAATAATGTATGGCAATGATAACAAGTGTCATCCAGTGTTATAATGACAGGGAAATACCCTTGTAGTTATCGTATATATTTATCTAGCAATTAGCCCATGTCTGGTAATAAGCCCACCCATATTTATTGCAGTTAAGTAGTAGTGCAAATAAACGCTATTTCATTGTCCTGTACATTGTGTTTTTAGCCCATTCTTCAATTTTTAGTCGGAGATTTAGGTGATGGCCCCCTCCCTCAGACATATTGCAGAATAAATACATTAATAAAAGAAAAGATATACAATTTGTATCACAAACACAAGCATTTAAACATGATTTTTGACACCGAACACACATGTATGCCATATCACAATGATACCTTGCTTTAAAGTTTTTATCTTTTCCCGTTAAAGAAATGATATATATATACACACAGTTAACTCTAAAATTATCACAAAATTCTTACAACAAATACACTGTAATTGCAAAATAAAACAAATGTTCATTTATGAAATATTTATATATATCTATAAAGCACCAAAAAAGTATTGATTCAGAAATTGAAATGTAAATGAGATGTAGAATAAAATGTATGAAACCTGAAAGGTTTCAAACACTCAATCTGAGTCAAGATCCTGATTTTTCAATTTTTGGTGAAATACGATGGAATGTCATTACCGATAATTCCGGTTTGTTGCTTATACATTTTGCTGTAACCTTTTATAGAGTCGAGACCAGCAAAGATCCAATATATATTTTGTAACATCATGATTTTCAAAAAATTATTTGTATAAATGAAACGAAACATAGTTCAAACAAATTGCTCGATCCATGAATGGTGGACGTTTTGGTCCTTAGGTCCCCAATTTAAAACCAAACAGAAAAGTTCACTTGAAGTTTAGGTCTGGTGAGATAAAAACAAGATACTGTGAAATCACTAATTTTTAGGTGTTTTTTTAATTTCGTTGATTTTGTTGGTAATTTTCATCCATGAATTCATAAGTCCACGAAGCAATTACAAAAGTTTGATATAAAGCAATTCTCAGTTGGAGGGCACGCGGGTACTCGTAATTAAACAAACTCATGTACCGGCGATATGGTGTCTTGTTGGAACACCACGAAATTTGGGCCCCACAATAATATCTGATTTCAAAGTATCTGTCTTGTATCTATCAGAACAATATTTACTTACAAATCTCTCGCACACTTCAATATGACGTACAGGAGAAATCTATTTGAATTTCTCAGCAGCTGTGTAAATGATCTGTGGAAGTCATAGTATCCATGACCTTGGTAGGAATTTATGAGAAAGAAGACAATGGTTCCTGAGGAAAAGTCTTTACAATAATTGATATATCTTTACAATGACGCTAACGCTATTTTTGACATTTCTTAATTTATATATGGTAAGAGCAACTGTGTACTGGGAGTATACGTCAGTCATTAAGCTTGTCTTTGACTTGGTAACTTACAGCAATAACAGATATTTGAAAATGTATTTTTTTATATTGTCTAAAAGTGTTGAATATCCAGCATGCATCCAACATTATTTGCAATATGACAATATCAAAGTCCAAATTTTGATCTTGACTGATATTTTTCAAAATTATTGAAAAGAATAAAAAAATACACACAAAAAATGAACATATCTGTTTTGGTATTCTAAATATAAAATAGGAATTCATTAAAAAATGGTGTTGTTTAAAAAACATTGGATTGATATAAAACTGAAATGGTTCTGACTTTCCGGACATTGGCCATTGTAGATAATTGACACTCAGGAAATCAAATCAAGCCTCCTTCTTTCAAAATGGTCAGAATATAACATCTTCAGTCAAGTTTTAGGTATACACATCCACTCCGTTTGTGGTAGACAGGTATCAGCTACAGTTAAACTTGTTTGTGTGTCCACCTCTATTAAGAGACCACCTGTCTTTAAGAGACCTCTTTTATGATCCCTATGGTAGTGATTTCATTGTAAACTCAACCTGTATTAAGAGACCACCTGAGTTAAGAGATAACTTTTTCTGAAAGCAGTCTTTTAACTCATTCACCCCTGAAGTCACATTTGAACCCTTCCTATTCAACGGTTGGAATAGTTCATCATGAAGTTTCAGAGGTGAATGAGTTAATACAGGTTTGACTATATATTGACTGTAGGTGCTATATTCCAACCATTATCGGTAGCTCTTTGATCTCCTGTGATGTAGCCAACTTCTTTGCCAGCCATATTGGATTATGAGTCAGCTGAATTATAAATAGGCGAGAGGGAAATATATGTCCCCGTTACACCACCTGGACAGTGGGACACCTGTATGGTAGCGAAATAATGACACTAGGCTATCGCAAAGTTATATTCTTCTAAAAGTTGAAACTGGTATTGTACAAAATATAAATTACTCTTAGGCTAACTTTCTTAGTCTTAAGAACTCTGCTAGTAACTCTATGACAGTAACTGCACTGTCCCTCCTTATCACAGCCATGGGTGGCTCGGCTTGAAAAACACTTGTGTACGGGACAATCTACTTCTGTTTGGAGCCTCTCCGCTATCTTATTTATGTCAAATAGTTCAACAATGCAGAATGTCGTGAGGCAGGGCTACTGAAATGATCTATAGTATAATCTCCGCATCAACTAGTGATCAGTTCTCAGGATTTTTAATATTGTCTCGAATATACGTAGTTTCACCGGAAGAGGGGAATAGGAGACAATCTCTGTTTGGGTGTGTATCTAGTAGGGTACGATCGACCTGTCCTTTCCTGTAAAATTAAACAAAAGACATGATTAATGAATTAGGAAAAATCTTATAACTAAGATGTAATTTGTTGAATATAGGGGGATAAAAAAAACTATCTTAATAAACTGGACAATTTATAACTAATAATTAATTTCATAATGTAATCATACCGTACAGGCATTTTAATTTCAAGTGTTCAAACTTTCTTGGTTGGTTCCTGGATCATATTTGTGGCAATAAATTTCTGCAAATCACTTAATATCAAATGTTATATTTATATCACATTACAAAAAGGGTAATAACAAAATTGGGTTTATATTTTGCATACTTTTTAGGCTGTCAATTGGCAAAAATATTTTTTTGGCAAAATGTAGTACTGCACAATACTGGCGATAAGCAATATATGAAAATCAACGACTGTATGATCTAAGTTTACTTCAAATGTATTTAAATAGAAGTTGAATTTTTAGATCAAACTTATATGTCAAATAATTATTAATAAAAATAAAGAAATGATAATCTACTATCAATGATTTATGCAATATTATATAGATGTGATATCAAAGTTTTACTTTCTATACAAACAATGTACGTATTAAACATGTCGCAACGTTTCAAGACCGACTGGTCCCTTTGTCAAGCGATGACTGAGTGAGTGATTTGTATTTTTTACCTGTACAACTATCAGTATGTGACGCAATTAAATGTTTTTCATGTCACTCGAACCCGAGTCATTTCGCCTACGATAGAGAGTGTATACACACTGCATCAGATAGGTTACAGGTAGGGTGTAGATCTAGCCCCCTCCCCTGTTATGTCAGTATCGGGTCATACAGATGACTCAGCTGGTTTCCCCCCTTGTCTCTGTTCATGAACATGAGTGTGTATACGCTCCCTATTGATAGACGAATCGTCTCGGGTTCGAGTGACATGAAAAATCTATAAATTCGTCACATCGTTGTACAGGTTAAAAACACAAATCGCTCACTCAGTCATAGCTTGACGAAGGGACCAGTCGGTCTTGAAACGTTTCAACATGTTTAAAATGTTCATTGTTTGTGTAGAAAGTAAAACTTTGATATCACATATTTCCAAACGGATGAATCTTATTGATTTTATAGATATGTTTTTCCTATAACTGCTATTGCCATATGTTCCATCAATAATGGTCTTACATCAAATTTTCAGCAGATCAGAGCATTAAAAGTGTATGGTACAAAGAAAAGCTATTGTTAATCATAATACAGTTGTATATGCATTAAAGGACAAACCAGTGTCCGACTAACGAGATATTGTCTATAATTTGTATTAAATGTGATTCTCGAATATAATATACTTTCAGAAAATCATAGATTATACTCAAACTCACTCCTTTGGTATAAAATTTTAATCATCACTCTTTAGATTTCAAAAAGAAGAAAAAATGTATTCACTGCTTCACTATTGTAATAAACAACAACAAACAATAGAATACGGTATATATCCTGCAATAAGCCCAGGGGGCCAACATATAGAAACTCATACTTTACAATAAACAGGATGGGATTATAACACAGACAAAGGGCCATCATAGGTTTGCATAATTTTCTACTGAACTCCAATATATTTGGGTGGGCTTATTACCAGGCATGGGCTTATTGCTGGATAAATAAAGTACATATATGGGTGCATTGGAGAAAAAATATACTGAAAAAATCTTCTCTGGTGATTGTAATTAAAAAGTTCTGAAGTCTAGACGCTAGAAAATTCAAAAGCTGCAACATCTACATGTAAATGTACATTACATGTGTACTTACATATCTAAGGGAAAAATCAAAATATCTCTGACAAGATTCTAAAAGTCCTCATACAGGATATCTAGCCAAAAAACTAACAAAATATTAAAGTTACGATTCTAATTTATAATCTCCTCGGCATGGTTACCTAAATGACGTAATATGTCGGCATGGTTACCTATATGACGTAATACGTCCTTCCGGTCTGTTTCCCATCCTTACAGAATAGACCAAGAGAAATAGAAAATTAACCCAAAACATATTGATAAAATGATTTCATATCTCGATACATCTACAGAACGACATCCATGCAAAGAAATACATCTATTGCAAGTACACGATATGTAGTATATGCCAGTATGTCACATGATACTTTGAAATTTTGACCTATGGTCATTATAAAACTTGTACAGTAAATTCCTCACTTTCTTGATCTGACAATGGTTCAAGTACAGAAGAGCATTGATTGAAAACTCTGATTTATCACCTATATCAAAAGTAGAATTAAGCTCATACCAAATCAGCAAAGAGTGCAGATTTTACTCGCAATGTAAAGTTTTATAAGATAATTATATATAAACACTTACGTAGGAATTTGAAGTTGGGTAATCATGAAGAACCATGCCCTGTGACCGACCGAATCCGTGTTCTGCCTCATTTAATCGTAGTTGCATATCGGCTCTCTCTTTTCCCCATTGTCTTGAATTTTCAGCAAGCTGCAAGCAATCACAAAGAAAATATAGTGTTAACCTTTTTTTCCATTGCCTTTAATTTTCACAGAATTCCTAAAAATGTTGATTCCACAGGATCTAATATTCACAGAATTATTTCAGATCTACAGGCTATAATACATAGTGCTATAATAAGGAGTATTTGCTATTAACTCATACACCCCTGAAGACACATTTGAACTCTTCCAATTCAAAGGTTGGAATGGTTCATTATGAAATTTCAGGGGTGAATAAGTTAATTTTCTATTAATTTCAAGGAACATATATTTTGCAGAAGAATCGTTACTACAAAAATCGCAAACATTAGAGCCATGCGAAAAGAAAAGTATAAGCACTCTCAACTTATATTACGTATTAACTTGTTGATATATTTCAGTCTAGTGCTGTGGGTATTGAATGATGAGAATGTTTTTTCTGCTATAATAATCATTAAGTTTATATGTAAAGTATTTAATTTGAATTAGGGCTTTTGGCTTGCTTTAAGGAATTGTTGTCTTGAAATTTGTGAAGAAAGGTGTTTTCTATAATTGCTGTGCATATAGCAAAGATTAGCAAAGCAGATTTGCTGACCCAACTACGGTTGTGGGCTTTGCTTTAAGGAAGTGTGGTCTTGAAAGTTATGAAGAAAGATTTTTTCTATAACTGCAGTGCATATAACAAAACAGAATTGTAGACCGAGTTGAATTTTATTTAAAGATTCAAGTCAAATGGACAAGAAAATGACCTACACGTACCCAGCAAATAATCACCTTGAATCAGTAGACAAAATACTTCAATTCAGTTGTTCATTTCTCAAAATTTGGCTATATTTCATTTTGACAAAACCTTTGGTTCACTTTCGCCAAACAGGTTGGCACAGGTGTCGTGTACGTATTAGTCAGTGTTAATTGTTACCTGTTTCTCCAGTGCTAGCACCCGAGCGTCTGCTCGCTCCAGTGCCTGGTACATAGCAAATTTCTCCTTCTCGTCTCCTCCTCGCCCCGCCGTCCTTAGTTGTTCCTGTACCATACAAAAGTCACAAATAGCATTAGGTATAATTTCTTTCCCCGATTATAGGTTTCCTTTTTGTTGTTGTTATTGTTTTGGCACAAAGTGTTGTTCTATATATTCAGGACAGAAAAAAAAATGTTTAGAAATATGATTTACAGGTAATTTGTTTCCTTAGCAAAAAGAATGGTAATATTATTTATAATGAATAATATTTAGATAAACATTAAATTTATTTATCATCATCCATATTTTCTAATGAAATTAATATACTGTGAAATCAGATATTTCTTGGGGCCCAAATTTTGTGGTTTTCCTGACAAAACACCCATTTCATGGGTTATGTGAATTCGTGGATTACGAGTACCCATATGCACTCAAATGGAGAACTGCTTTATATCAAACTTGTAATTAGTTCATGCAGCTATAAATTTGTGGATGAAGATAACCCACAAAGTCAACGAAATTAAAAGCCCCACGAAAATTAGTGATTTCACAGAAGGTCGTGCTTCCATCTTTCCTTTTGGATTAATAATGATTTAAAGACCGAATCTAATTCCATATCAAAGTGCTCTACCTAGCACAACTAAAACTATAGCAAAGAAAATCCCTCCTACCCTAAGTTCCTCTGTTTGTGAGCGAAGTCGCTTGTTTTCCTCCAGTAAAGCCTCATTTGCCTCGGACGATCTGTCACCTGAAAAAAAAACACAACAAAATATTGAAATAATCTTCTTTAGATGTAAAGCAAGATCAAAATCACATGAAATCTAACAGATCCTTTATTTTCACCAGAACATTACAGACATGACTTTGTTTCAAGTTTCTGTTTGACCCAATTGCTGTCATTTTCTGACATGTCCGGTACTGACCTTTGACCTGCCATAAAATTTTTGCCAAGCTAATTATTCATCATGGTGTCTTTATTATCTATGTGCCCAGTCTTGTATTTGTCCCCTTGAAAGGAACCATGTCATGAACATTCAACCCTTAAACAAATCATGCTAATAGCAATCTTATTTCTTGCCTTCGCAGGGGTTCATTATGAAAGCAATTAGTTTTATGTACTAGCTCTGTACTGACCATTCTACATACAGGTCAGTTTTTACCTGTCCCATATACTGACCCTTGACTGACCTGTCCTATATATACTGACCTTTGAGGGACCTGTTCTGTACACTGACCTTTGTGACCTGTCCTATGTACTGACCTTTGTCTGACATGTTCTTCTTAGTGACCTTGTGGGACCTGTCCTATATACTGACCTCTGTCTAATCTGTCCTAAATACTGACCTTTAGATTTGTCCTATATACTGACCTTTCTTTGACTTGTCTTTATTCTGTTTTTCTAACAGTCTCTCCATCTTCTCTATCACTACCTCCTGTTTTTTACACGCTTCTTCCATCTTTTTGTACTTGGTGATCCTTTCCTGTAACCTCTGTATGATGACACTCTGTCCCGACTGTGACTGACTCTGTTTCAATAATTTCTTCTCTTCATCGTTTTTCTACAATAGAATAAGGAACATATTCTATTATTTAAAAGAAATTCCTTAACATTTATTATGTCAGTCCATCCATTATACCCCAAAATGCCCTTAGGTTTTTCATAAACATGTACAATAATACTTGTTATTCTGAGCTAATTTCACTTTCTATTTCACCTACCACAAACTCTTTTCTTTTTCACTGTATTAAGTTTATGTAATAATGACAATGAAACCCTTCACCAAGGGCTGTCCTGAGATGTTAATTATGCAAATATTTGAACACTATATTTTGAAGTTGGACAACTATATCACAAGTCAGGGCCTGAACCTTAATTAAGATATTCTCTATTTGGCATTGACCACTTCACCACTTTGAAGTTTGAAAATTCAAATTGTTCTTCTCACAATAAAAAGATAGATGGTTAATACTGAACAACTGAAATGTATTGAAAAACCACTACTTTATCAAATTCTTAATAATTAAAAAAAACTAATAATGAAGTATTTAAGTTAAATTTCAGTTGTAATGCCTAATCTCTTCGAGTAATGTTTTTTCAGACACCATCTTTTATTTTTAGAGTTAAAGTTTGTTACACTATTTCTCAGAAAGTACAGGGGGGATCTTTCTCTAATTTCACATTAAGGTTTACCATTGTCCTTAATTATGCATATCAAATTTTGGGACTGATTTGAAAAGCAAGCTGGCTGATAGGTGCCATCTTGGTGTTTTTTTAGCAAAAGGTTGTTAGCACTATTTCTCAGAATTTATCAAATGGATCTTTCTCAAATTTCACATGAACACTCCCCCATGATGGTCCCGTGTTATGCATATTGAATTTTGGGACTGATCGTACAACCAATAGGCCAATGTAGGCGCCATCTTGACATTTTAGAGTTTAAGTTTGTTATTTCTCAGGAACTACTTAAAGGATCTTTCTCATATTTGCAAAGTATGTTCCCTTTTGCCTGTAGTTGTGCATGTTTATTTTTGAGACTGATGAGATAAGTCAAATGGCTTGCAGGTGGCCATCTTGGATTTTGACAGTGAAGGTTTGTTATTGCTATTTCTCAGTAAGTACTTGAGGGATCTTTCTCATATTTGAAATGTAGGTTCCCCGTTGCCTGTTGTTGTGCATGTTTACTTTTGAGACTTTTGAGACTGATCGGATAAGCAAAATGGTCGACAGGTGGACATCTTAGATTTTGACTAGATTTTGACAATATATATACATGTTATTGCTACTTCTCAGGAAGTACTGGAGGGATCTTTTTCAAATTTAATATGTAGGTTCCCCTTGGTCTCGCTGAAACTACATACTCACATTAAAGGTTGTCTTCTATAAACAGCAGTATGAAGTTAAGATAAAATATTACCTCAAGGTGCATTTACTGTATACAAAACTCAATCAATCAGATAAGAGAGAAAAGAGAAAAGATCAAACTGGTGTTCAACTAATGAAGATGGTACAATGGTGGGCGCCAAGATCCCTCTGGGATCTCTTGTCATTAGATCATGAACAAACTTACCGATATCAGTTCATTCTGGATTTTCTGTACTTTATCTTTGTATGTGTTCAGATCACTGGTTTGTGATTGTAGGGTCTGTTTCAAAGCAGCTGAAAACAAAATTGACAAAATTGACAATGGAACACTTTTTTTTCTTTTTTTTTAATTGGTTTTTCACTTCACTGTCCCACTGCACTACTGTTTTTCCTATAAACAGTAACCTCCCCTTAACTTCCGTTTGGATACAACTATGCATGCATAGCACAGTTTGGCCAAGTCATTTCCATTTCCATCTCAATCGGTTAGAGCGATAGTATACCAATCTTAAATCAAGGGTTAAATCAAGTCCCGGTTCGGCCCCACTGATTTTTTACAATCAGAACACTGTTGTTGATTTAGATTTTGTTCTATATATTATATATTATGTTCTATATCTATTATTTATCATAAAAGTCCCACAATGTACAGTTTTCTTTTCAGAAATGATTTATCAAAGCTATAGAAATGATGTAAAAACAGTTACCAACACTTAGTAACAGTTTTAGGCAGTGGTATGGGAATCCTTCAAATGAATACAAATTTCATGTTTAACAAACAGAGTAAAACCTGCTCAACAGAAAAACTTTATTATGAAACCACTTTTGAAATCCCCCATTGCAGTTTTGTGTAAAATGCACTTGCATCAAGAGACCACCTGTGTTAAGAGACCATTTATACCAAGAAACCACCTGTGTTAAGAGATCACCTGTATTAAGAGACCACCTGTACCAAAATACCACCTGTGTTAAGAGACCACATGTATCAAGAGACCACCTGTGTTAAGAGACCATTTATACCAAGAGACCACCTGTGTTAAGAGATCACCTGTATTAAGAGACCACCTGTACCAAGAGACCACCTGTGTTAAGAGACCACTTTTTATAACATACCCTTTTAAGAGACCACCTGCAATAGGGACAACTTTAGGTGCGTCCTTGCAGGTGGTCCCTGAATACAGGTAGATATATAAGGTACATTTAACCAAGATATATTGAAGTTGCTTAATCATCCTCAGGATGTTACATTCATGTTGTGAAATCCAAATCTAATCTCTTCACTTGCCTATCAATTTTTTCCAAGTACCATTTCTTCAAAGCAAGTAAAAATTCATTTCATTCACAGATTTATACAAGTTGTATGCAATAGAAATGTAAACAACAGCTTATAAGATTAACTGAGACCTTTCAGGGTCAATAATTTGACCCTGCACTTTTGCCAGTACATCTGACAGCCTTCTTCAGGTGACCACTGGTCAGTGGGACACCTGTCATGTGACTAGATGGTCAGTGTCGCATGACAGATAGCTTGAAATTGCCCAAAATAGTGGATTCTAAAAAAGGTATGTTCAAGTAACCACTTTTCCCCATTACCAGCACCTAAATCACTACCCAGTTAGCAATACTTACCATAACGGGACATAATTTCTGGTTTTGAGAGGCCATCAAGCTCAGCAGACTCGATCATAAGCTTGCTGGCGTCGTTGTAGTTTGCGAGATCACGACGTAGTTGGCTATTGTTGTTCTCCAGTTCTCGGATCCTTTCCTGCAGGGCCACCATGTCCTGACCCATCTTCTGGACCGCCAGACGGTAGTTCTCTAGCTCCTTAGACTGATGGTCAAGAACGTTCATAGATGCATTGTCAAGGTCTGGCTGCCGGCTGTAGACAGAAAACAAGGAATTATAGCTAGGTTATAAATATTCTAGGAGTGGGCTTATTTGTGAGTATGGGCTTATATGTGAGCAAGGTCTTATTGCTAAATATCTTACATAGTATGGAATTATTAAAAGCATTTCCAGTTAAAGAAAGAGCAATTCAGCATTGACAGATAAATGAATATTGAATGATTCTATAAAGTTCTCATCTAGTGGGAAATACCCTAAAGAAGTTTTTAAATTTGTTTCACAATTCCCGGGTTTTTTGGGTGTTTTTTTACTAATCTTCTAATGATGCCACCAATTTTAAAAATATTTCCACTCTGCAATATAACAAGATTCTTGGAAAAACATTAGGAGAATTCAGTAATTTGATTTACAACTTTGAAAACATAAAAGAAAACCTGACATGTAAAAGTCAAAGAAATTAATGGCATTAAGACCATTGGCAGTTTAAGAAAACAGCAAGAACTTTGAAATTTCAATAATTGTAGAGTTTTCATTTCCCCCTCTATATCACAGGTAGTTTCAATAACATTGATATGATTCATCATAAAATATATCATCCAACTTTCCTCATTGTTCTCATCATCTTTAAAAAATCAACAACACATGTGCAATGTGGTTAATACTGAATTGGGTCATTTATATAAGATGTAAGGTGAAGTCAAGATCAAGAAGAAACAGTCACTAACAATAACTGTAGGTCATGCATGACAATGGTACAACACCAATTGAGCAGTATTGAGATTTTATCAACTACAGTCAAACATTAGTACATTCTGCAGACATGGTAAAATCCAACTCAAGATAGCTCTGTGCAATAACTGACAGATCTAACTAAAATTTGACATATATATGCTACATTACTGTGACATGGAGACTTATTGAGGATTAATGATTTATGCTAACTTCCTGTGTCAAGGAGACTTAAGGATGTATGCTAACTTCCTGTGTCAAGGAGACGTAAGGATGTATGCTACCTAAATGTAACATGGAGACTTAAGGATGTATGTTACGTAAGCGTAAAATGGAGACTTATGGGTGTATGCTAACTTACTGTGACTTGGAGACTTAAGGATGTATGCTATCTTACTGTGTCAAGGAGACTTAAGGATATATGCTACCTAAATGTAACATGAAAACTTAAGGATGAATGCTACCTTACTGTGACATGGAGACTTAAGGATGTATGTTACCTAAGCGTAAAATGGAGACTTATGGGTGTATGCTAACTTACTGTGACTTGGAGACTTAAGGATGTATTCTACCTTACTGTGACATGGAGACTTAAGGATATATGCTACCTTATTGTGACATGGAGACTTAAGGATGTATGCTACCTAAATGTAACATGAAGAGTTAAGGATGTATGCTACCTTACTGTGACATGGAGACTTAAGGATATATGCTACCTTATTGTGACATGGAGACGTAAGGATGTATGCTACCTTACAGTGACATGGAGACTTAAGGATGGATGCTACCTAAATGTAACATGGAGACTTATGGGTGTATGCTAACTTACTGTGACTTGGAGACTTAAGGATGTATGCTACCTTACTGTGACATTGAGACTTAAGGATGTATGCTATCTTATTGTGATATGGAGACTTAAGGATGTATGCTACCTAAATGTAACATGGAGACTTATGGGTTTATGCTAACTTACTGTGACTTGGAGACTTAAGGGTATATGCTATCTTACTGTAACATGGGACTTAAGGGTATATGCTACCTTACTGTGACATGGAGACTTAAGGATGTATGCTACCTTACAGTGACATGGAGACTTAAGGATGTATGCTACCTTACTGTGACATGGAGACTTAAGGATGTATGCTACCTTCATTAGACATGGAGACTTAAGGATGTATGCTACCTTACTGTGACATGGAGACTTAAGGATGTAAGCTGCCTTACTGTGGTATGGAGACTTAAGGATGTATGCTACCTAAATGTACCATGGAGACTTATGGGTGTATGCTAACTTACTGTGACTTGGAGACTTAAGGGTATATGCTATCTTACTGTAACATGGGACTTAAGGGTATATGCTACCTTACTGTGACATGGAGACTTAAGGATGTATGCTACCTTACTATGACATGGAGACTTAAGAATGTATGCTACCTTACTGTGACATGGAGACTTAAGGATGTAAGCTGCCTTACTGTGGTATGGAGACTTAAGGATGTATGCTACCTAAATGTAACATGGAGACTTATGGGTGTATGCTACCTTATTGTGACCTGGAGACTTAAGGATGTATGCTTCCTTACTATGATTTACATGACACTTTTCCAAAAGATTTCAACACAAAGAAATCTGTAAAATATTGTTATGTTTCATAATTCAGACTTGCATAATTTGCATATGCCATATTTAATAGTTACAAAAGAATATATTACTCAGATAACTGAATGAATTTATTATGCTGAATGTATGGGAGATAACTCTAATACAAGAGAGATAACCTAAACACCAGGTAAAATGTGCCATGAAGTGTGCAGCCTTAACCACTTATTATAGGCAGTATTTAACAGTGATAATCTTTTTTTTTCTTGGTTTCAACATTTTGCAGATAATAAGGTTTGACTGTAGTTAGATGGCTAATGGATATGTGTATCAGACATCAGTGACATGCATCAAATGGAATTTCAATTAAATAAATTGATCCTCAATTTGAAAACATTTTCAGGCAATGAATAAAGTTATGCTTCAACGTTACTGATTCAAAACTGAATTCCTTTTCAAAAATTAAAAAAAAAAATTGTCTGTGTAGAAATCAGTGCTTTAAGTCTCTGAAATTTATGAAAGGTTTGAAAAAAAATATCCATAGTAGGTGCATTATTGCACTAGAGAATTTTTTCAAAATTAAAATTAAAATAAATAATTCCCTTGAATTTTACTGTTCAGAAAGAAGTCTTACAAAGATTCTATTGTATTCGACATGTATAGGTCTGTTCATTTTACTGTATACTGGTTTGTCGTAGTTAAACTTCTGCCTATCTAAAGTTCCATAGTGAGGGCCAATTTATCTTGAAAGCAAACATTCATACACAACATGCCATATATGTATATGTGATTTCATATAAGTTATTGCATGTGAAAGTCAAAATTAACATTTCTCCAAAACTATCAATGACTACCCTGTTCATGTTTACGTAACACTGGACCAGGTGTGTCGGGACATTCATATTGCCATGTTCCTTGGCTGTCTTCCCGATTTTATTTGAGATATTTTCGGAGAAGACGACAATCTTTTCTTGTCTTTTGTACGAGACTGTTGAAATTTTCACAGAGATAGTTTCCTCTCTCACTTTCCAGTTAAATACCAGTCCTTATAAATAAATAATTTTCTGTATTATGCTGGTTGAAGGCAATGTATAGGAATGCATTATTCAATTTGCTTATACTTTATTTTGTAATTGTATAATTTTTCTTATATTTAATTTTTATCTAAAATATGTATTTCATATAACTCTTTGTGTTTGTAAAAGAATATAAAAGATATGAATGATTGAAAGGTGTAGCGCAAAAGTTTGACTGGACCAAAGTTTACTGGTATAAATCCTCAATACTCCAGGGGTTACGCTCACTTTCGCTCTTTGTACCCCTAGAATATGTCATAACGAAATTGAAGACACGCAGTTAGCTATTTGATTGGTCTCAGGTAAAAAGTAAAAAATCCTGACCATTCGCTAGGCTGGAGAGTCAATTTTTACCGTAATACGATTCTTTTAATGATCAAACTGGTCTTCTTGTCTCGTCCACAAGGTGCTCAGCACATTGAGCCTTTGATTTTGTTATGACCTATTCCAGGGGTGTAGAGAGCATACATTGCTGTAGCCCCTGAAGTATCAAGGATGATTGGTATATAACAGGAGAAAGAGAAATTCAACGGCCAGATCGGGGTTCGAACCCTGGACCCTCCGAACTTCAAACAGACACTCTACAAATGAAGCTACAAGGTCACCGACAATCGACCCAGTCCATTTCCGATACAGGTATATAGTGCAGTAGTTTAACAATCATGCAATGGAAAAGGAAAGAAAAAACTTGGTGGATGGAAAGTAGGACAACAGTGACATGTAATATGAAGAGATAGGTTCCACCACCACAGAGGGTTCGTAAGTGCAGCTGTGCTGGAAGATTTTAATATAGCAAACCTGTCCTCAGGCAGAATTCTAAGTCTGTCTCTATAATGGGGTCCTAAACTGGAATCAGATTTCATTTAGAACGTCAATGATATCATCTCATTNNNGGGGCGGGGGCAGTAAGGAGGAGGGTAATTATGATTTCTGATAAGCAAGGCTCAGATTTTGAAATCTGAAGATTTATTTTTCACTTCAAGTCATCCCGTCATAATCATGAAATATTAAAATCTATCATGTAAGAATAAGGTTTTTATTAGGAGCAAGATTTTTCTAAAGAAATTATCATTTGTAACTTAAATTATAAATACATGTATCAGCTTACAAAATTCGCTTTTAAACATAATGGCATAGCCGACTTCCTATTCTAAGGAAATATGATCCAAAATATGAGTGGTTTAATTTACAAAACCGTCAATTTACTGTGGTACGTACCCTCATAAAAAAAAAATACTATTGAAAGCACTATTGAAATCAAATCTGATCTGATCTTTCTACAGAAAAGGGATTCTGATATTGATATTTTTCATCAACAAAATTACATTCTTCGAAGAAATATAGCCTATTAAATCATTCATTTGACAGTAGAATATTATATTACTTCTTTCAAGAAAGCGATTTTAGGAAATTATGTATCTGAATTGTTCAATATCAAGTTGGACGATTTTTATAGGGATAGGGTGAGAAGGGGTAGAGGGCAGGATGTTATCACGAAAAAAGGATTGTTAATAATTACAGATGCCAAAGATACCTCAATGTTAATTACATAACAATATTACAACATTAGGAAGGGTTAAATCTCGAAACCACATGTCTCAAAGACGAGATATATATTACATACAAGATTGTACAAGTGGATACATATAAGATTTGATTTGTGACCTCATCCAATAGTGCTGAATCGTAAGTTTTTAATAGGCTGCATATACTGTAGGATCTAGCACAGAAGACTTAAACTACCCCCAAAAATTGTATAAAAGTCTATCAAAATATGAACTACAGTTCCCACAACTAAGTTATATAGACCAAATTCCCTAATGTAACGTTACTATAGTGTATGAAGTGAATTTCTTTTTAGGTAAGAAAGCACTTTGATATTGACCATGGTTTATTTACAAAATAATTTCTCTGAAAAATGGGAATTTACAGAACAACTACCTATGTATCTACAATTCCAATATTGATTTAGGAGAGAACTATGATAAAGCATGGCAGAAAATTACGATCAACATTACAAGATGGTAACATATTGTTCAAGTAATACATGTACTATGATATTATATTTTGTAGACTATTACTTATGTATTATATTTACCTAACTGCTGGTGCAGCATATTTTGCATATGCAGCAGGCACATTTGGTTGTTGGGGTGCAGCTTTTGGAGGTTGGCGCTGGATACGCCCCGTGGGGCTGGGTTGTCGTCCCCGGGGTGCATGCTGTTTCCCCTGGGGGTCTACAAACACATACTGGTAATCTGGTAGTACCGAGTCCACAGCACCGTGGGGTGGCATTTCACCATCTTTAATCGGCTGTAGAAACAAAGACAACATATTCCAAATAAAATAAACACATAAACTGCTCAAATATAGTAAATCTTTTCAAGTCTGATTTTTTTTCCTCTGAAAAGTAATTAAGATACTAGCAATTATATTCAATGTTTAAAAATAATCTAAAGACTATGTATTTAAAAATCACATATAAACTGAAAACATTTGAGTTTAAATTGTATATTTGTACATTCAAGCTGCATGTACATATATATATCCCTTGGAAGAAAACAAAAAAACATTTCTTTTTTTTTAAAGTACCTCTTCCATCTCCCGAACATTGATTTTCCGCACCCCAGAGCCATTTCCCATTGAGCTAGGTTATAAAAGTCTTCTCTCAAAATATTTGAAGATACTGATTGTTCCCAAAGACAATATGTACTGTGTTTATATGTATTTGGTCTTGTAACCCAGTATGTTAACAGTTTATTTATAATGGACACTTTGTAATGCATAACAAAAAATTGTCAGTTACATAATGATACAACGCAGAAAATAATCAATTTCGCTAGCACAAATTTCATCAGTAGAATGGTGAAATTTCCTGTGCGTGTATTTATCAAAGAAGTGAAAAGGTACGTAGAACTAAAGTACCTGTTCATCTTTCTCACAATTTTATTGGCCCCGCAGGAAAATGGTTTCCGACAATATGAATAATTCAGAGACGTGTTTATGAGCTGACAGTGACTGTTGCATGCAATGATCATGAGCGGCAGTGTTATTTATACCAGGTTCGTACCAGACTATCTTCTACGAATTGAATATTGTACCAAATAACTTCACGTGTCATGCCACTGAAATAATGAGTTTATTCTCTGACAAAAAATTATTGTCTTAATCAATTACTTTTACCGTGATCAAGAGAATTTTATTCAATACATATTTCCTGTGTGTCTTTACTGTTATATATATTATAACTTGTATAACAGTATACTGAACTTGTGGTAATAGTTTCAATTTCTTTATTTCATTTATATGAAAAGTATCGTCTAAATGAATGTTTTATTGTGAATTAAAAAAATTGTACAAAGACAATAATTAACGATTCATTTCTAATGCAAAATATGACCCACTGTTAACATTAATGATTAGACTATTATTGATTATCACAATTCATCATATTATAATTTTTGATTTGGAATTCTCCTACATCAGTGTATTACTGCACATTCTGCATTTTATCTGCAGACAAAACTCCAGTATGTGTGCATTGGACCCCCCCACCCCCCCTCCCCCCTCCATAAACAATTGTATTCTGGTGCACCTGGTTCCATGTAAAATTCTGTGTTTAACATTTGCCTATCATGTATCACCCCTAAATAAATAAATCAAGGTGAAATATTAGAACAGTACTTACATTTCTAGAACAGTAATTTTAAATGTCCTGGTATCTTTTTAATACTGTACATGTTGTCCACATTTAAAAGTCTGTGATCCCTAATCTCTAATTCCCCACTAGATCACCCAGCTTATGGTAATACTTAATCCTATTTTAAAAATGTCTGTCACAAATAGGCTACCTGTTTTCTTTTCGCTAACGTCAATGTAAACAAACATTTAAATATGATTTGACCTATACTCCACCACTTGAGCTACCTGGTCACTAGCAATTCACCCATAACTACACACAACTTCCTTCTACATTTGAACAGTGGCACCTCTCATTTTTACCTAAAAAGACCACTATTTGACAATACAACTGTGAAAAACTCCCGAAAATTAAAATGTTTCAATAAGATCATACCATCATCAATCCATTTAGATTATAAAGGAAGAATGTGGAATTTCCGCTGATTTTGAAAGTCGAAAAATAAGGGGTGGAAAATTGGGAGTCTCCCTCTAAAATATTGAAACTTGGCATGCAATATCTTCCTTTATAAAGAATTTCTGTATTTAAAGAAGAGTATTCATACCCTAATATATACTAGATAGCGTTTATCAAACTGAATCTAATCAAGTTTACAATAATCTTATCCCGCTTTAGACAGTCGAATAAAGGTTATCCTGAACAGTTGGAATTGAATGTGTTTAGGTTGATTGTTATTGACAATATCTATATTTTCATAAGCAGAACAGCAAACTTAAGTATACAAAATGTTTGACATACATATGCCCCCCCCCCCNAATATTAAGGAAAGAAATGGAGCTGAAATTCAGTTTATCCAAAGTCAATGAAGCAGAAAAATAGGTCACAATGACCTACATTTGATATATTGGTAGTAATGTAGTACTTCTCAAAATGAGTCCACGTATGAAGTGAGATCACTTTTGGATCTCTGGTATATCATGAGGGTAATGAAGCTAAACACAAAAGCTAACCCCGATGTACAGAAGGATGGACAGACTAAACGACAGAAATAGGCAAACACTTCCAGACCCTCTATTACTGTTTTGGGGTATATCAACTTATGATCTATAACAAATACCATGTAATTAAAATATTACAATTCCATAAATTTAAATCAGTGTCATCATTTCACTTTGTCACCAAAAAACCCCACAAAATCAATATTATACAGTTCTGAAATCTAATGTGAAATTGAAGATTTTATTGATTTTTGAGTTCTTTTTTTAATTGAAACATTTCAGGTTAATACAGGGTATTAAAATTGTATTTTAATTTGACATAAGCAATCTTTCATGACAATTTTGTTGATATTAACAGTATAAAATCAATTATAAGGTTTTGCAAAAGGCAACTGAAAATAAAGAAACAATGTTTTGTGATAAATATTGATTATATTCTTATTATTATCTTTAAAAAAATCATTCATGCTCAATTTTAATTCTGATTTCATTAATTGTTAGAGAATTACAATTAATGAATCAATTAACAATCAATCATATTTCATTTTCTTGATTAGGAACACAAAATCATGTTAATATCATATGATGTCAATAACACTAAACCATGCACTACAGACTTTCAAATGACTTAAAAGTGTCACTTTTCTTATTCATAACAAACTTTTAATAAAACTTACCTCAGCCGTATACGGACGATAATACATAGTGGCCATCTTGGAAATGTTATCGCTAGTTTAATTAAAGATCCTCTTAATTTATGGTTGAATTGATAAGACACTGCACCAAAAGTTAATTAAAATAATTTATCCACAAGTACACGATAACCACAATATAAGAACTCCTGGGAAAACTTTGTCTAAACTGTAATAATCCTCAAAATCATTTTGCTGGAATATGGCTGACAAAATATCGCTGCCAAAGATCAGTATTCTACAAATAGTCCGTAAGACATATTACATAGAATGTTGTAGGTATATATACATCCGGATGAAAAGATCCTATTTTGGTTATAAACCGAGGCTCCTCGGGGGGTGAATTCCACAAACTGTTATATTAAATGCCAAATTTTCCATAATCCACACTAATAAATAACTTAGCCTGTGGTCTTTCTATCAGGATTTTCTACCACTTATTAATCTAAACTGTGGGTGTAATTGTGTTATTCAGATAGAAATCAATAGTAAATAATCCCCAGTGGCGATTCTTTCCTGCTTTACCTGGTCATACAGGTAAGTTAATTAGCGCTTCCCTTGGCTGCCCCATTCCGACTACCTGTAGAGGTTGTTTACTTATGGCCGCCTGGTTACCCCAAACAAGCTGTTGCACGAATCAACAGGTGATCCACAGCTAGATTTCACGCTACCCCTAAGTTCCCTTTAAATGTCTCAAGACGCTATAGTTCATTCCAGATAAGTGGTCCGAGTATAGGCAAGCATTTAAACTGGATATTATAGCCCATTTCTAATCAATTAAAAACAGAATTTCTCAAAAATGTCCTAGCATAATTCATACATTGAATTTTATACAATTAGTCAAAATACTATTTCGAGCAAAATTTGATTTTAAAATGATGTATATAATCAATTAATTTCTCATCAAATGATACATGTAAATGTTGATGACTAATTAAGTAATATCAGAAAATAATTGATGATCTCTGAAAAACATTACATACTATTTTTTTTTGTTATTTTTTTTGTATTTAATTTTTTTTTACCTCTAGCTCCAAACAAAAAATCTTAATGAAGTTAATGAAATTAAAAGTATTTTTTTCTGGTCAGTTTTTTTTATACATTAAAACAACCTAGTCATTATCATAAAACTGGATTAAAAAGATAGGATACAATACAATGCATGATATGTATTGACGTTATCAAAATATTTTTTATACAATCTTTTTTTCTACTGAATTAACTTCAAATTAAGAAAAAGAAAAAACAAGAAAGGACTTGGGGCGTCATGGGTCATTTTTGCAATAAGAAAGCAAAAATTTTGACTTGAATTCATTTACCAATTTCTTTAATAAACGTCATATTGGTTATCTGGGGCTATTCTCCCTGGTACATTTGTTTTTGATAGTGCATGCGTAGATGCCCCACCAAAGCAACAAAGTTGCATTGCTATGCAGAAATAGACAAAATATAGCGTTTTTGGACAGTTAACATGAAAAAAAGAAAGCCTCTGCACATGTGACAACCAAAAATTTCTTTCTATGAATGAACATTGGTGTGACAATGTTTAAGCATGCCTAATATTAATTTGGTCGGTGCATGCGGAGGGTTTAAAATAATAATCAATGTTAATTTGCTTAGAAATGGCCAATTTTCAACGTAAATAGCGCACAGTAGACAATATTCACACGTTTTTTTATGCAGAATTATACCTCTCTTTATTATGCCATATATCCTATACAAGTTAGTTGTCAAATGAATTAGAAATGTAACATTTTGCATTCTTGATTTATCCTAGATTGATAATATAATGACTATAAATTTCAAATCCATGATGAGACCAGAAATGATTCTTAACATCCCTAGTCCTTTCTCTCAGCTATAAAAACTAATAAAAAAGACCTTGGGCAAATTCTTCTTGTAAAAATGAAAAATGTTGACAAGATGCCCCAACTACCACTATGTATTTCTCCAACAACCACCATAGGTTTCCTCACTCCCACAACCACTATAGATTTCCTCACTCCCACAACCCCTATAGATTTCTTCACTCCCACAACCACTATAGGTTTTCTCACTCCCACAACCACCATAGGTTTCCTCACTCCTACAACCACTATAGGTTTCCTCACTACCACAACCACTATAGCTTTCCTCACTCCCACAACCACTATAGGTTTCCTCACTACCACAACCACTATAGCTTTCCTCACTCCCACAACCACTATAGGTTTCCTCACTACCACAACCACTATAGCTTTCCTCACTCCCACAACCACTATAGCTTTCCTCACTCCTACAACCACCATAGATTTCCTTACTCCCACAACCACCATAGATTTCCTCACTCCAACCACCATAGGTTTCCTCACTCCCACAACCACTATAGGTTCTCACTCCCACAACCCCTATAGATTTCCTCACTACCACAACCACTATAGGTTTCCTCACTCCCAAAACTACTATAGGTTTCCTCGCTCCCACAACCACTATATGTTAACTCACTCCCACAACCACTATAGGTTTTCTCACTCCCACAAGCACTATATGCTTCCTCACTCCTATAACCACTATAGGTTTCCTCACTCCAACATCCACTATAGTTTTCCTCACTCAAACAACCACTATGGGTTTCCTCACTCCAACATCCACTATAGGTTTCCTCACTCAAACAACCACTATGGGTTTCCTCACTCAAACAACCACTATAGATTTCCTCACTACCACAACTACTATAGATTTCCTCAATCCCACAACCACCATATGTTTCCTCACTCCTAGAAACCACCATAGGCTTTCTCACTCCCACAACCACTATATGTTAACTCACTCCCACAACCACTATAGGTTTCCTCACTCCCACAACCCCTATAGATTTCCTCACTCCCACAACCACTATAGATTTCCTCACTACCACAACCGCTATAGATTTCCTCATTCCCACAACCCCTATAGATTTCCTCAATCCCACAACCACCATATGTTTCCTCACTCCTAGAAACCACCATAGGCTTTCTCACTCCCACAACCACTATATGTTAACTCACTCCCACAACCACTATAGGTTTCCTCACTCCCACAACCCCTATAGATTTCCTCACTCCCACAACCACTATAGATTTCCTCACTACCACAACCGCTATAGATTTCCTCACTCCCACAACCACCATAGGTTTCCTCACTCCCACAACCACTTTATGTTTCCTAACTCTTGACTCATTGTATAAACCAGCTAGGAGTTGGTCCACATTTTTTATTAGTGTTTCCAAACATTTTGCGGCATTAATTGAACATACAAATTATTTAATTACAATTTACATAAGATACCATCAAACTTGACATTTTGACAAAGTTAAATTGTTAAAAATCAAACTCAAATACATACATGCATATAGAATATATCATCAAAATTTTATAAATGTCCTCAATAGCTGAAGTTACAAATGATATAGCTTTTCAGTATATGTATATTTATATTCTCATATGTACATGCATTTTGCGAATAACCGTTTATTGTATTAAAAGGATAAGTAGGTGTTACATTTAGCTTAAAAAAGGAAAAACAAAAACAAAATCAAACTATTTCATATGTTAGATTGTATCCCTCAAACAAAACACTTTCCATGCATTTTTGCAGTTCTGACTTACCTCCCCTGCACCATCAGTATGGACTTGGAAAAACACTGTTGGCTGTGTACATATATAGAGTTAGACACTATACATATAACGAGTGCCTTAAAATATACTTAGGCCAAACAAAAAAACATGTTTCCCATTACATGTCTGAAAACATTAGGGTAGGTAGGTCGGTAATACATTTTATTTTAGGAGTAAACTTGACTAAATACCTCATTCACCCCTGAAATTTTGTAATGAACTATTCCAACCTTTGAATTGGAAGATTTCAAATGTGTTTTCATGGGTGAATGAGTTAAACTAGCTTCCTTGGAAATTGCCAAAAAAAGTTTAAGGTCGGCACCAAAAGTTAAGTTTGGAAGGGTAACTGGAAACAAACAAGTTTTGTTATTCTGCCTTCATCAAGGTTATTCCCTATATATTGCAACATTAAGATAGCTAGTAATACTTGTCCCTAATACTGATGAATCATTCAAGTGTCACAACATTTCTCAGGGTCAGATAATTTATTCAGCCCTCCACAATATTTGATGCTTATTCTTAATTAATGGTACAATAAATTAAGGCCATCTCTTAAATAGAGTCTTAGTAACCCGACCATGGCCAGGTCATTTAATCTTCCAGTCTTCCACCAAAAACATTTACGGTGGAAAAACTTAATTTCACACTTAGATTAAACAAGAATGCTGGAGTAAGATGGTAGTGAGTAAGATGGTAGTGTAACAGCCGAGGTATACGGTGGGTAAATACTGCCTTAATGGCAAGCTAGTTATTCCAGTGATGCGGTATAAACCTGGAAAGTGCTTACTAGTTCAGTAACGCGGGGTGTGGGCAGTGGGTGTTACATTTGGTGTCAGCATTGTGACCCTGGAGTACCACGTAAGGCCAGTTCGAAGTGGTTAGGGAAGGTTTATTGGAACTCGGGAAGGACCAACAGGATTCCCAAGGCCAAGTCTCAGGAGGAGACTTCTCGGAGGGAGGAATAGTGTAACAGCTAAGGAACATGAGGGGGAAATACTGGCAAGCTAGCTTTTCTAGCAATGTGGAATAACTGTCAAGTGTGGTCAGTCAGGCTAGATGGGTGTCAACCCGCACGTTACCATAAGATTAAAACTAGAAGTGAAGAGCTGTGTGTTGAAGGGCAGTATGGAGCTATAAACTCAGGTAGGTGCATGTACATATGGAACTAGGAAGACATGGAATGCACTATGAAATTTTTAATGCAGCTAGAAAGACACAGGTTAGTGGTCTGGCATAATGTCTAAAGTGGAAACTTGTAACAGACCCCTAAACATGGTCTTTAATTAAATGTATAGATATTATTCATTTCAAGGCAGAAAAAATAAAAGGAAAAAGTAAACAGGTACGTTACATTAATCAGACAGAATTGAAAATGTGAATCGTATAAGGAGTCAGAGTTAATGTGATAAAGAAAAAAAAAGTGATGGGAAGGCAGGGGTGGAGCTAGATAAGTTGTCAGGGGTGGAGCTAAGGAGGTGGGGTGGAGCTTGGTATGCATGGGTGAAGCTTGGTAGGCAGGAGTGGAGTTTGGTAAGTTGTCAGGGGTGGAGCTAAGTAGGCGGGCGTGGAGCTTGGTAGACAAGGGTGGAGCTTGATAAGTTGTAAGGGGTGGAGCTAAGTAGGCAGGCGTGGAGCTTGGTAGACAGGGGTGGAGCTTGATAAGTTGTAAGGGGTGGAGCTAAGTAGGCAGGTGTGGAGCTTGGTAGGCAGGAGTGCAGTTTGGTAAGTTGTTAGGGGTTGAGCTAAGTAGGCAGGCGTGGAGTTTGGTAGACAAGGGTGGAGCTTGGTAGACAAGGGTGGAGCTTGATAAGTTGTAAGGGGTGGAGCTAAGTAGGCGGGCATGGAGCTTGGTAGACAGGGTGTGGAGCTTGGTAAGTTGTCAGGGGTGGAGCTAAGTAGGCAGGTGTGGAGTTTGATAGGCAGGGGTGGAGCTTGGTAGGCAGGAGTGCAGTTTGGTAAGTTGTCAGGGGTGGAGCTAAGTAGACAGGCGTGGAGCTTGGTAGACAAGGGTTGAGCTTGGTAAGTTGTCAGGGGTGGAGCTAAGTAGGGGGGTTTGGAGCTTGGTAGACATGAGTGGAGCTTGCAATTGGTAGATGGGTGGAGCTTAGTAGGTGGGTGTGAAGCTAAGTTAAGCAGGGGTGGAGCTTGGTAGGCAGGAGTTGAGTTTGGTAAATTGTCAGGGGTGGAGCTAAGTAAGCTGGGGTGGAGCTTGGTAGATAACAGTGGAGCTACATGTAGGTAAGTTGTCAGGGGTGGATCTAAGTAGGCAGGAGAGGAGCTAGGTAATTTGTCAGGGGTGGAGCTAAGTAGGCAGGAGAGGAGCTAGGTAATTTGTCAGGCGTGGAGCTAAGTAGGCGGGTGTGGAGCATGGTAGGCAGCAGTGGAGCTTAAAGTAGCGAGGGACCAAGCTAGGTATCCAGGGGTGGAGCGTAGGTATGCAGGATTGGAACTGTGAAAATTGGAGTGTTGAGCTGGTAAAACTGGAGAAGGACTGGTTGGAAACTTGAAAGCAAGAGTAGAAAGGGGAAGGCATGAGTGGAACTAGGTATCAAAGAGCTATGAAGGCAGGAACTGAACTAAGGCAGGAGTGAAGCATGAAAGTCATGAAATAAGTAAGGGACAGTGTGCAAAAGCTGCAACATTTATGTACTAGTGAAAATCAAGTGTCTGAAATTAAACAATACGTTTAGGCCTAAAAGGTGACGAAATTTGCCAAAGAAGTGTTAGAAGAAAATATAAATACTAATAAACACTTACAGAGAGTGGTCTTTTCTTCTGCTTCCTCATGTAGTACCCTCCCCCTGGGGGTGTGGGTATGAGGCGCCCAGTAACCGTGTCATTATCCTCCTCGTCTGTATCCTCCCCAACTCCCTCCTGCTCCTTAGTGAGGGCTGTACCTTCCGTGTGGACGCTGCCCTCCTCCCCCTCGACCTTCAGTATGTCTGGGGTCGTGCGAAAGTACGTAGACTGATCAGGGAACATATCCAGGGAAGGAAGGGCATCTATGTCGCTTGTGGACACCATGGTGTCAGGGTCCTGGAATATATGGTAAGTACAGACAGTCTTTGTGATTAGAGTGCTTAAGATATCTCCATCAAATCTTTATCTCTATAAGTTATATTTTTGTCCCTTCACTGTTTTAACTGTTTATTGCTATCTTGGGTTCTGTAGCAGGTTTAATAAAGGTTTTGTATTTTCACACAGATGTGTTTGTAACTGGAAAGAGAGAAGTTTGCTTCCTCCGGGATCAAACCAGAGACCCCCAGCTTACCAGTCCTAGAAGGTGACCGTGATCCTATGTACAAATTTAAACCTGCCGCACTACTCCCCCCTTTTTATATGCGTTCGCCCTCAGACACCTACTACAACCCAGGTCAATCTAATTCCCTGTCCCCTTCCACTGAGGAACAAAGAGTAACTGAGTTAGAAAATATAATTATCATTTCTACAGAAGTATTTTATATAGAACACATCTTGCTTGAATCTTCTGACCAGTACCTCTACAGCATTCAAATTTTACAAATGTAGTAAGTTTTTCATTGGATACAATACATGTATATATATATATATAAATATTTGCATCTGCCAGTGAGAAAAAATGAGTTTCTCTATACAACCTAGACTTCAGTTAATGGTGGCACGGGAGTCTAGTGGTAGGACGCCGGCCCCTGACTGAAGGGTTGTGGGTTCGAGTCACGCCAAGGCACTGTGTTGGTATCTTTGAACAAGATACTTTACTCTGCTTGTTGGGCAGTGCTGGAATTGTTGAATGCTAGCTGTGAGCGCCTAAATATATATATAGCAGCACCGGCTGTATGCTCCCCAGGGAGTTGAGAAAGATATTGGCTAGTTGCAAAGGCCCAATAACCACAGATAATAATTTGTGAACCGCTTGGAGACGAACTAAGACCTAGGTTGTGATAAAGCAGTATAGAAGGAACTCAAATTATTATTGTTATCGAACATTCTCCGATGTTTCCTCTTTATTCAAGTATGTTTCAAAGAAAAAAAAGTTATTGAGAAACTTTTGTAATACTTCTGTTTATAATAATACAATTTCAGGACTTTTCAGAACCATATCACAAGTTCATGTATCTTTAAAAGGTTTCTACACAGCCAGAATGCCCTGATGACTTACTGTTGTGGTGATTAGACGCAGTACCATGCCAACTTTAGGGACGTCTCCGTTGATATCCTCAACTTCTTCACCCTAAAGTATGTCAATCGTAAACAAATAAAGTCTTTGTAACTTGACAAGATGTTATTTCTTATCTATAAAATGTATATCTTCAATACACATTTAATATGTTACTAAAATCTGTATTTCAAACTTTTGTACAGAAAACGAAGCAATTGGATGAAAACTATCATTTCATTTCGATGAAGAATTATAAAATTTCAAACAATTACGATGCTCAAAAACGTTCAACATATATTAAGACTGTTCTTGAAGAGTTAAAAAAGAATTTACAGAAAAAGAAACAAATTTAAGCACATCTGGTCTTATAAATGTTGGAAATATATTTTTCAGTTATCTCAAATTATTTTAATTCATGCTATTTGTTCAATCTAACACTGTCTTTACATAAGTTGATATTATTAAATATTTTTAATACAAACCCGATGATTTCTGCTTCATTTAAAATCTTATGTCAATTTATATTATTTTTCAAAGGGAAATAACTATTAAAGAAAAATACAAGTAGGCCTACAGACTATGACAATTTTCTACATTGAAGAGTTTTGGAAAACACAGAAGTATTAAGTGCAAAGAAAGTCAAGATTAATATTGCCACAGACAGGCAAAAACAAAAAGGTTAGTGATTTGTGCATATAAATGTTCTTAAAGATTACTTGGGTTCTTCTTTAATATAAACTAATATTCAATTGTTATCATTTCAAGTTTAGAGATCTATCTGTACAAAGTTTGTGAATTAATATTGTTGTAGGAAACCATCTCAAGAATAGAATATTTATTTTCCAGTTTTAACATTAATTTCATAAACTCAGGATATCTTGTTTGGACCTTCTGATAAGCTAGTCTGGTATCCTGATAAACAATATTTATGCGAGAGAGGAAAGCTTATATTACAAAGTCAGCGAAAACTTTTGATTCTGCTAGAAGACTTTTAAACGAGAGTGTGTGTTCCAAATGGAGACTACCCGGGTAGATGCATTATTTTACCAGAATTGCTTTCTTGCTAAAACCATCAACTACGGGAATTTTTCTAGTGTGTGATTGCTTTAGGGGTTAATAAGGTAAAACAGATGTTACACTTGTGATAACTATTAATTGTGGCCATATAAGGTGATTTTAAAGTTAATCTTTTACAACATGCAGTTTATAATCTTATATCTATATCTAAAACATGCAGTTAGAGAAATAGGCAATCAGTTTTACTGTATAATCAAGAACCTGTGCAGAAATATATTTAAAGATATGGTGCAAAAATAAGCATGCAATGTTATCCTCAAAAGTCTATAAAAGAGTTGTTGACGTAAAATTTAAAAGAGTTAAAATTTATGTGTGAAAACTTGCTCCAATTTCTTCATTTTCTGGAAAGAGTTTTTAACATTCCAAATAATTTCAATTTTGTATATAAATAACCATGAACAATTTAAAAAAAAAAAAAAAAAAAAAATGAATTTGTTTTATTAAATTTTCTTTCCTTTTTTTTTATAAAAAAAAAATCAAAACTAAACTTATCTAGGTATCCAAAAAAATATATGATGATTTCTAAGTTTTAGAAAATACTGGAGCCAAGTTATAGAAGATTAGAATAGTCAAATTAACATGCAATAATTTGTCTCTACTTAAAAGTGTATAAAAAGTATACTGATCGATGTTATACAGAGAATGTGTGTGTTTGATTTCCATAAATATTTGAAAAACGTCTCACCACAAAGAAATTCTACCATACAGTTGCATGCAGATATACAGTGGGAAGTATTTATAATGACTTACAGTTAGAACATCTTTAAAAACCTTCAACAGAATCAAACATCCAAGATCAAGATTAAATAAATAAAAATTTGACAAACACCTATTTCTTAAATAAAATAATTTATCTTAAAAGTGCAGATCTTGGAGAAAATCAGTTTTTGCTCTATGTTATGCAAGTTTTGTCTTCAATCTAAATAAAATAGATGAGACAAAAAGCATTGGATACAAACTCAGAGCATGAAAGATTTAAAAAATATGTCTTTATTTTCTGCAATGTATCACTGATTGCTATTAAGGAAAGAACAAATATATAGATTTTAAAGCAAAATTCCTTTGCAAGTTTAAACTAAAATAGCAGAGGTAAAAGAGCAGCTCCCTGCCTGACAGCTACAGCATCACCTAAATACGTAAATGTCATTTCTCAATATTAGTATCTTTTTAAAAGAAATGCATTTTAACACTGGTTCCACATTAATAGACAAGTTTTATACATATATTAGTTTTAATTTTAATTTGAAAGATGAAATAATCGCTGGTACATTATGTTGTTTGTTAAAATGTATTTGACTTTCTAAATCATGATTATTTACAAATGTTGACTTCGGTGGAAAATTAAATCCAGCATTTTAAATTGACTTTTATTTTGATTTTGAAAGCTAATAGATTTTGAAAGCTAACAGTGGTAGGAAACATTTGCTTGTATTTATTAAGTATTATTGAATAATTCAACACTGAGCACATGGTATATCAACAATGATTATATGGTTATTAAAAAAATGTACATATGGTTATTTAAATCTTGACGATTGTCGATACGATAACATTTCATTATGATCAGTAGGGCACATATATAATGTTGATTACGACATTGTCAGGTACATGAATTTTATTGTTGAATAATAACTCTGGGTATAATGTTGATTAAAACCACAAAAAACAACATGTAAACATCAGTGTTATGTCCCGTCACCAAAAATAGAATCATCATTTCTCTAAAAAAATGTGCGAAACAAATTACGAGAGAATTATGTTGTTGTAATATTAATTATAATCCTCTAATAAAAAATGGTATTTCAGAAGATGTCCTCAAGAGCATTAAAATCAACCGTTCATTCTAGAGAAACTAGAACTTCAAGTCTTATGAACGAAATAATATATCATTTTGAAGAAGTTGAGAATAGCTACCAATCTTTACTAATCAAATCATCAGGTCTTTGATATAAAATTGGACAAATACAAAGTTATTTATTAGTTGTCATCAAATACATACGGAAAAAGAAGTTCAATACATCAAACCCCTTTTTAATGTAGTGTACAGCTTAATCCTGGATACAGTACCGTCAGATATATATACAGGAACAAAAGTCACCAGGGTTTTTTAAACACATATGCACATTTTTGGTTAAACAGTTTATATACATGTATATTATGATTGAGATAAACTCTCCCAAATATTGACTATGAGTAAATATTGATGGGTTATACTGCATTTGAAATTATAAAAACATTTTCAAATATTATCAAATGAAAAAAGAGTTTGGTTTTTTAAAATAAAATAATGTATTTGGTTTCTTTAAGAAAATAATAATGAAATTTTCTTTAAATTGAATTTTTAATCAATTAGACATTTGAGGGTCTAAAACTTGATAATATTATCATCAGTATTCAAGGGAGATTACCTCAAAATTTATTGTAATTCAACCCTTTGGTGTTAATGCTCGTCTCTACAAACCTGTTTTATAAACCTAAACTGCAAATAGTGAATAAACAGAAGAAAAAAAAGTCAGAAATAATTCTAATTAAAAGATCAACTCGTACATGTAAAAAAAAAAATAGCTGCAAAAAAATGTTATAAAATGTTCATTGTAGAACTCTTTTTTTATTTGGGATACCTCTTTAAGCTGAAAATATTGCAAAGTTCAACCCTTGGTCTGTGTTTTAGGTACTGCCGTTCAAGCCAAAAACCCTCCCCCCACTGATAGGTGGCATTTTTTCATTCTATATAATTTAATCTCTGCATATTCATTTTTGTAGAACAATGAATTTTAGCCAATGTCTTCACATGGAGAGCAGCACACTTATTTTCTGTCTTATAACATAATATTGAACTTCCAACACAAAACAAGGTTTTATCTAAATTCCATATCATTTGGGATAGATGGGTTATTTTCCTGTTGACAGAAACATACATGCATACAGGCACAAAAAATATAATATTCATACAACATTGAGGTTTTCATGATACATAATATATACATATTTAAAAACCAACACCAAAAAGACAAAAATTCTGACAAGAATCTGTTTATGATAGGCAAATAAAGATTTTGATTTTATAATTAATATTACATATGTCTTATTTCATAATGAGGTTCTGAAAGTTTTAAGATTTTTTTTTTCCAAGTTCTCAGTGATATGGATACTTATAATCAAGTTTGGTGTGTTTGTAGTAGAATTAATCGCTCTAAAACTTAATCAGCAAACCAATGGTGAGGAAATCCAATTAAAGCCGAGTTCAATTGTTCACTCAGGTCTTTTTCATTTCTAATTTGACATATAATAAACATATGTCTAACTAAATTTCACAATACTGCATCAATTTATTTAGATTGGCGCCAATCCCAGTTGGACTGATGCATGCTTTTATGAATTAACAAGATCTGCATATTCAATACATGTATTTCATTCAAAATGCAACAAACACACACATTCATTTAAAACTTGAATTTTGAGAAATATATTCATTTCTAAAGTTTTTTTATGAAAATGTTGTAAGGAATATCATGCAATTCTCAGCGATTTAAAATATTCGAAAATCTTGTTCTTGGGATTCGTGTTTACATTCGGGACACAAAAGCAACAGGAAACGTATTTGTCGAAATATGAATTTATTGTTTTATGTCCTTTTTAAAAATACACGCAAAGACAATAACACATAAAACACCGCAAACAACCCGAGCACCAAAATACTCCACCTCATATTCCGCTAAAATCTCGTCTAGAAACTGAAATAATATAGAGTTTGTTATATTTTTATTTCAAATTTTTGTTTTCATCGCGATATTATAGAAAACTTATATTGTAAATGCTTGAAAAATATATGCTTCACATCATTTGAATCTGAAAATAATGAAAAGAACTTGGTCTCATTGTAGGACTTCTGGTGTTATGTCCTAGACAAGACATTTCGGTGAGATAGCACTATAAAAAAAATCTTGATTTTCCCTAATGACAAAAAGATACCAAGCCTGTCAGGATATTCAAACAATTAAGATTAAAAGCCAACGGTTTTTAATGTTTTTTATTGTTGTGTGTCACATCTACATGTGATTTTTCACAAAATTGTGAAAAGTGAATTTAACATCGTTTTACATGCAATTACTTTCCATCAGAGTCAAAGGACACCCACATTCTTGTCCTTATAGAAAAACAAAAATATGATTCTAAAGTCTTCTCAGCAAATATTATGTTCCCTTTGAATAGCTAACATAACAAGGACCTCACTGTTAGCTGAGAAGTTGTGTCTGTTATTTGCTAAAATCATACCATTTTAGAAAAGTCCATTCCTTGGTTTCCAACAAGGTGATAAAATAGTGCCTTGTTGTTGGAGAAAGGAATTTCAAAAGTACTTCAATTGGAAACAAATCTTGCCACTTGCTTCACAACATATGAAGGAAAATTTCACTATAAATTTTCACTAAAATGAAATAGTACTTTCTGGGTTTTTTATTCCTGATTCATTACTTTTTTCATTTACATGTAGGTAACATATGTCTTGCTTGAAAGATTGATTTTCCAGATACTGCACATTGCTATTTAACTTGGGTATCAATCAATATGCAGAATATGTGAGTACCATATATATCCTAAGTAAATTTACACTGACTAAAAGTAAAGTTGGGGTAAGGGGTGGGGGAAGGGGAGGGCGGGGCTTATAACAGAACAATGAAATAGCATTCATTGATATTTATTTTGAACTCTATTATATATGGATGGGCTTATTACCAGGCATGGGCTTATTATTGGATAAATATACAAGGTTTTTTTCCTTTTTGCTTGAAATTTTACCATTACTTATCAAATAATGTAAAATATAAATATCAAAACACTACAGTATTCATAAACACAAACAAACAAAATCTAAAAGCTTAACAATAACTTTAAACAATCCTCCGAAAACTGAAAGTAAATTATTGCACTGCTGGCAAAGTAAAAATATAATTGGTCTTACCTGGATTGGCACGCCCTCCAGCCTGAGGCCATGTTTTGCCCGCGGTGACGTGAGCTCCGAATATATATCCTTGTCCATCAGAATGGACGAGTAGCCAATCGGGCTCCGGATCTTCCAGAACTGGTCGGACATTGCTACAGGCAAGAAATTGTAAAGTTGTTTAAAACACATATTTTAGATATTTAAATCTACAAATTCAGTTATTCTTTATAAAATGAAGTTCAAGTTTTACCTCGATTTCTGTCATATTGCAAGGATGAGCTGATTCCATTTTGAGAATATTCACTTGCAAACTTAGTAAACATTTCTTTTTGTAAACCTTTCTATCCATTTGTGGGATGTTCACTTGGACCAAGATGTTTTTCGTCCTTCTAGAAAATGTCTGTAAGACATGAATGCCACAAGTTGTCCCTGTGACTGACCTATAAATAGCAACAGTGACCTTGGCATTGACCTTGGGTCCCTGAAATACAAACTCATCCAAGGTATTCTCAAAAACATGAGCTTTATAAGAACTAATATGAAAATCTGTTAAGAAATTAAGCCAATAGAATAATAACAACAAATCGCGATGGGTAGCAACAGAATGGTATGGGATGCAATGGCAATAATTTTTGCCCCTTTCCTGATGAAATAGACAAGGTATAAAAATCAACAAATTATTCTTTGCAGAAATCCCAGCTGCCAAGATGGTACATGTATTTGAAACTTTGTTTTTTATTTAATAAAGGATATAATTTCAACACTGGAGCAGTATAACTAACTTACCTGGTAAGTACATCATAACTGAGTCATTTTTATTACTCAAAGTACTGTTCTATTTGTCGCTACATTTCATTTAGTATAAGTAGAATGAGGCAAGTCTACCCTTCAATGGAAATCCAGGGAACTTATCCCCGACTCTTGAATAAGTAATAAAAATATCTCAATTAATCTACTTTCAGAGTACATTAAGAAAAATCAGCAGCAAAATTTACAAAGTCTAGTGCTATACATTTTCCTTTTTAAAATTAAGCTGAAAGAAGAAACACTACATATCACATGGTCTGCAATATAGATAAAACCTGTAACCAACACACTATTTTTTGTTTTGTTTTAAATCTTCAGCTTTTCAGAGAGTTGAAAGTGAATGAGACAGTAAGACTGAGATAAAATGGAAGATTGTTAAATGATAAAAGAGAAAAGGTGAGATAAATCTTTTTAAGAAAACCCATGTAGACTCAAACTGGTGATAGATGATAATTTTGAGCCTTTTGTGACATGCATGAAATTCGGCAAAAAAGTACATCAAAAATGCAAGAAAAAATATGAACACATTACCAGGGTAGCAGTAATTTAAAAGATGGAAATATAAATATGCAAATATGTACAGTACACATCACAATTTTTGTCTATGTTAAACTTTTCAGGTTCTCTCCAATTGTAATAATCATAACTTCATACCCAACAATTACCACCAATATGATTTTTAAATATTCTCAAACAAGAAAATGAGATGTTAATGAATATACATAGAAGACAACATAAATATCCAATACCTGTTGCACATACCATAAATACATATACAAATATTTTCAATATTGTGATCCCTCCAAACACCTGTTGTTAAACAATAGGACATCACCGACATGTTATTTCATAGATAATGTAATCAGTAGACGCGAACCTGAAGGGTGTCTGCTAATTAATCTAGATATTTTGATACTTGTAATACCTGATTTGCTACACTAGACTACGGGCCTGTTGGTTTAAGCGGAACAAATGGTTTGTCCGTTTATAAATGTAACAGTTTCGGGTATTAATCCTGGCAGACCTGCAAATGTTTATGCAGGCCTTACAAGGCTTTGTCAAGGCTCGCCAGGAAGCAGGAGCAGATTACTAGGTGGGACCTTATTTAATAAACGAACAACTGTGACCCGACCGGTTTAACCGATTAAACGACAACAGCCTACATGTAACAAATATAATGGACAATTTCAATAACACTAATGCATTATGGGAAAATGTGTGTTCCAAAATGAAACTGAAGGCTGCAGCCATTTTGGTTTAACAGCTCAAACGATGGGGGGAGCTGGCATCAACATTGGTCATAAATTTTCTCATTTCAAGACTGTATCTGATGAGCAAATTAATTAAGGATCCAAGTACCACTGCAAAAAATTGTAGCTTTTCCTTTGAATTTTTTTTAAGCCATGAAATTAGCTTCATTGCATCCTTGCGGAACATTTATAAAAGACCAGGCCAGACCTGTTAACATTCAAACCCTGAATCTCCAATCGTTATACTGACAGTCTAACCAACGAAGAAACCTGGTCACCCACTGAAGGGGACGTCACTCTATGCAGGAAAACTACAGAAAAATTCTCTAGTGTTTTTGCCTGCAGTTGGACAGGGATCCTTAAATCAAAACAGAATCGTGAATTTTTATTTATTTTTCTTGAAATGAACTTCTTTGTCAATATGATATCTAACCAATCTAATCATGCACTTTGACCAAATTTTGGAAGACACTAGAATTTTTCAAATCGTCCATTGCTGGTATGCTACTTTGCAGTCATGGATACCATACATGTACATAAGAGATCAAACCCTTAAAAGGTTCCTTGCCGCTTATCACAACTTTTGTCTCGTTAACAGTGTTGTTAAATAATCAAATTTCCTTGCATATCCAGTTAAAATGAGTCCATGAGACAACTGAATTGAGAATAAAACTTTTATCGTAAACTGATGGAAACTAATTCATATAATGATTGAGAATGATGCACATGTAATTGTAAAAAATGATATATCTGAGTAGGATTTGAAAATCTGGAAAGTGAAAATCTGATCTATTCAGGAGATAAAGCTTGTCCTTTTCCCATTGAGTTCTGTTAAGTAAGAAAACATGTACAGTCAAACCTACAAAATTTAAAAAATGTTGCAACATCAAAAAAAATGTGGTATTTAAGATGTATAATACCATATTTATCCTCAACTTACACCAGGGGCCAATTAACACATACCGGTATTTTCTAACTCAAAAGAGGGAGGTTTGCTTCTTATAGGACAAAGAAATATCATTTGTTGTTTTGTTTATTACTGAAACTGCAATATATTTGGGGTGGGCTTATTATTACCAGGCATGGGCTTATTGCCAGATAAATATGGTATATGATTCTACCGATAATCTACTTAATGCTAAAAATTTCTATTACATTCATTAATGAAAAATGTTTATTTCTTGCACCAACTTGTAAGTAATACATAACATCATGTTTGAGACAGTTACCTGTCAGTGTGGTGCTGTTTTTACTAAATATACTTGAAGATCATAGAAAATTACTTGATATTTTAAAGATTTTTTTTGATTTTTTTCTTCTACGTTTTGTAAAGAACAGGGTTGACTGTACATTTAGTTTAGAGAGTAAAAGAAAGAGTATACAGTGTGTGTATATATATAGGACAGTTTCCCCACGGCCACAGTGTGATGAATGATACAGACCCTTGTAACTCTGCATGCTTGTTTGAGAAGGAATGGCAACTGTAAGAAACATTATACAAATACTGACATACATTTTATATTCATCTCAGAAGTACTGATAAATGATATTCTGTTAGCTAGTAAGGTGGGGTTTTTGCTTGGATGCAATTTTTGCAATTTTCGCACCAACAATTTTTCTGCGAAAAACACACACAAGCAAAATGTAAATTGCATTGAAATTTACTTCTACCTCTATGAGCTAAATAATATTCTAAATCTAATTTTGGAGTAATAATATATTATTTATTTGCTTTAATTATTGAACTTTATCTAAACCTTACTGTTGCACTATGTGGCAGAGCTACTAGATCTGAAATATGCGAAAAGTATATCCCGCAAAATTGGCCATAATAACAAAGCCACGAAAAAAAATGTTTGTGTTTTACGTCCTATGAACAGCTATGGTCATTTAAGGATTTGCCAGGTTTTGGTGGTGGAGGAAGCCGGAGTTCCCAGGGAAAAAACACCGACCTATGGCCAGTACCTGGCGACTGCCCCACGTAGGCCTCGAACCCGCGACCCTGTGGTGGAGGGCTAGTGGTAGCAGAATGTCAGACGAAAAAAACACCTTATAAAGTATTCAAACATTCCAGAGATACTGACTCAATCATTTTATTTATATTCAAGCATTTTAAGCCATCCTTAAATGACCATAGCTGTTGATAGGATGTTAAACAATGCTAAACCAAACAAATCAAGCATTTTAAGCTTTCTCATACATTGTCAAAAGTAGACTCATGCTTCTTTTATATTTTGCTTTGCCAGGATTTAATGCTGCTCAGAACTTGCTTATGAAAATCCTACAAAAGTCCCTGTAATTTTGGTGGGTTTTTTTTAATTTGGAGCTCACTTTTACATTGTTTTTTTATTTTTTCATCTCCATATAAATAACACATCAGAATTGCAGATTTTTGTTTTGCGTGCAAAATACACAATTATTTCAATGTGTAGTACCGGTAATTGACCGTAGTTCTACATTTTGTAAGCTGAACAATTTTCTAAATTTAATTTCTGCCTAAGGATATTTATCTTTTGTGCTTATATTATTTGACTATTTTTTTATTTTTAACACCAGCAGGCTACTTCATTAAGCCTTCACCTGTTTTTGAAAATACCGGAGATAAACCCTTGTTTTAACTTGTAAATCTGATCAAGATTTAGCCAAATTGATCTTGAAATAGTAGTCTTTTTGTCTGAATGTATAAAAAAAAAAATGGTTAATTAAACAAAAATTTCAGGTAAGATTATATAGGTAAGCAGTTTATGGCTATTTTTTTACCACTAGGACATGCTAATATGCTTCAAAGCAAAAAGCAAGCTCGATTATTATTTAATATAAAACTTAATACATAAATATTCTACTCTAGCCTTTGTATATGAAAGCACATGAAGGATTGATAAATATTAATATATGGTAAAATAGCACTAAATATCCTGCTTCCGTTGACAATGGAACAACAGGCATTATCTAAAATATTGACTACTGTTAAAGTGTTGCAAATGAATGAATTTCCAATGAGGATGAGAAAAATAAACAGTGGGAAGTAATTAAGTCATACCAGCAGTGGCGATGTAGTATTCTAAGACCAAGGCAGCCCCGGGTGTGAACAAGGTAGCCTTGTCACGCTCATCACTGAACAGGTACGGGTGATTCCATAATGGCTGGGTGTCGGGTCGACCAGGTAAGCTTATCTGTAAGAGGTATAGATACACCATCATACACACATGAGAAATATTAATTACAGGTCAACATAAGAAGTTGTAAAAAAAAATAGTATACTAGTTTAACTTGTGAATAATTGTTTAAGGTAGAGTGCCCCACTATTTTTCTACTGTATATACATACCTTAAAAAGTTTTTTCCATGTTAAATCTATATTATTTTTTCTTCAGTTATACAAAGAAAATTACAAGTTGCTGACCTTTTAAGGGAGCTAGAACATTTTGAAATCAGCAAATTATTCTTTGCTATTGTTAAAGGGCAAGCAACAAAGGATGAACAAGTGGAACTCTTCTTTGTTAGATATACCAACAATTGATTGGTTCTTAAAGTGGCAGTGAAGAATGAGGAGAGGTCTTTGGATGTAAAGTGGAAAGTAACAATGTCTTGCTGTCATTTTTGTTATGGAGGAAGCTATGGGGCCATCAGTCTCTTTTCCTTGCCATGCCTTGTTTTTGATCAGGAACGATGGGGAGATCGTAGAAAATCTTTTGTACTCACCTGAGGGTAGCCATGTTTTGTCCTGGGTGGCACTTTGAACGAGGAAGGATGAGGAGAAGGAAACGTCACACTCGTCATGCTGACAGCTGCCGTACGAGGATGGGAAAGTAGGTTGTCACTCCTACAATGAAAGCAACAGGGAATATTGTATTGTTCATGCAACATTGTACCAGCAAAGGAATATGACAGGGAAATACTTCCTTACTGGCAAGCTAGCTCTTCCAGCAAAGCAATATAACTGTCAGCATCACCATATGTCCTTGGGCCTAGCTCAATATTTAGCAACATCAAGCATGGTCAGTGGCTGGATAGGTTTCTGTTGTTTTGCTACATTTGGTGGCAGCGGTGGGATGCAAATCATTGATCAACCTTTTGGGAACAACATGAAAATGACTTACTTGTAGTTATAATAGTCGGGTACCATCCTGGCCACAGCAATAAGGGGACCTAATGGATGTTTGAATGGCTTCTGGACCGATCTAAGCATCACCTGTACCAAACAAACACCTAAGCATTAGGCCAAACAAAAAAAAGCATCTGTTTTTCTATTATTCTCATTCTTTCTTTTGACCCCTTAGACTTTAGGTATGGTGAATACCTGCAATCCATTTGTATAATGAAACTACAAAAATAATACTTCTGCGAAGATTTTTTCCTGAAAACATTACATGCAGTTTTCACATATACCATATTTATCCTGCAAAAAGCCCCCGGGGTCAACATGATTGGGTTTGGGTGGGCTTACTTCAGAACAATGAAAAAACATATGTTGGCATTTCTCCTAAACTGCAAGATATATGGGTGGGCTTGTTACCAGTTGGGATAAATGTGGTATCCTGATATTCTATTTAATGCAGTGGTAGAAGAAAGGAAAGTCATGATATTTAAGAAGCATGCCACGTTTACAGTAATGTATACATGCACAACTGTAATGGAAACAATTCATGAACAAAATCGTATAAACATTGAAAGTGTTCACAGAAATACAAATTGAAACCAAAAACAAATAAATACAATAAAATTATAACAATAAATATGACTGAAAATTAATACTTGAAACAGAATACCTGCAAATATACTGGCTCTTCTATTTTTAAATCCCACTAAAATTAAAAGCAAATATCTAAAATGATTTACAATGTATGACAATGTCCTCTAATATTGACCACATCTTCAAGGTTGAAGCCGTCCAAGTTTCCTTCTATATATAAGCAAATTTAAATGAATTGATTTTTTTATTGCTCCTCATAAATTAGTGTTATACAGTTCCATTTTATTTTTTCTCTTCTTCATCTAACTTCAAAACTGTTTATTTCTTGACCGATTTCATTGAGTTTTATTTTGTTCCACTTTCATCTATTTCAAAGAAAAAAACGTAATTTGTCAAAATAAATGTGTATTGGAGCCAAGTTTCTTGCAGAACTGTAGATCTAGGAACAAAGTGTCTCACAGAGCCAGATGTAGAAATAAAGTGTCTCATGGAACCAGATGTTGGAGCACAGTGCCTTGCAAACCTAGTTTTCTAACTGCAGTGCCAGAACTTTTGAGTCAAGTTTCTCACAGAGACGGATCTTATGCTAACCGTGCCACCATTCCAGTTTGTTACCCTCAAAGTCTATCGGATACAAATACTAAACACCAATTGTTGTGTTAAATGTTGTGTTAGTCCTCAAGGGTTAACATAGACGTGTGCCTAGCTCAAAGGCCTGATCTGGGATTGACAAATAGCATGGATACAGTGCAATATCATATCAAATCTACAGTTCAGCATCCCCTGGCCCCGAAAGGTTATATACTAAGCCTTATCTGACATAAGAAAATTAATTCTATGGCCAACACCAGTGCACTGACAGCCAGCAATTAACTTTATGCCTCTAAATTACGGGACAACAGGAAACTATAATTGAACATAAACATTGTCTCAATGACACTTAGTCATTTATTTTATCTCAACACCTCCCCCCCTTAAGATTAATTTCATAGGTGAAATTTATTTAAAGTGTTATGAAGAAAACTACAATTCAAATGTCACACAAAATGTAGGCATAACAGTTGTGGTGTATGATTCATATAAAAAACATTGTACAACATAATATTCCTCATGTAAAGATACCAGCCCATCAAAATTAAGCTATCAGATAAACTATGCTTTAAAGTGTATTTTTAAAACTACCAGTAGCCTAGGTCCAGCTCCTGAGCTTTTGCTCTGTAGCAGAACAGTTTTACCACAAATAAACCAACAGTTTGTCAACTTTTACGAATACTGACCTCTAACCCTAGGTACTGAGGTGAGGCGGGGTCCTTAATGAGGTGATCAAGCTTCCGTGTGATTGTGATAAAGGTACGGACTCCACTCTTTATCCCCTGGACAGGCTGAAAAGAAAAAGGAATAGAAGACTCTTTTATCTCCATGGATGTAGGATAGGGAAATTCCACCCAAGAGCTTTTCAGTTTGGGTTAAACCATTCTGAGGGTGGAACTTCCCTATACAACCCTGGGCATGATGCCAGATGGAGTATATTTGTCTCATTTTAATCACCAGAATTTGCTCAGAAACGACAAAAAGGTGTTAAACTTCTGCACCATGACATCGGAATGTTCCTTATTTTGTGTCGTCATGTTATTGCTGTCCTATTGTGACGTCATGCAGATGAAATTGGATGTAAGATAGCAATGACCCTTTCTTGCCCTGGACAGTTCAGTCATATACTCACAGGAATGAGAGACAAGATCATCAATTTTATCTTATGTCATACATCTGTATAGGTACAAACAGTAAATAAAGGATGAATCCTATTTTAATATCGGTTTGGATAAAGTGCTTACCTTGACAAGTTCCAGGTGATACTGATGGAAGGGTTCTAGGTAAGCCATAGGGATCTCATAGCTGACAAGCCTCTCCTTAGTAGGACCATCGGCCACCGCTATCACTAACACTGTTAAACATGAGCACAATGTAATCTCAGAAAAAAACCTAGAAATATAGCATAACTTCACAGATAATCTCAAATAAGTAAAAACTGTTTGATCTGAAATGTATATTCTCAAAAAAAAAAGAAAAACTGTAAAAGAGTAATTTGATCAATGTTCAATATTTGACTTAGTTATAAAATTTCTGCAAAAACATTTTGTTTTCTAATTGTAAAACAGAATTCCATGCAAAATGAAAGTGGTAAAATAAATGAGCTTTCATTTGAAATGTTTACTTAACAGCATGCTTTATCATTATTGTAAAATCTTCATTCCATGAAAAGATAAAATGGTAAAACATTTACTATTTAAAATGTTTAAAAAAATATTCATTGTATGCAGTAAGTAAAATTCACCTAAACCAGGCAGAAAATCTACTTTAAAAGTAAAACTCATCTTTTTAAAATTAGTAAAAATTAAATATATTCATGTGATACAGTTCTATAACCTACAAAAAAAACATGATTAATCAATTAAAAAAATCAATATGCATTGTCCAATATTTCATTAATATTAACATAATTAATCTGAATAAAATACCTTATTGCATTTTCTAATATATTATTTGAGCAGTATTTTTTAAGTAGAATTCTTTCATAATTTTAATTGATCACATACCATGTAACATGAAGATAAAAAAACTAATTTAAATTGTCTTGATGAAAACTTTTATCAGAATATAAATATTGTACAATAATAGATATTGATAGCACTGCATCTAAAACGTCTGGCTTTTAGACTAGGGTTCTATAGTAGAAGCTGAGGATATATAAATATATGTATATATGGACTATACCACTATGTCTTACCCCCCTCTGGTGTAATTTTCTTGATGCGAAATGGGCGCCCTTTGTATATCAAAATTTGTACACATCATTCAATTATTAAAAAGAAATTGTACATATATATATCAGATATGATTACGAAACAGCAAAAACACACACAAATCAAATATTATCATCACGAAAAAACAAACATTTAAACAGTCAAAAATCTCAAATAAGACTCTTAATTCACCAAGTTTGGAATGAATTAGATACGCATTAGTGTAAACATTTTCACCCACAAAAACGGTCACAAAGGTAAATCCAAACATAGACTATTTGAATATTCATTAAAAGACATTTATTTCCAAACACAGGTAAAAATAGTAATCAGAGGTGTTTGAAAGCATCTTAATCAAGAGAAATTGAGCTGCATGTATGATCTAGGTGGTTAACTGACTATCTAAGCACTTTGGAAAATAATGGCTCAAGATTCGAACTGGTCAGTTGGGAAATGCAACTCATTCATTCATTCATAATGAAGATAAAAGATATATGAATTGTTGTAAAAATAAATGAAGAACAAAAAAATAAAGTCAGAAAAAGTAAGAGACATCCCAAGACAGTTCTAGCTTTTAATACATTTAACTCATTCACCCCTGAAGACACATTTGAACTCTTCCAATTCAAAGGTTGGTATAGTTCATTATGAAATTTCAGGGGTGAATGAGTTAAAGAAATTTCTCCTTTTAAGTAAAAAGACCATGTAAATATATGACAAATTATGTACAAGAATTAGTTAATCATCACCAACTGTAGAAGCTTAGGTCTTAAGTATTAGTCCACAAGACAATTATCTCAAAACCTACACAAACATAGGGACATCATTCAAACCAACAGCATATCATTACCTCTTTTTGGACTGTCTGAAATTGGGTAAATATGACTATAGATGTTTACCAGGTCATAAAATATTGATATTAAAATATGATAGAGACCTAGGGCCTGTTTGTTTTTGCGGAACAATCGCTTTGACCGTTTATAAATGTAACATTTTCCGGTATAAATCCTGGCGGACCTGCAAATGTTTATGCAGGCCTTGCAAGGCTTTGTCAAGGCTCGCCTGAAAGCAGCATCAGATTACTAGGTCCGACCTTATTTAATAAACGAACAACAGTGGTCTGACCGGTTTGACCGTTTAAACAAAAACAGCCCTAGTATAGGAACAATGCTTTTTATACACATGTATTCTTCATATCCAGGTGTTCCTTATTCACAGATGCTTGTTGTTATATACAAGTGTTCTTTAAACACAGGTATACTCAATTCACAGGTACTTACTATACACAGGTGTTCTTTATACAAAGGTGTATACATTTGAATATTATTACGGACACACTAATATACAGGTATCATGGTACATATGTGGTTTTTTGTATTCACCAGCAGGTAACCTTTTTACAATAGATTAAATAATATTTTTGTTAATTTCAAACTGTTTTTTGATGTAAGAGATATCATTAAAAATCACAACATATTTTTTTAATTGAAATAGGTAAGTTCTACAGTTCCGCATAGTGTCCGGAATAACCATCAAAGCACAACTAGCAGTGGATTAATTATAGCTTCGAAGATGAGCCGAAAAAATTAAAATGGTTTAAGTAAATAAAACTGTCTGAGACGTCACTTGAAAACCTTGAGGACATCTCTTGAGCGACATTTAAATTGCACTTCACAGACAGATATAACCATATCAACGCCTAATTGATCTGTACTTAAGGGTCATCAAATGTAGATCGCAAACAGATCAAGTCTTCGTCAATTGAGGAAAGCACTGACAGAAAAGCTTCTCTGACTTCTCTATATGGTTTTAATGGTTTACACTGGACAATCAGTAAAAGTTTTTCATGGGAGAATAATAGATATACAAACCCAATCAAATCTAATACAAGAAATGTTCAGTTTCTCTTCACAATGTTTAGCCCTCTATTTCAACACCTGGCGTTATATACCTTTTCTGTGTTAAATTTTCCATGAATGATAATGGAATAATAAGTAATTAAGATCCCCTTATACAAGTTTATCCGGTTCTCAATATTGTTATGCAAGTTAAAAATGACAAATCTCTCTACAAAGATTTCAAGCCTCCTTCTTCTAATACCTCGTACCTTGCACCATTTGAGTCACGTGACTTTTATATTCCACTTCCTATGTAATCGATTTACCGAATAAGCCATCAAGTTCTCATCCCACAATAAACACATAATCCTTTTGTAAATATTCTTATGCAAATTTTTAACGATAAGTTTCTCGACGAAGATCTGACGACACATATCTATACCATGTTGTTCACCATTTCAATTCAGAGGTTCAATTCTTAAGTAATGGACCAAACCTCATATATACAATGCACTTCTCACATCAAAACGTTGGCTCCGTATTCAATATCTCTGGGTAAACTTGAACAATCAGTTTGTCTAAAAAAAAATCTTATGTCTAAAACTACATTCAAACATCTAGTATCCTTCAACATTAAAAATTTGGTAAATTTGATATCTGAAGGAAGGAGGGAGGGTTTATATAAAAACTTGGGCCTACTCTTAGAGAAATGGAAGACATAGGGTATATTCAATATACAAATTCTATGTCATTGAATATCACTATTCCATGCTGTGTCCTGGTTTTGTATTTAACTCAATGTAATATGACCTTTGACTTTTTCTAATTTGATATTTAAAATGGACCAAGTAAATAAAGCTCCCATATGGGTGCATTTTACCATATAACAAAGTTTATGTAGGTTTAATTTTTACATCATTGTTGCACAGATTTTAAGACAGTGTTTTTTCTCCTGCCTACACCAATCTTATACCCCAGGTGGAGTATGCAATGTTCCGGGGTGGGCACTGCAGTGTCTGTGCAGTAACATTCAAGTGAGATATCCCTATAAAAAGGTGCTGTTGAATGCATAAAGGTCGGTCAGTATTAGATGCAAGGTCCCCTAGCAATTCAAAACTCTAATTCATCTCCAGCACAGATGTGGAGGTATTTAGCAAGGTGCCTTAGTAGTAAGTACCTGATACAGTGGTTTCGATGAAATTGTCAAATCCTTTTGATTGTATGAATTGTATGTCTGCATATATGTAAAGTACCTCAGATGGCTTATTCTTGGTAGATATTAAAAAATTGTATAATAATTATGATAATAATAAATCCATCGCTCACCTAGTTTTAATCTCACACCTGTAACCTTAAAATCGATCTAATATAAAGCTAAAGCAAAATATCAGTATTCATGACTACCGGTATAAGTCATTTAAAGGAACCTGTTAAAAGATTTAAAAACATTTGACCCCTGTGACCTTGAAAATGGAACAAGGTCATTATAGTAAACAAACAGTATAGCCCTTCATCTCAGCATGCAACATGCCAAAATACCACCAACCCAGACCTTTTGTTTAATGAAATTAGGTTATTTAAAGATTTATACATATATGACCAAATGTGACCTTGAAAGTGGGTCAAGGTCATTCAAATAAAAAAGCTTGTTAGCCGTTCGTCCAAGCATGCTATTGGCCAAATATCAACAATCTGGGCATCATGGTTATTCTTCAGAAGTCATTAAAATATTTTTAACATATTTGACCCCTGTGACCTTGAATATACATCAAGGTCATTCATTTGAAGACAGTTGGTAGCCCTTTATCCTAGCATGCTACTGGCCAGATATCAACATTCTAAGCCTTATGGTTATTCAGAAGAAGTCGTTTAAAGATTCTGAACATATTTGATGTCTGTGACCTTGAATAAAGGTCATGGTCATTCATTTTAAGAAAGTGAGTAGCCCTTTATCCCAGCATGTTATGGGCTAAATATCATCATCCTGCACCTATTGGGTATTCAGAAGAAGTTGTTTAGAGATTTTAACATATTTGACCCCTGTGACCTTGAATACAGGTCAAGGTCTTTCATTTGAACAAACTTGGTAGCCCTTCATGCCAGCATATTACTAGCCATATATCATCAACCTGGGCCTTTTGGTTATTCAGAAGAAGTTGTTTGAAAGTTTTTAAAAACAAGTGTCCCCCTTGACCTTGGATATAAGTCAAGGTCATTCATTTGAACAAACTTGGTAGCCTTTCATGCCAGTATGTGATTGGCCAAAAAATATCATCCACGGCCTTCTAGTTATTCAGAAGTAGTTGTTTAAATATTTTAACATATTTGACCCCTGTGACCTTAGAAATGGGCAAAGGTCATTCATTTGAACAAAATTGGTAGTCCTTTCTCCCAGCATACCACTGTCAAAATACCATCACCCTAAGCCTCTTGGTTATTGAGAAGAAGTTGTTTAAAGTAAAAAGTTTACACCAGGCGGACGCAGGATGGACGACAGACGCCGCACCATGGCATAAGATCACTTGGCCCTTTGGGACAGGTGAGATAAAGATTATGTCAGCTGCACGAGCATGAACACATTTTCGTCCTCTTGGCATCTATTTGAAATGTATTATAATACTGTATACTGGAAAAAAATTGCCCAGTCAAAACTTTCGCCCTTTGCCAGAATAACCTATACTCACCCAGTGTTAATTTTATCCTTCACATTTAATTACTGGTACTATACATATTATGTTGTTTTCTAATGTACTACAGAAACGAAAACACCTGTAGAGCATGTGACAGCACACAGGTAAGACCTGGATACAGAAACAGCTCTGCTTAACCTTTATAGATGTACTTCTTAACCCTTTCACCCCTAGGTAACTTTAGTAGACTCTACCATGCATTTATGGGGATGAGTCCATTATGGTATAAACAGTGTTGAAAGGGTTAAGGTAAGACTATTAAAAAAAATCAATACGTGTATTACACTTACCATCTTCCCCGGATTCTGCATCCGTCATGCTGATTGTAAGCATTTCCTCCCAGGAGGGTGCGTGTGTTGGGCGTAATGTTGTGTGACCTGGTGAACCGATGGCCATTTTCTTTTTGTCTGCAGCCAGATTCTTACTGAAATATAACGTTTTAGTCAGTTTATAGTATGAGGAACATTGGTAAGACATTCATACATGACTAGGTAGGGCAGAATATGTGGTAGTAAGTATATAGGTGTAACAGGAAAGAGAATAGTGTGCTTCCACGGGGGATCAAACTGCAATCCCATACTCCCTTAAATCGGACACTCTACCACTGAGCTAAAGGGAAACTCCCCCTAGCTCGAAGCTAAATGGCGACCGCAGTCATATGTACAATTAAGATCTGCCACATAGGAAATGATGCAGGATAGGACATTATATGGTGTGGTCAGTTTTTAGGGAAACAATTGTTTTGTATTGTTTTATGGCTTATCGACAATTTGAATCATCAAGGACAAAACAACATTCAAAATTAACATTCACAAAAGGAATATGTCAAACTTAAACTGACATGTTAAAATATTTAAAAGGTGAAAAAAAACCCATAAATCCCAAACAAATTAGTCATAAAATATAGCATATCTTCTCATATAGATTGATTGAATGTAAATAATCATACACAAACAGCACATAAACTATTATCGATCAAACTTTCGATAGTTGAAACATTTACAACATTTTTCAGGCACTTGTTTAAAATCAGTGCAATGTCGTGATCTGACAGTATATAAAATGGTAAGTTTATTTTATAAAGAGTTACAGTTAAATCGATATTAAGAAGGTGGTCTCTTAACACAGGTGGTCTCTTAATACAGGTTCCATTCACAAAGAAATTGCTACCATGGAGACCATTCAAACTGGTCTCTTTAACATAGGTGGCTTCTTAATATCAGTTCAGTTAATAATAATATCATAAAAATGGACAACATTAAAAGTGGTCTCTTAACACAGGTGGTCTCTTTTTTACAGGTTCAGTTCACAATGAAATAGCTACAATGGGGAACATTTAAAGTGGTCTCTTAACACAGGTGGTCTCTTAATACAGGTTCAGTTCATAATGATATAAAAAGACGGAACATTAAAAGCGGTCTCTTAATACAGGTTAAGTTTACATTGAAACTTCTACATTGGTAAACACTGAATGTGGTCTTTTTACACGAGGTGAACAAATGGCCAGATTCGACTATAAGGTAACACATACATGATGGGGTAGGGCAGTGGAGGATTTCCGTTTGGTGTCGATGGCAGACTGATGGAACCATGTACAATTACATCAACTTGCTCCTTGCCTTTTTTGGCCACATGACGATACGTCTGTCCGATAAAGAATGTCTTCCGGTCAGAATCCAGGAGATGGCCCTCTGGTAGCTAAAACAACACATATATATAAATGGTCATCAATTTATGCAGTTTCATTTCTTCAAAGCATAGAGCAGATAGTCCTCCATCACAGACAGATAATTTCTTTAACATTGAAAGCTTGTTTTAAAAGTCATATGATGTGGAATTTCTTAATTAGACACAAGGAAAAACATTTGTATCAAAGCACACAAACTTTAAGACAAACATCAATAAATTGGAAAGTATACAACAAAGAGGAGCACGTTTCATCCAGAAGGACTACAGAACAAGGGATGAGGAATTAATGACAAAACTCCTCAAGATCTACAACTTCCATCACTCACATCAAGACGAAAACAACAGAAATTAACATTCTATAAAATCGTGGAGGAGCAAATTCCATCAAAGACTTAATTCATTTCCAGCGTAGGAAAAGGAAAACACGACAACATAAGTTCCATGACTGCAAGACATCAATACCAATTCCAAATTCAATCAGGAACAATAACAGAGCAGTCATAATACCCAACAGCAACACGGAACAATAACAGAGCAGTCATAATACCCAACAGCAATACAGAAAGTACAGCAACTCATTCTTTGTGCGAACAGCTCCGGACTTGAACCACCTAGATGACATCACAGTCGAGGGGAAAGGATTAGAGGCACTTAACCCTTTCACCACTGTAGACCATAATGGACTCATCCAGATCAATGCTAGTAGAGTCTACTAAAGTTACATGGGGGTGAAAGGGTTAAAGCATCAATACCTACCAACTGGGATTAACCGAAGCTAAGTATTGCATGCATACTTAACCCATTAAAGCCATTTTGGTCTCTGTGGAGTGTATAACATCAAGATAGATAGATAGAAATCACATCCTCTCTCAAAGTTGTGATATATATCATTATGAATCTCAATCATTTAATGAGTCCTGAAGGTTTAAACTTGTTTGGGGTTTGTTGACATTGATATAAACAAGGGTCAAATTGAACTATTTTAGTCACTCGGAAAGTTTTGCAACTATGATGAAAATTTCACTTGTTAAATCAGAAACTCACTCACAAAACATTACATTCCTTCAATTAAATATAACATAAAAAAGGATCTCAACAAATTTAATATAACCAACAATCATATTAATCATTAATAATTCCCTCTTGTGGTTCATGTGACAATGAACCTAACCTTTTGCAGTTCACATTGACATAAACCTACCATCTTGAACATGTAGAAGACGTCAACTTTCTACCTAAATTTTTACATACAAGTACAACCCACAAACATTTTAACCAGTATGAACCTTCTTTGTGGTTCATGAGACCATTAACCTTCCTTCCTGTAGTCCACATTGACATGAATCTGTCTTGCAGCTCATATCATCATGAACCTTATTTTTTACAGTCCATAGGGACATGATCCTATCTTGTTGCAGTGCATATTTTCAATGAATCTACTTTTTTTGCAGTCCATATGGACATTGAACGTACCTTGTGGCAGTCCATATTTTTCATGAACCTACTTTTTTGCAGTCTATATAGACATGAACGTACCTTTTTGCCTTCATTGGCAGGGGGAAGTGTAGGGGATGATGGCAAGTGTAGGGATATATTGTCTCCCCAGGGGGAAGTACTTTGTGGGGGTTCTCGGGGAGTGGGTTCAGGTGTGGGCTCGGGCGGATCTCGTCTGGGAGTGACTTTTTTCCGTGGTGGTGGTGGCGTAACAATGGGGGTCTTAGGACGAGGTGGCAGCAACTCACGCAGAGCAAAAGTACATCGTATCCTCCCACAATGCATCTGTACACTGTCCGTGCTAACAGTACGTAATAGAGACAGAACGTCTGTGAAATGGTAGAAATCATCCCCCGGATCTACATTAGCTTTTATCCGCGGTGCATTTGGGCGGGGATATATTGCAAACTTTCCTTCGCCAACTTTTCTACTTTTTCCTCCATTTTTAGGCTGCACAAAAGCTTCGACCAGTAGGTGCACATCATGCATTTTATCATTTTTACAGAAACCTGAAAAAATTGAAAAAAGTCTGTCAGAATTGGACAAGATAGTAGAAACTTAGGAAAAGAACATTTGTTTTCTTTTTTCATTGAAATTATTGTCCTTTATCTAATTTTTAAAAAATATCACTACGATAAAAATTGCCAAACCTCCTATATACTGAAAGTAACTGCTTTCAAAGTTTATCTGAATACACAAAAAATGTTTTTATCACAATATTCTGTCACAGAAATATTATTTTTCACAGGTATTAATTTCACGACATGTAAATTTTGCAGAAAAAATTGTTACCGTGAAAAAATCGCGGAAATTAAAACCAAAAGAAGAAAAAAAAAAAAAAAAAACTTTTACAGTATTCATATGTATTATGACATACTGTTTTTCCTGATGTTGATATTGTGATATTATAATAGACCTAATTTAAAACCACTTAAACAAAAGGCTGGGCTCAACACTGATACTAAAATATATAACAGAGGATATATTCCAAAAAAGGCAAAATACAAACCTTGCGGAAGTCTAAACTGGAACTTTTTTTCCTGAAAGCGTGAAACTTTCGATGCCTCCACTTGGCTGACAGTGTCCGTCTCTGCGGCAAAAGCTGCCGTAAACATTGGTTCATTTCCTTTCCTAAGCATTACCATACTGTAATCGGTCACTTCGAGGTTCTGGACGGACAGCTTCAGGAAGTAACGGCCCTCAAGATTAAACTGACCGTCTCGGATGTCCACGTCAAATTCCAATGCCTTGTTATCCACTTTGGGTAAGTGGGATGCCAAGGAATCCATGTTGGTCATTGTCTGCAGGTATCTCTACCTAACTTTACATGTGGGTGGTATTTAACACTGATCTGAAATGGATTCATAAAAGAAACAATGTATTTCTAGTTTTGGCAGAGTTCTGTCACTTTTCTACTGTATATTAAGGCTGAAACAACATATCTTACTGTATCGTATCATGATATTTTCTTATGTATCACTTTAAATAATTTTGTTTGCCTGTATCATGATGAACTAATGGTACTGTAATCATCAATCTTTTTTTTTAAATTTAACTCTAAGAGTTTACTTGTTGTTTTTGAATCTTTCGGTAAAGATCATGTGGCCCACTGTGGAAAAGTACGAAAATCATAATTATAAAAATATTTTTTACAGCATATATAATTAAATCTATGACAAAACTTTGAAATGCTACACTCATCAATCATTATGAAGTTGACCTTTTTAGCATATACGTGTATCGTGATACATATTGTATCGTGAGCATCATACTGTGATACGTATCGTACCGTGAGGTAAGCGTTTCGTTGCAGACATGCTGTATACAGGCATTAGAAAGTTATTGTCCTGTTAAATTGATGTTTTCCCCTCAATATTCATACAAAGCCAAGTATGGTTTTCGGCCCTTTAATGGAGCTTAAAACATGTTGAAATTATTTCCCAGTGATGTTGCTGATCAAATAGAATAATGAAATATACAAAAAAAATAAAGGATCTGCTCAACACCTCAAGAACATTCCTGATGATGGCCGCATAGCATGCCAAAACATGTAGACCAACAAAGATAATCACAAAACCATTCTTGAGGTGTTTATTTTTCATTATACTTTATTAGTGAAAAGCTCTAGCAAATCCATCCCCAGATCTGCCCTAGAACGCGACCGCATTTTTTGACATGAGGAGTGTTTATGTGTTATGTCCTATTTACATTGATGGTCATTTAAGGACATGCCAGGATTTGGTGGTGGAGGAAAGCCAGAGTTGCCGGAGAAAAACCACCCACCAACAGCCAGTACCTGGCAACTGCCTAACTTAGGTCTCGAACCCACGACCCAGTGGTGGAGGGCTAGTGGTAGCAGAATGTCAGACGCCTAAACCACTTGGCCACCACGGCCTACAGAGTGCTGGATCACTTTATTTATGTATTATCGATTGAACAGTATAAACAAAATAAATGTCATGACTGGTAGCACAGTGGATCAGCTCACTGCTTTATAACTCAGAGGTGAGGAGTTCAAATCCCTATAGTGGACAGGTTTTTGTGAAAAAGATACTTGTAATGAATTAATTTCTGTTGTAAATAAATCTTTGCTTTAGACTACGTTAGCAAGGGAACTCCATGTAAAAATTAAAGGCAAACAAATTGGAACTCTTTTTTGTTGGAGATACAACAAAGACTGCTGAGACTCTACCTTAATGCTGATATGGAATGGAAGCATATTAGTTTTTATGATACTGTGGATCATCATTATTATTATCATGAATACTGTGGACTAATACTGTGAACCACTGTGTGGTTTTCAATTTTTTTGATGTCTTGGGTAATCTTTATCCACGAATTCTAAGGTCCATGAAGTAATTACAAGTTTAATATGAAGCAATTCTCCGTTTGAGTGGGTTCTCGTAATCCATGAATTCATTGTACCCACAAAATGTTGTTTTTCGGGAAACCACGGAATTTGAGCCCCATAAAAATTTTGATTTCACAATACTTTAAATATGAAATAGTACACCCTCTAAACCAACCATTATGACAATATAAGACACTTGATTTATTAATAATTTTCATATGATAATATCTTACTGGTGATGGAAATACATGCAGGACCTGATAATATTTGAAGAATATTCTGTACATTATTTAGCAGCCTTGATTTTATACCCATTTTGAATATTGAACACAAAAATACAATTTAAATTATTTAAAATCTTTACATCGCTTACCTGTTAGAAAGATCCATTTTTACGACCATCCAAACTCACAGAATTTATCGTCAATCATATTGATCACATATTAATATCATAAATTATGTTTCTAACTATCCCATTCTGACAAGAAATATTTGTGTTTCCTGTAGTTAAACTGCGAACATTTTAGTACCAAATAGCCTCCTGAGGTACGTCGGTCTATGAATAGTCGTAGACCGCAATAAGGCTGAAGTATTCAATCTAAATACAATAAATATATGGCCATAGTCTCATATACAAAGCCTATGGAAAATCAGTGAGGCGTTTGATAGCCAATGTCTTTTTAACGTACACAGCCTATTTAAATTCTTTATCAGTCCCCTAAATGGAAATAACGGTCAACAATGGTTGCACCGTTATTACGTTTATTTACTGATCGGTGTATGTGAACAATGCCGTACAAATAAAGCGATGCCCTGTCGTTTTTGCTACGACAGGTCTGTCGAAGATTCATTCATAGTGATATGCACGTGTATATATACAGGTACATTTACAGTCTTATCATTCATACATATAAGGTAAACAAAAACTTGGCACTTGTTTTAAGCATAAAGCTAAATATCTGATACCCTCCCGAGAAAGAGATTAACCATAAAACTGAAGGATTTAGATATAATCCTGTCTTCACACTTTTGACTTCTTAAAAGATAAAAAAAAATCTTACTTTTATATATTTTCCCAGATTTTAAAAGAAAACAATAATGAATATAGAAACACAATTGTTTTGAATAATTAACAAATATTTGAAGAACAAATAACAGACATTGCATAATTATGAATTAATATAAAGTTAATACAAGACTTTATTTTAACTCATTTACCCCTGAAGACACATTTGAACTCTTCCAATTCAAAGGTTAGAATAGTTTATTATGAAATTTCAGGGGTAAATGAATTAAATGCAAACACTTTGTAATTTTGTTCTGTATAAATGGCTCAACAATTTCCCAACCTTAGATCATTTCAGTCAAACTGGAAATATGTTGGTTCTTTTTCACTCCTTTTACCAAGTACATATATGTACCTAAACATATTACTGTCATGCAAAAAAGGCAAATCAATCAAATTAAAAAATCACCTTCAGAAATGGACTTATGTTGACCCCTTGTAACTGATCTAAGTAAAATTGTTTTCATAAAATGTGATGTTGTATATATTTTTCTACAATTTCTCAGAAATATTTATACACAAATCTTCGTTACACTAAACTACAAATAGTAACATTAACATTAGCCGTATGAATATGTTCAGTACTGCATGTAAACTTGATTATAGACAAAACATTTATCACACAGACAGGATTGAAGTGTTAAAATGGTGTGAAATACCCTGTGGAGTATTCTTCTGTAACAATAAAGTTTGTTCTTACCTTTCAAAAACTTAAAATTCCACCTGTTTCAGAATCAAGTGTTGTCAACGGACAAGCAGACGTAAACAAATTCCACGGCCGTCTATCCACATCCATGCTGAATAAATTAATATCACTAAATTTAATATTCGTCCATTCTGACTTAAGTAAAACAATGCGAAAAAGTTAAGAAATATGTCGATTAATTAATTTTAGATTTTGGTCAGTCATAGTTTTGTAGAATTTTTTTATTCAAAAGAGTTTCAATGTAATAATGAACTCAATTCAACCGAGAATACGCTAAATCACTATTATGAAAATACATGCACGGGATTAGGACTTCAGTGTCCCTTACAGAGTCGAATCCACTTTCACGCTTCATGAATTTTAACCATCCCGTCACTACACGCCCATTCACATATGAAAATCATATTGATAGTGATTGTTGAGTTGTCTTTGTGAATTTCAATAAAGTATAGAAATGATAGACCATTTACGTCTCTACTCTGTGTATACCAGAGAGGAAGGATGAAAGGGCCTCTATGGGTGTTAGCATGCTTTACACGATTCGGCCGTATCCAAACAACTTGCAGAGTACACACAGGTATTTCACTACATTATTGAGTTCAATTTCCAATCAAAAGCCAAGAACTCTTTATGAAAAGTTAGCCACTTGTTTGTTTGCATATATATATATGAGAATATGTACGGTAAGTGCTCTCAATTTCGTCACGTTTTTAATATTTTACCTGTATTTCAAAAGTGTTGGTGTATTTCAGTATTGATTGTTTTTATTCTTAGTCATCAATATGAAATATAACAACCCAATCAAGATTCATTTTTTATTCAGTGTAAATTTCTACATTTTTTTGGTCGAATACAAATATTTTAAAAAAAGTATCTGTCAGAAATGTTTAATTTATTGTTTCATTTTTCCCTTCTGAAAACCATGCATTATATATAACAAGGTATTTAAGTGTATGTGTCTGTGCTTCTTTAAAAACCCACCTGTATATATACATTTATAAGAAATACCTGTACATAAGGAACATTTTCTGAGATATATACTGATATGCATGTTTATGAAAAGGTAATGAACTTGTACCTGTCTGTATTACATGTAAGAGACAATTAACCCTACAAAGTTTGGAATGTGGTCTTTTAATACAGGTTCACTTCAAATGAAATCACTACAATCTGTTACATTAAAACATGCCTCTTAACACAGGTGGTCTCTTAACACAGGTAGTTTCTTAATATAGAAGTTGAGTTCAGTTCAGAAATATTCATATTCAGTTCTAAATATCTGTTCAGCTCAGGAATAAATCAATACAATGGGGACCTTTAAAAGTGGCCTTTTAATACAAGTAGTCTCTTAACACAGGTGGTCTCTAAATACAGATGATCCCATAACCAGATCTGACTGTAATATTGTGGAATAAATTTCACAAAAATTTGAAATACATATCTTTAACAATTTGACACTTATTTTGGCTTCAAATTTGAGGGACATTTACTGCCTCTGTATATCAGACTAGATTAATGCTCAATTTCTATTGATTGAGATTACCAAAGACCTACCTGTACATATCTTGGGCGTAGGATGGTAACCTTTATCAACACCACAAGAGCTCTACCTATAAGAATTTACCAATTTACATATTCTTATTACTATGAATACTGCCCTGTAAAATTCTCTTATCGTACAGCTAAACGATGTTATCTTTTTAATAGACTTTTGATAACTTCGACACTTGTTCTTTTTAAGTGCCTTGTAAGAACCCCATGCATTAGACATATTAAGTGTAAAATTCAAACAATTTTGAGTACATTTAGAATTTTGAGAACAGACATGTACTTATACATCAGAAGAGAAAATGGATTTTTTTACTATTGATCTAAGGGGCTAAATGGTTTGACTTCTAAGTAACAGAGGCTTATGTCTTAGATCTAAAGCATCCTGATTTTCAAGTGATTAAGGAATCACAACTTTGATAAATGATTTTCTACCAACTCAGTCTTTCACCAGGATAAAACATCAAGTGACTTAGTCTGTTATTGCATGTATTCTTAACCCCCTTTCACCATTGTAGACCATAATGGACTCATCCATATCAATGCATGGCAATGTCTACTAATGTTACATAGGGATGAAAGGGTTGAGTAGTGAAGGGACAAATAATCGATTTATTTTACGCTAACTTCAGATAAATCAATTCCAATTTCCCATATTTTATCATTAGAAAAACCTAAAACTATGTTTCATTATTTTTCAATTAAAATAAATGTAACAGCCAATAAAAATTAATACAAAAGTTCTTATGAACATCAGGTAAAGCCTTACATGTTCTTTGTCCTTCAGGGTAAAAGAACGTCTCTTTTATCATTGCAGTAGGAGCTGAAAAATGCACGGCCAGACCAGGTTTGAACCCAGGACCCTCCGTACTCTAGACAGACGCTCTACTAATTGAGCTACCTGGCTACCGACAATTGACCCAGTCCAGTTCAACTACATTCCTCCCTCCATTTTCTAAGTCTTCACCTATGAAGACATAACTATTTACAACCCAGGACCGGGTATCCTCTTGCCAAGCATTCACCCAGTACTTGAAACAAGGGTTGGACACAGGCACCAAATATGTATTATTTCGTAAAAATTAAAGGGGCTGGTCGGGGAAAAAATTACAAAATAAATGGGTCTTAATGCGTTCTCTGGCCTTCCAAAAGTTATACCACGGCAATATGATGGTCGAGATCTGCTTGCAATGTCCAGTTTTGACCACTGAAATCTTGGGGAAGCCCCGCATAAATTTAGCGCAGATCTATTTATATATGTCACGTGGTTGTTTCGAAATTGAGGAAGTGAAGATAACAACAATAGCACGCCATGTCAGACTCAACTAGCGGAAAAGACAGCAATACTATATGTAAATAACTGTTTTCAAAGGTCATGTATGATGCAAGTGTAGTATTCCTACCTATGTGTTGTTGTTATATATAACGGTATTGATACCTCGTGCCTGTCATGACTTTTGCTTGCATCTTTTTCTTTCGACGCGATGCTTACATTTGGCCTTGTTGATGACGCGCATGCGGTAAAATTACATCACTGATCTGGGTCAATTGAGAGTTTTAGACAGTCAGGTGACGATTTAGGATTTCTTTAATATAATTATTATTTTTACTCTTAGGGAGTGAATTTCAGCAAAATTTGAATCGGTATATTTCATAAGAAGGTATTTTAAACATTTGTATGCCATTTTAGCAAATATGACATTTTTTCCCCAACCAGCCCCTTTAAGATTTTGTCTCATTATATATAATTTAATTGTTATTTAACCAATGACTCAAGTGATATTTTGAAGGTAAATTTAAGTTAAAGTGACCTATAAACCCTTTGGGTCGGGTGCCAAAATAATATGTGAAACATTGTACACGAATGTAATTTTGATGTATGCACATGTCACTATAATAAAATATATTGTATTGTATTGTTTTGTATAGTAGGAGCAGAAAAATGCATGGCTAGACCAGTCACAGGGTTCGAACCCGGGACCTCAAAACTCTTGTCACCGACGATCGACCTAGTCCAGTTCCGCTACATTATAAAAAGATTGTATATCATAATATTCTGTACATGTATTAGTAGGCACAGAGTGTTGTCTTTTCTCCTATATGATATTTAATTTTATCAAAGTCTGTTTCCATGCTTTTTATAGAATGTCAGCAAGATAACTTATTTCTAATGCAGCAAATTTTCACTCGTCTTGATGACGACAGAATGAGTGTTTTTTTCGGACCTCTGACTTGACCCACTTTTAAGGTCACAAGGGACAAATGATTTTAAAAATCTGAAGGACTACTTCTTGATAATGACTAGTATCATAGCATGCTGACGGGATACCAAGTTTAGTTTGTTTAATTAAATTATTGAAATTGACCTAGTTTGAAGATCTGTATGATGATGATGATGGGGGTCAAATGCTAAAACACATAATATGCTGAATCTGATGAGTGAGATTATAAGTTCGTGCCTGTGAGTGCATGACAGCCTGTTCAACAGGTCACTGAAGGGAATATGTGACTGAATCAGCTTACCCGGTTATCACTGTGTGTTTACGACACCTGATATTGCTATCAGGCAGGCGGTGATCACATGAAGTTGGCTTCTGTTGCAGGTGAGGTGGGGTTTTTTAAATATCCTTACGTGATAATTATCACTTTGTGATTTTCAGCGATACCAGACGACATGTTTGTAAATCTGGAAGAAATATTGACCAATATATTCGTGAACGTTTTCTATGGTTTTAGTAAATGCTGATAATATAAGATGTTGTTCCAACAAGCCTCAAGCACATGAAAGCCTCTGAAGTAAGGAAAATACAGAAAAAAAACCTCACCTTCAACTGCAGTCCACCTCGCCTGCCTAATATCTGGTGTCGTTAACACACACTGGTTATATTACAGTTTGCCATATACAGGCCCAATAGGCCTCATTGGAATATGCAGAAAGTGTTGAATTCATAAAGTGAAAAGCATTGAAGATTATTAACCAACACCAAATACTAGAATTATTGATATTGATCTGAAGACTGATGTTAATGTGAACCCAAATACTTAAATATTGACTTTTAAACACACACAGATTTTATTCTGTCTATAAAGAATGTTTACAGGAGGTAAGGCCGTGCTCATAAAACATGCCACTCGTTAATAAAATACTTACCGGGTACATGTAGGTTAGGGCATAGGGGCCTGCATCTGGTATGTAAATATGTGAAATTTATAAAAATAGTCTTCCCTGCCCTACTATATTGTATTACAACATAGTAGGGTAGGCAGTCAGATTTACATGTTACCAGATGGAGGCGCCTGTGATTAGCCTAACAGATGTCATGGATGAGAAACTTGTAAAAAAATAAATTAATAACTAAAATAATACATAAATGTAACGTTTTCTGTTAAATATACATCTATTTGAACTCATCATGGATAAGTTACCTGAAGGACCGTAGACAAATTCGTGATATTGAAATGCGACGATGTCGATTTCTTTGAATGTCAAATTCTGGCGCCTGTCATTCTTCGGGATGTTTTGGTTGACACAGTTATGTCCCTTGTACAAAAAAATAATAATTTGATTCTTTAATTATTGGTTCAGTTTGAAGTTGAAGGAAGGATATTTTTATCCAATAAATAATATTGCAATATATTCAGAATAACAAAACATCGTTTACTGATAAATGACATTATTTAAACCATACTGAACTGTAAATATTCCGGATTATTTTTCCTATTCGGAAACTAGTATATCAACCGGAAGTTTACTCATCAAAAACGAAAATAGAAATATAGCGTAAGCAGTTACTATCGAGCTCCAGAAGTTCTTCAAGTACAATTTCAATACAGAAACACAATGGGTGACAAAGGAGATATGAAGAAAGGTAGGTACAAACTTTATTTCTCATGTGTATACTTTCAAAAATCATCAATATCTGTTATCGAAACAGAAGTTGCATTTTGAATTAGCAGTCAACGAAACGATGACGATGATTAGGAAATGATTGGTCACGTTTATTACGTATCGAGTTTGTAACTACCCTTCCTTTGTTTTTCAGAGCGAAAGCTTACATTCTACACAATTATTTGTATATGAATTTGATATTTAGATCTTTAATAATCTAATGTGCTAGATGCCATTACTAGAAGTAATACATGCATATAAATCCTACTATTTACACTAACATGCAAAACTGAAAATGTATTAATACTGTTATGTCATAGGAGCTATATTAATAGCATTTCCAGTATTTGTCTATGTGACTATTTCTAAAAATAAATTTTTAGACACCAGGTCTGATACAATTTACTATGTTTAGAAAGCTATAGAAATTGACCAATATTTTTGCAGACGAAGTCAAACTTTAAAATATTTTGAAAATGAACATTCTTTGTTAATTTTTGTGAGTAAGTGAAATTGAAAGGCACTGATTTTAATTCTGTCTTAGTTTATATTTAAACCATATATGTTTCACTTTTATTTGTACAAAGACTTGAGACTTATAAAATGTACATTTCATCCAGCAGCATTTGGCATAATGCCATTACTTTTTTGCCAATGTGTGTATACACAATAAGCTCAACTATTCATTACATGCAATGACTATTTAGTATTTACTGAACCAAGACAGCATTTTTCCTTTTGGCAGTATCTTCTTCATCGCTTAAAAACATAAATAATCCAGGGGTGAAACTTGATATTGTATATCAGACACACTTGTCGTGACATTTTCTTGTTTTCTTTGTTCAGTAATCCTCACTACGACCTTTCACCCCCGGGCTAGATATCTATCTCTGTGTATCTAATATGTATTTTACATGTATCAGTTTGTTTTGCTGGCTTTACACCAGCTGCAGGTATACCCAGTTAGGCTAGATATCTTCTTTCCCTCAACTATACAGTTTTATCAGAGTCTGAAGAAAACTCAAGTCATTCCCCCTGGAAATTATTTTTTATGTTCACAAATACCAACTGATCAAATTCTGTAATTGTGATGACTTCAGATTTTACACTTTTGTCAACAAGAACCTATAGGATGTCCATCAACTTCAAATTTGGGCTATTTACTGGAACAATAAAAAATTTCCTAGTCTAGATCTATAGTTATATGTATTTGTCAGCAATGTGTGACTTAACTGTTCTGTGAATGTCTTTTGAATCTAATTTTTGATACCCATAAAAATACATGTCTTGTCAGGGATGTGTAGTCCACTACACATCCCTGGTCTTGTTAATATGTATTTCATTGAGAATTTCTAATACAGTACCAACCATTAATAATTTGAAAAGCTTTACAAAAAGATATGTTCTTCAATATATATATTGAGGAACATAAAGTACAGGTCACGTACAGTACATATATGTATATATACACATCTGTTGCTTGCTAAAATGTACTTGTCCTGATCAACTTAAAACATCCTAATTTATCAGACTTTTGCATTTTCACGAGGTAATTTGTCACTTTCCTATTTGAGATAAGGGCCATACTGTAAAAGAAGAAACAGTTTGTGTTCGGAAATGTTCATGTTGTGGCTCTGATCACAATATGGAAATTTGCATTAGTTCTGAAATTTGTATTTTCCATATACAAAATGCATCTATAATCTATAAAATCTTTATGATATAGTCCAGAATTAATATTTGTGTACAGATATTTTTATGTTGAAGCTATGGGGTCAAAGATCCAATTATAAAAAAGGTATTGCTTGTCTAAGTCACAAAATATTCAATTTTCCTTCTACCCTTTATCAGATGGATGTACCCTTTAACTCATTCACCCCTGAAATTTCATAATGAACTACTCCAACCTTTGAATTGGAAGAGTTGAAATGCATCTTCAGGGGTGAACGAGTTAAAATGGGGAAAATGCCAAATTGGTAATTCATCCAATATGTGATGAAAAGAATAGAAAAAAGAGAGACTATTTGGAAGAATGAAAATCAAAAGAAAGTACATATATTTTCTTTTTTTCTTATTTCAATTTAAACTCTCATCATGAAGGTTTTTAAATATACTATGTGGTGTGTCATGACATGCCAAAAATAGAACAGGAACTGGAATAATTAGCTAATTATTATTATTATTACTATTATTCATTTACTTTCAGAATTAACATATTCGTTAAACTGAAGCTTAATTATCTTAGCATAAATTCCAAGTTGGTTATGATTTTCATTTTGTAATCTGAAGATTGCATCATACATACAAATGTATAAGCTAAATATAGAAATTTTAGTATATGTGTTGGTGTTTCTACCTACTACAAGAGATTGAAAATAAAGCCGCAAAGACATGCACACACAATACCATTACCTGTAGTGTATTCATTCACCCCTGAAGACACATTTGCACTCTTCCAATTCAAAGGTTGGAATAGTTCATTTTGAAATTTAAGGGGTGAATGAGTTAAAATAAAAAAAAATATGATTAAAAAAATAATGAGATAAATAAATGCTGTTTGATGTCCATAGCCATGCAAGAAAAAAATACTCAACATCTTTGTTTAGTGAATTCCAAAGTGAAAGTAACAATAGACCTAACTAAGTATTATTACACAATGTGCACACCTGTATAAATCCAACATGCTATGTGTATCATATCATATTGCTATATACCAGGTACATTATATATACAAAGTATATCAGAAACCTGCTGTTGAAAATTCTGTGAGGTTATTCCAGATCTGTTTATTTTCATTTTAAATACATGCATACAAGTCTTTTCATTCTATGACTAACAAATTCACCCCTCTGTCAGGTAATTGGTGTCAATTTGCATTAATTGTTATTTCTAAACACACCTGTGTAGTAGTGAGGCAAACAGCATTTTGTCTGTTTCCGGTTACCCTGATACAAGATACAAGAAGGTTTATTTTAAGTTGTACTATTTTTGCCCTTTTCAGCCCTTTCTGTCTTATAATTTAGACATAATTTATGTGCATACCCAAAATTACTTTGGCAATTTTCAGGGAAGCACTTTCATTGTGAAGATCACTCTCACCTTATAAAAAAAAAATAACTACATAAAAGAAATGAAAAAAAAAGATATTACCTTCCTATCTAAATTTTTTCAGACATGTAACAGGGAACAAACATGCTTTTTTGTATGGTCTGAAGGACACATACCATTATTTTATACTGTACATGATTATATGTTAATTTGATTGTTGTTTAATTCAGACTATCCCTCCAGTGTTACACGTACACTCATTATAAACATGCACACTTTAGTCCACTACGATTATACTTTATTTACGAATTGCTTCTATCTCCAGATGTGCATGATGCTAATCCCAACCCAGTGTCTGACACCGATGCCAGATACGGACAAGGTTTTGGAGGAATTTCCTCGAAGGTACAAGGTCGAAAGTAAGAACAATTCAATCATTTTGTTAACGACATTGCATACAGTTTGATCTGTGAGGATGATGGTGTTTAACAGATTATCAAATACGATAATAATCCATCATAATTTCAGTAAGATTTGATATTTGTATTCCTGGAATTCGTTTAAAGGCAGGGAATTCAGCTTTAATATCTTAACTCATCCACCCCTGAAATTTCATTATGAACTATTCCAACCATTGTATTGGAAGAGTTCAAATGTGTGTCAGGGGTGAATGAGTTGATGATGATGTCCTTTAAGTCAGATGTCGGTTAAGTCCTGTTTCACTTTTACAACCTATATGTTTTTGTCACTATATAATCAATCATAAAAACATCTTACATTCTGTATTTTCCTTTTAAATTTTGTAAAGTGTCAATTTTAACAAACAGAAAATGCCTGCTGAATGAACGCATAATCCACTTGACAGTCAACATGTACCTAACCTGTGTTTAAACCCTTAAGCCTGAATGATGCCATAAGGGATCACCGGGGCCCGGGCCAAATGATGCATAAATGCATTATGGAAGTGGATTTTTTTGAGTTTTTTTAGTTAAAAAATGTGTAAATAAGATAATTCGTGTGTAATTTTATGTAATGGGAACCATTAATGGATATTCAATATTTAATTCTAAACAGTTACATGGCTACAATAACCTATTACCAGGTAATGTCCATGTACATGTTTTTGAATTCCTGCTCACAAGAACTACCGGTCGAATGGGAGCGAGTAAAACAATCATTCCAGCAATAAGTATTATAAAGGAAATATTTTGTAATACCTGGATCCGGTGCTTTCTAATGTTATATGCACCGTTGTTCAGTTAAACAAACTTCTAATGAATCTAAAAATCAGAATATAATAAAACGATTGTGACAAACACTGGAGCATCCTCTCATTAAATAATTCATTGAGTTTGTGCTTTCCGTTTTTAGACCCGTCCAAAGAACCGCCATAATAACAGAGGCGGAACTGAACAGTTCCCGGTACAAGATGGACCACGGGAGTCGCGGGAAGGCACTCATTATTAATAACAAAGAGTTCAAGGGCAACATGGGACTCGGGGACAGAAAGGGAACGGACGTGGACGCCGCCGTCATGTACCAGAGGCTTCAGGAACTTGACTTTGACGTCACGTTAGAACACAACCTGTCTGCGGACAAGATACAACAAATTCTACTGAACTGTAAGTTACTGTTAGCACTTTAGCCATTTTATATAAACTTTATTTATTTTACAAGAATTATGAAACAAGTTATTTCAACTTATATTAATCACTCTTGTTGGCCCGGATGTAAGCGGATGTGGGGGGAAACCAGAGTTCCCGGAGAAAACCCATGTGGTTGGGCAGGTGACCCCATACCGTTTCACGTCCAATTGGGGAATCAAACCCCTTAACCCTTTCACCACTGTAGACCATAATGGACTGATCAAGATCAATGCATGGTAGAGTTTATCAAAGTTACATAGGGTTGAAAGGGTTAATAAAAGGCAAGTGGGTTATACACTGCACCACCCGACCATCCATTTTAGTCATTTTAAACTTTGGGTCTTTAAACACACAACAGTTTTGGTACGATGAGAATATAAGTTATTATGTCATCTATGTTTTTAGAAAGCAGAAATTTCAATTTCAATTTCAATTATCAATTCTAAATGCTGATACATTACATGGAGATAACTTGCTAATTATGCATCAAATCTCATCATTCTTCCTCGTGAAATAAAATATTTATTCTGCTATAAACTTAGGTGGCCAACACAAATTATGACTCAAAGGTTACGAAGGGGGAGGGCAATTAATTGCAAGACAATAAAATAACATGTGTTAGCATTTTTTCTGAACTGTATATGACATGGGTGTGCTTATTACCAGGCATGGGCTTATTGCAGGATAATTATAGAATAAAATAATAAGTGTCCAAGATCTACCAATAGTCCTTTCTGCCTTCTTGGGTTTTTTCAGTAGTCCACCTGAAGAAGCCCTAAAAGGCAGGAAGGCCTAGCGGTAGATCTTCATGGACACTTATTATTTTATTCTATATTTTCCTTCACAAGAACTTGTTTATATAAGATGAAGCAACCAAACAGAGTAACTTCCCCTGTCAAGTTATGTAATGTTATAGACTAGGTGGCACCTGAATTGGGTTTTCATTTTGTTGCTGTTTTGTAATTCCTAGGTAGCAACATCTGTAACATGTAAGCTTGGCATTGAAAAGGTCAATTCTGTTAAATGCATTAAAACATGCATAGCCTTTTATGGAATGCTCCTTTTAAAAAAGGACGTATTAATTAAACAAATATTTCACCCTAGTGAAAATACTGTAATATAGTTTAACTCGCTGGTACCCGTTTACACCTAAATGATTTCAATCGCTACTATCCATCTGTCTTTACAGTGTCGCTAGAAGATCACAACGATTGTGACTGCCTGTTTGTCGTTGTCCTGAGTCACGGCGAGGAGGGCGTGGTCTTCGGCACTGAGGGGTCGGTTGAGGTCAAGAAACTCTTCGAACCCTTCAAAGGAAACAGGTGCCCAAGTCTGGCTGGAAAACCTAAAATATTTGCCATACAGGTCAGTTACATGTGAATTTAGGTCTCCCACAACTAGATCATTTACTATATGTTATTGCTAAACGTTTGAGCTAATAGCGTTAATATTTGAAGTTCAACACTAGTGACAACTGCCTAGATTCACAGATACATACCTGACAAAGGCTTCAAAGGGCATTTTTTGGCAGGTTTAATGGTATATATTATAAGAGCGCTACAGACATCTGCTTTTGACAACCCGAAGTTTACGAGACAAACCGGTGAAGTGGGACGGGAACGCCCCCTGACATTTGACCCCATTTGACCCCATATCAATCCTCACATATTAAAATGTACTAAAACTATACCTTAAGTCCAATATCTGTAGATTTTTTCTATGTGAAATATGTCAACAACTACCTATCTAAATTACTCAGAGGCACTGTATTTAACCGGAACAAATTTTAGGTACAGATTACAATCCTATGAAACACTTGCTGATTGGCTGATTTAGTGGTGCGAGTCCTTTAATCTGTCACAAATTACATTCATAACAAATTTAATCACTACAAAAAAAATGAATTTGACCCCTCTTATTTAACATATCTGTCAACCCTCCCTTATTAGGAGGAAGACTCTCTCATTTTGACCAAAATTTAACCAATCTCCCTCGAAACTCCCTCATTCAAGTCTAAACTCACACAAACTCAAAATCTACATACGGTGGTCTAATGATCTCCTAGTTACTGTACGGTGTGTGTGTGTAGTGATCATAATAGGTGTGTCTAAATCAAATCCTTTAAACAGCTGAGGTCATTTTAGGATGTGCCTCCATGTGTGTTAATACACGTATATCTGCTGGAGCCTTCCTTTAATAGTCCAGATCTGATACCATCTTTAAAATACATTTTTGATTGCTGATCAATTGTGCGAAACTTCTGAAATCATGTATCAGAAAATCGATAAATGGGACTGTTAATTATGCTGATACTGAAAAAAGTATATATAAAAATATTTGTTCTCAGAATTTAATGTACTACTTAATGTGAACGCTTTTGATTGAAAGAAGCTGCGGTTTTTTTTTTATCAAATTAGTAAATTCTGTATATAATTACCACAGTTGACTTGTGTTATTAACAAATTAAATCTTTACCACTGATATAACACCTGCAACTAATCCCTGTTTACGTCCCCAGGCATGTAGAGGTTGTCAGTTTGACGACGGCATGGACGTAACAGTTGCTGATGCTGAGGGTATGATGGAGATTGATCAGACTGTAAGGACACAATCCATCCCCGCCGAGGCGGACTTCCTCGTCGCCTATTCAGTTGTTCCTGGTAAGTATTCTGCTCAGATTCCCCATACTTCATCTTCATCATGCAGAGACTATCCCATGCAGGAAATTCGCTATTTTATTGAGAATTTACTTGTTCTTTCGCAATTAAGGATTCCTGTACCACTTCCAAAACACTTTAACTACACATTGGAAACTATTTTTTTCTGTCAAGATTTATAGTTTTGATAAATCAATTCTGAAAAAGAAATCCATACCTTGCAAGACTTTTTTGGATCATTAGATAGAGTTAGATCAAGTTATTAAGGTCGGAAAAATACATTCTTTTTTTTTTGGACTATAAAGACCAAACCTATTTTAATTGTACCTGGTATTTTGATAGTGATTATTACAAGAAATAAAGTTTTTTGTGGAAGACGTTTTTACCATTTAATTAATCAATGATGTTCTGCAGGTTTCTACTCTTGGCGGAACTCCACAAACGGGTCATGGTTTATTCAAGCCTTGTCCGTGGCCCTGCAGGACAAGAAGCTCAAAGACCTGGATTTCTTGCGTCTGCTCACCGTCGTAAACAGGAAAGTGGCATATCAATTCCAGTCACAGACGTCGGACCCCCGTATGGCACTTAAAAAACAGATCCCTTGTATAACTTCTATGCTGACAAAGGAGATATACTTCACCCCAAAGTAACATTTCGTAGCTCATGAATTAGTTGTAAATTTGATATTGGAATGAAAAATGAAGGCAACAAACTACAACGTGTAATTAAATCTTGTACGATACTGATAAGCTTTATTGAGATACTATAAGTATGTGTATGAAAAAGTATGAACCTGTCAGTTACATGTTTTGATAAAGAAAAACTTGAAAAAGGACCTGAAAAATAAGATGGCTCATGCACTTAACTCATTCAACCCCTGAAATTTCATAACTCATTCAACCCCTGAAATTTCATAATGAACTACTCCAACCTTTAAATTGGAAGAGTTCAAAGGTGTCTGTAGGGGTGAATGAGTCAATCAGTGCTTGGTTTCATGAGGAATAGATAATCAGGGTTTTAATAAGATTTCAAGTTGCATGCATCCAACACAACGTAGGCAGAGTACATTTGTATAGTACCTCTTTCGTATTCTTGTAATATTTTTTATGAAGTAGCCGGTGAAATGTCTTTAGTAAGAGAGTATTTTCACCAACAACTGGCTACAAATGAAACCCCTGGATGGTTATTTTATTCTTGCAGCAATTCGAAACCGTTTTATTTATCAAAAGTAGTACATGAACTTTTGTCAAAAAGATTTTTCAGCGAATCTTCTCCAGAGTAAACGTATGGGTAAACTGATATTACGAAAACATTATTACAGTTTTAAATGATCATTGTGAAAACTGGTATATTTATTATATATATATATATATGTCTGGAATTTTGTCTTAATGGTAACAAATTCATTTGATTATTTCATGACATGGTTTCCTCCACCAATTACGAATTGAACAAAGAAAAATGCAGAAAAAAAAATGACCAAAAGAATTTTGTTTTGTGTTTCTGCACAATATGCTATATGTGTAAATGTGTTTTTTAAGAGACAACATTTTAAAGAAACGAACATTAAATTATATTTTCCTTGATACTGTTCTTTCTAGCTCATGCATGCTGAAATGATCAATTGTCTCATTAAGCTAAGAATAGATATTTTTTTCAAAGCCATGGTGAAAGCGTAGCGTGCCACTGGAACTATGTATACATCTACATTGTGATGATATGACGACAGAATGATCAAGCTCAATTTTTAACCCTTTCGCCCCTATGTAACTTTAGTAGACAATACTATGCATTGATATGGACAAGTCCATTATGGTCTACAGTGGTGAAAGGGTTCACACAAAAATTTTGAAACAAATTAACAGTGTTTTACTCCAATGTTGATGGGTTTTTTCTATTCATATACATGTACAATTCAGTCTGCTGATATGACCTGAACTTTTATTCAGTTTGATCTCATTAAGAAATGTGTAAGAAACCTTTTTCTTCTCCCCTTTTTTGACTTATTTTCATTTACTATACATTAGTATTTCTACTTGATATTATTTTCAGGAAATCTTTTGTACATTTTGATGTGTTGATATCTGGTAGCTCAAAAATCTGCCAGATTACCTCCCTTCATCATTTGAAAACATGTTACCGGTACTTGATAGCAAATTTTATAAATTTTGATGGTACATTTGTTTTTAATTTGTGAAAAAGGATGTTGACCTAAATAATTCTTATCATTAGCACTTTGAAAAAAAAAAAGTTTAAACATTAAAGCATTTGTTTTAAAAAAAATCCCATATACAATGATGTATAATGAATCTGCTAATTTGTTATTTTACAGACGTGTAAAGTCTTAAGAGAAATAGACGACTGCTTTATTGTAAACCTCCAGATGAAATATCACGTTTCAAGACAACTTATGTCAAATAAGTACCTTATATATAAATGTGCAAAGAAATTTGAGAAACAATTTGAAAAAGGGAGGTAATCTTGTGGGCTGCCATTATGTCACATGACAAGTGCTAAACGTTTTACAGGTTCATGAGATTGAATTTTCATAATGACAAAAAAAAATGTCAGTTTGGATTTTAAAACAAACTATTCTTGTTCTTGTTGTACAGTGTGGAAGAAGTATGATGGATGTAGATGATTTGATGTTTTATTTCTCAGATAATGTCAATTAAGAAGGGTTAAACGAGGGCGTGACTATTTAGTGTATATATGGTATTTGTCTCCTAGGTATGTTGTGTGTGCTCTTGTTGATAGATAAATATTACTTTTTATACCTTAACTATTAAATTAATTCAATAAGTATTGTATACATAAGAAAAAAATCTAACTTTGTACTAAGGATTTAGTTGTAGATCAAAATCCAAGATGGCTGATTGTAAATGTGTAAGCTCCCATAATAAAAGGCTTTTTATAATTTTTAGATTTGTTTAAATCTGTAAATTATTTTTTTATTGATGATTTGAAGATAAAAGGGATGTTTAATTCGCTGTCCATACATTTCTAGTCAAGTCTGTGTCTGCTTTCAAAGTACTGACTTAATAAATAATAAGTCAAATATTTCTATCCAATTGTATTCTCAAATCTTCTATTTCTATAATTTATTTATAAATCTTGCTAAGATACCACATTTGATTTTATCTTTAGTTTAGTGAGTATGGCAATGTAAGTGAAACAATATATTTATAATTTACAATTTTCAAATGAACAATTTTTGGATTTGTATTTTTCTTTCCATTATTTTTTTTTTTTTACATAATTGTACTTGAATCGTTAAGTTTTGAATATTGATAAGAAAGTCCATTGAAGTTGGGAGTGTTTAATACAATATATTGTATATTGACAAAAAATCACACAAACGAGTCTTGTTAATCCAGCAAATCATGTCCAGTTATTTCAATATACAGGTAGCGTGGGTTTTTTTTGTTGTTTTTTTTTATTTCAGCTGAGGGATGTACATTTTCCAGTTAAAAAATGTTCAATTAATCTTGCCATTTTTCACTGGAATTGAATGGTCTCTGGATTAACAAGATTCCAGAGTTATTGTCATTTGAGTACGATTAGATTTGTTAAAATGTTGGAACAAACATCTATTCACTGATATTAAATGCTGTGTTTCACTCTCTGATATAGCCATTGTAATAATAATTAACAGCAATACTTTCCTCTAGGTTTTCAATTTCATACTGAATATTGTTTTGCAAGACCAGAGAAATATAAAAGGGCAACAAGAACATTTTATTACAGGGAAATGTAGCATTGTTTTAACTGTAAAATGAAGTGAAGGCCATTTTTTATTTAAATTTTATTTTTTTCCACATTTTTCTTACGTATTCTTCAAAGGAAATTTTGCCAAATTCCCTAAGGATATCATACTACATTTCCACTAGTATTGATTTAGTTTATATTGTGTGTTATTGAATGTAAATTTCAAAAATGATTTATAATTTGCAGCATTTCTTCTTTATATATAATGGACATAATGGACATAATATACACATACAATATTATAACCTTATTTGTCTGGATGCTTTGGTATGCTAAATACGAAAAGAAAATTTCAAAAAATAAAATCAAAAAATATTCAGATCATTCATCAGAAAGAATTCAGTAGAAATTGTAAAGAATTTTGTTCATGAATACAAACATTTAGGAAATCAACTTTTTTCGAATGTTCAGTCAAACTTCCATAAATCGGACTTCAAAGATTCAAATTACTTGATGTGTCGAACTTAAGGAGCTGTCCGGATTTCCCCCCCCCCCCCCCCCCCCTCATATCTAACACTAATGATATACCACTTGCAAGTTGAATTTCTAGCTGGTTCGAATTATAATCCTGGTCGGATCATTATGAAAACATTGAAAATAACAACGAATGAATAAAAAAAAATATGAATAGCACAAGAACATTGAAACGTCATGCGGTCAATTTAACACCTAAGCGTGCAAATTACAGCGTATGAACCAATATAAAAATATTTCTCTATTGACTTTCAATGCAACACTTAAAGATTTTTTCTTGCCCTGTGTTCCGTCGTTTAACAATCCCATTCAGTCTTATGCAGTATATACAGGATCTCAGAGATTTTCAAAGTTCAACATTCATGATTCGAAGTCTCTGTGTTTAATTTTTTTTCTGATGGTCTCGCAAAATTTTTAAAATATTGAAGTTTAACTGTATTTTGTTCTTCATTCATATTTCATATTTCTATGCTCAGACAATCAGGATAGCAAATTCATTTGTAGCTAAAGATATAGCCTTGATTTTATTTTGCAGCGACCAAATTGTCCAGACACATATTGTTTCAGTTCGTAATATATATATTGCTTGAATATACTGCCCCAATCCTATATAATATCTGTCAATTTTTTTAGTGACAGTTTGATTTGAGTGCTTATTTATATTTTATTCACTGCCCTCAAGGTCATCTGAATGTATAATCAATGTCAACGATTTATTTTTCTCTCTCTGTTTTAACACAATTTTTGTGCTATCCTGAAAATCTACTTATAATTATTGTGACCACATAATTTTTTTACCAAAATTCCAGGAAAGATGTGGGAGAAAAATGAGTCGATCATTACAAGGGTAAAATGTCTGTATCCCCCATACCTGTGCGTGATAACCTCTTATATCAGCATACCGGTAGCGTTCACTATAGTAAAATGTTATCATATTTGAAATTAATTATTTGACTGAAAAAATATTTTGGTTGCCTACTAACATAATTCATTTTATAAGAGCCAAAAACTGAAGATTAAGTGGACGTTTCTTTTCACATTAATATCAGATCTGAAGAAATTGTCTTATTCAGTTCATTTAGAAATAGGACCATGATGTATTAGGGCTTGGTTTGATATGGCTTGAACTAGTATAAACATCATTTATTTACAAAATAAAATATGTAACTTTTCATCTCTTGTTGAGTTACCGACTCCAAAGAAATGGATTTGCTTTCATTTTGATTTGAACCTGTATTACGAGACTACCTGTATTAAGAGACCACTTGTATCAAGAGACCATTTGTATTAAGAGACAACTTGTGTTAAGAGACCACTTGTATTAAGAGACCACCAGTATTAAGAGACCACTTGTATTAATTAAGGGCCACCTGTATTAAGAGACCACTTGTATAGAGAGACCACCTGTGTTAAGAGACTACTTGTGTTAAGAGACCACTTGTATTGAGAAACCACCTGTATTAAGAGATTAACTGTGTTAAGAGATCACTTGTGTTGTGAGACTTTCGAAACTTACGACGGTAACAATAGTTTTAAAGTAAATGTCCGTGTAGACTGGAAAAATACAATATTTATTTATATATAGCAATGGTTATCCAACAATAACTAACATGTAACAATATTTTGGATAATTTATTGATCAAATGATTTCTTATCACAAAAGTTTAAAAAAACGTAACAGACCCACCGATCCAAATTGCCAATGGTTTGTATGTCAGTATTTTTCATTGGATAGCTATCTTGCCTATAACTAGAGAGCTAGAGGTCAAGACCTGACGGAGTTTGAACTGACCGGTATACAGCTTTCTTTTTTACCTATTCATTGATCATCAGTCATAGGACATTTTTCTCGTGGCTCTTATATAATTCATTAAGATCAGTTGAGTTAAAGCTGAGCAAAACAATATATGGTCTCCAAAACCCAGCTAAATCTTACAAAGTACCTATTTCGGTTTATGATGGACAATGTTTAAACTGACAAGTACAACAAATGGCCAAGACCAGCAAAGGTATAGCTAATAAATGCAACAACCATCGCGCAAAATTCCTCAAAAGACCACTGAACAATCGTAATCCACAATGTTAAAATTATCCAATGGTCATGGTCAGGACAGTTCCTTTCGAGACAAACTGTGGTAAAAATAGATCCATAAAAATATTCATAAGAAACTTAAATCGATAATATGACTGATATATCCGCGTTGTCACTCATGAAATGACATTCATAAAAATTTGGTCCCATCATCGACCTTTATCTGTTGGAGCAATCATCGGAAACCAGAACAATTCATCTGTAAAAATAAAAAAATAAAAAAATTGCAAGTTCTTATTTCAGTTCGGAAGTTTTATGATACACAGGGACCTGAGAATTTATTACAGTTATATTTGGACCTGATCTGAGGTGTTTCCAGGGTAATTTTATAAAAAAAAAATGTAAATCCAACACAATCAAGTTCCTTCCTTTCACTCTCAAAAATGGGGAATTTATTATTATTCTATAAAGTGACCGTTTTCGAAGACTGGAATTTTCAGTCCAAAAGACTACCTGCGTAGCGAGGGACGGTACCAGTAGTTCATCTGACACTGGATGCACAGTGGAAACAGAACCATATGCTTCTCCTCAAAATGACTGCAGTATCTTCTCTCCCAGTACAGGTCATCCCGTGGCAACTCTTTGGTCAACAACACGGACAACTCGAGTCCGTAGTTGAACAGCCTCATGCATGGCCTTTGACCACTCCGCGAAATTGGCTTCGCCTGCGAGATCCGGTGGGTTTCCTTAAGCATATTCGATTGACCTGACAAGGGGCAGTTCTGCAGTGACGGCAGAGGGATGGGCCTTTAAAAACAAATATGTACGTTACGAGAGAGGGAAGTACCTGTTCACGTAGATATAGGTTACTGCATGGGGAAGGGCACGTGCATGTAGCTATATGTATGCTATGACAGAGCAAACCAAAAATGAATTTTATGGCAAAACTAAGATTCCCCCTAAAAAAAAATCAAAAACTCCGATAAATCGATTTTGTAAACGTTGGTACACAGCCAGAAAGGCAGACTATGCATTTTCAAATCACCCTAGTGAAATGAAAGTCTGTCATCAATATCATATACATACGTTAAAAAAATGAAAATGATTGCAAATTCACAATGAAGCATTTTACAGTAAACAGCTTTATCGAAAACAAAAACCGGAAAAAAATGGTGTCGAATTGCAATGAACCAGATTAAATTATTTGTTCAGAAGATACATAATACTTACGAGTGTTCCAATCTTGGAACATTGAAACTATGGCTGACCATTTCTCTTTGGCGCTGTTTTCAATCGACGGCGCATAGCCCAACAGCAGGGTTAGAAGCATGCACAGTAGGGTACAAAATACCTCAGTCCCATTTCGCTAAAATAAATCACAAGTTTCACCAAGTTTCAGTTTTAGATGAGCCAAAATGGTCGCGATTGGAGAATGTACTATCCTCAGTTACCCATGTTGGATCGGCAGGCATTGGACATACTTTCACGATTTCAGCTGCGGTGAAATAATGGAACAGTCTTTGGGCGTGCCCTGGCTCGGGCTCCACGCTAGAGAAATCAGTTTACAAAAGCAATGTGGCAAAAATAGAATTTGATTAAAGTGACTGTCTTTATGTATTACCGAAATAAAATCAACATTGAAAAGGACTATATGTGGTCGATGTGAAATTTGAAAAATAAACTGTCCAAACATACCACGTAAGGTTACGAAGCACAACAGGACCTTGTTGTATGGCGCTGAGCATTACCACATATATCAAGAATAACTTGATATTCATTGTGGTAATGTAAGACTTAATATAAAATGTAAATCAAAGGGGAGAGACGGCATGCAATTGTGTTTGTCATATGGTCTAAAGTACACCGGAGACACATAATTATATTTGCTTGATTTTGTGGTATAGTCTGCAATGAATGCTTTCTGCTCAAAAATTTGCTCAGGATGAAATTAAAGTGTTTCAAACTGTCTCGAGATTTACTCGATGAACACGTAGTAGGCCTATGTATAGCAAGGACGGATGCAGGATATTTGTATAAAGGGTGAGCAACATGAGCAGGATGAGCATCATCATCGAATTCCAGTTATGATATATAGGATCTTACATGAGTTTCCATTTCATATGAGATTTATGAAACGAGTTTAAGACTGATTATTTTCAATTTAGCGAGCTAAAATGAAAAATTCGTGACGAGTTTCATAAATTTCATGTTAAATGAAATCGAGAGTTAGATCCTTTTTATCACATAATCAAGACATTTATTCGTGTAAAACGACAATTTGCATGCAACTTTGAAATGTAAAAAGCCATCATTTTGACTCCAATGCGTAAGTCTGTGACGTCATGTACTTGTCCTAGGCGTGACGTCACAATTGAAACAATTGAAATATACCAATCAAAGGGATGAAGGGTCATAGGCCTAGTACATGGGTTAATATGCAAAAAATATGACATGGGTATATTCACTGGATAACACAGTCGTTATGTGATAAATGGATATAATATGTTGACTGATATGTGTCGTTTCGTTATTTAACGATATTTATCGTCTTCTCGCCTCGACAATTATCTTCTTTTATTTTGCAGCGAAATAACGAAACAACGAAAAAGCATTGGCGAAAATGTTAACAAGGTCGCTGTTTAGCGAAATATTTCTCGTCGCTAATTATCTTTTTTTAGGTGAAATCAATTATCTTAGTTGCGTCTCCCCGCGAATTATCTCCTCGAAATAATGATCATTAGCGAGGGAAAATATGCTGGGTCTGTTATAAATAGGGACCTAATATTTTCGTTATTTCATGTATATTTCGTTACTACGCTCATAGACCTAAATTAACTTAGGTCTCTGCTACGCTGCGAAAAGTCAATATTTATCGGAACCATAAGATGATTAACAACGAAATGGCACATATCAGCATATATATATAAAAAAAAAGCCTCTTCGCCTCGCTCCGCTCTACATGTACATCCGTATGACATTTTCTTGATACACTGCTCATATTTCACGAAGAATATTCAATCTGCTCTGTCACCTATCTAGACAGTTTAATTACCTATTGGGTTCAACTCCGCTTCTTTTTCTTATATTTATTAATGATATTGGTGACAGTATAAATGTAATATTTTCACTATTTGCTGATGATACATCATTATATCTCATTGTGCAAATATTCTTAATGATAATCTTACAAAACTCCAGCACACTGTCTGAGTACGTATGACTTGTTAAATTTAACCCATCAAAAACTGAAACATTAATATTGAATAAGTAAGAAAAAAAATAAAACCCCATCATCATCCTTTATTAATGAACAATATTCCTCTTCAGCAGGTCAACTCCCATAGACACATTGGAGCTGAATTGCCTGCAAATGGGGGCGGGGGGGGGGGGGGGGGGGGGNTTAAAGTAAACAGTTGCCTAGATCTTACACAATTGTTATATTTTCATGGCAGTGACAATTATAAAAGGCAAACCCTAGGCTAAATGTAGGACTGCTTTTATATGTCTCTGAAATATATCACTAACTCGGTAAATGTTACAGGCCCCTGTGCTGTCTACTTTTTGGAAATCTTCTTTTAGGGAAACCACGGAACGTCATCTGTTTACAAATGAATGCCTGAGCAACAGTTATGTGTTAGACGAATTATCATACAGGAATCTTGAATGAAATGAAACTTTCAGACTGAAAAAGTAGCGACATGCCGAGTCTATGTATTAGTTGATACACATTCATCTTACGAAAGGTAAGAGGAGTACATATTTGTGTCAAATAAGGAAGGCCTCGACACCAACAAGACTAGTGTGTAAAACGTCACAGTGGTGTGAGGTGTCAATGAAACAAAAATTAAGCGATTCAAATCGTCTAGAACTTTGTGTTTCTTTCTTTTATAGCCTCAAGGGTTTCTAGGCCCTTTTGCATTTTTACTTACATGCAGCATGGAGTGGCCAGTGTCGGAGCTAAATAAACAAGTTATAGCAAAATATAAAAATATAAAAGCAATGTGTTTCACCACGGACTTATATAGATAATCTTATTCCGTGGTTTCACTTTGTTAACCAACAATTTTAGAATTAATTTATCTTGAGAGACAGTCAATACTTATAATTTGAATGCACATGTTTCATGTGACAGAAATAAAAATAAAATCAGAATTTATTAAATTATTTCATTCCTTTGTTTCAGGACGGTAGGTAGCTTGTAAACTATGGGGTCATTTGCTAGTCAATTTATGACACCTGATGGAGAAGAGATTGCTCAACATACACATCCTAGCAAGCCCAACTGGATCACTGTTCATGCCATCACTGCCGAGTGTAAGTAAAGTCATTAGATGTTATAGTAAATATCTTAAATTTTATGAATGCTTCTATTGAAAACATTTTTTTTTTTTTTTTAAATCCACAATGGGCAAGGACAAGCCTCAGACAAAACTTTTTCTCACTGCGAGTAGTTCATTAAAGGAACAACCCACCCAAGAGCGTAGTGACAGCACCGACCATATAAAACACTTCTAAGAATAGGATAAATAATCATGGGGCTTTACAGGAACTTTTGTATGGTATATTTTTTATTCCTAATCTTTCTGATATATTAATAACAGTGAGTATAGCTGAGACGGAGCGTTTGTGGCTGAGGTTTCAACAACTGGGGTGTAACAGGGATGGAATTATCACGGAAGAATTGGCTGGCCAAACGTCGGTTTCATCTGATGCATTTTCAAGAAATGTAAGTGTTAATGGTTAATAAATTTCAAAATGTGAAATTATTTTCAAAATCTGTCTGCTAAATAGTGTAATTGTGTCACACGCATATACAATTGCATAAGAGGTAATTTAAGGTCAAAGGCACTGTGTATTACTATAAATAATGTTTCAATTTCCAAACAATGACCTTAGTTTCTTTGGGTTTAGAGTATTCAAGCTATATTCATGTGTATACCTTCTGACAGAATTGAGAATCATGAAACTGCATTTGAGTTCAATGGTCAAGGTCATTTAAGCATTGAACTGATTTCAGTTGGCATTCATAGGCAATATAGGAAGCGCTAGCGTGCATAATTGAATTTGCCTTTGTCCAGTTGGAATTCATTTTTCCTATGAATGCCAACTGAAAGCAGTTCAATACTTATATTTACCATTTTTGGAATATGTTCATCTCATAGAAAATTCAATTACATTTACTTTTATTCAACATTTAGTTCAAATAATGTATATGTCTTGTATGCTTGTTCAATGAATAGAACAGCCATCGCCCAGGGAGGGTCAGTGGTATCCAATGTAACAATTATGACATCATAATAATGATGACGCCAACAATCGGTCCATGGCATTAATAACTGTATATGAATGCCAACTGAATTTGGTAGGGTTATATAGTGGCAATGCCATACGATGGTAAATATTGTTTCTTAACATATAATTGGATTATACAAATCTGAATGAAGAAAATTATTTCTTTCATTACCCATGTCATTTTGAGCTTATTTTGATAACCACATATTTAATAAATATGTAACTTAATTCTGATTTGTCCATTTGTCTCTTTCAGATACTGAAAAAATTCACACTGAGCCAAACAAAGAATATAACATTTGAGAACTTTCTCCGTGGATTGAAATGGTGTGAGATAGCAGACTTGAATGATAAACTCAGAGGTAGGCATAAACACGGCATTGATCAAACTTAACGTAGACAGCCATCATGTAACACACTGTAGAACTATGGGAATCATTAAATTTAATTTCATTGACCAAGATTTCTCGCACCTGAGACAGGGATATCCCACATTCCCAGTTCTAGATTTTACTATTCCACCTGATCTGTCTGGCACCTTTATGTGACATTTCATAGAATTTTCACACAATGATGTACAGTATTCATCCGAGCGCTAATGTAAGTGATACACTTGTACATTTTTAATAATAAAATTTTGGTTTTTTGTTATATGTACAGTACTCACTATTGTTTTGATGTTTTTAGATATCTAATATCGTAAATAAAATACAATATACACTGTGAAATAGGTTTTGTCCCTTGTAAGGATGGACTATATTGTTTATGTGGAAGTATTCAAACATAGCTTACATAAAGAAGTGAAGAGGCCATCTTATTTGAGGCCCGCACAGACTATAGGAATATAGAGTAGTTTTTCGAACTAAAAGGTGCGAGATTTCTTTTTTACCTGTAGCTGAGCAAGAATGGGTCATCTAAGTCTTGGGCTAAAAACTCGGTAATTTTCAACATTATGAACCCGAACAAACTAAATCAGACAGTCGTTTGTAAATTTTTTGATTGGATTTTATTTTAAAAACACTTTAAATTTGCTATTGCAAAGATGCAGAACCCTGAAATAAAATCCTAGTTACATGTGTAAAAATACAATTATTGGATCTTTAATGAGTGATTAAGACAGTTCTGGTATCTATAGCCTTACTTCTGTTCATTTTCACGCAGGAATTTTCCGATTATTGAATAATGGAAACCCTGTTCCGAAGACCACCTTTGTGAAAATATTGGAACGTGTCTACACCAACCCAAACGATAAAAAGGTTTGTTTCTTTATTTTTGATTTTCATTATTGAGGAAAGCCAGTAAATGTCCTGTAGATAACATGCTGGATATCTGAAGATGAGACTCACAACTCTTTCCATAAATCATAAATCATAATTTAGCCTCATTCCAGTACTTGATATTCAATATAAAATTTAAAAAAAATGGTAGAAAAAATATTCAAGACAAAAACAATACTACATAGTGTATGTACTAATTTTCTGTTTAAGAGTTATATAATTATTTTAACAAATTCACCAAATGTATTCATTTCAACATAACAAAAATAGTACTTAAATTCTTGCATTCTACAATATAACATGAAATTTTCGCTGTGTACAAACATATTCGTGATTTTCATGGTTACTATGGATTCAGGGAAATAAATACAACAACTTTTATTGATATACTTGACAACTGTTTGTTTACATGTTGTAACTATGAAAATTTGTACCATGAAAAGATGTAAATGGCTTTGAACCAAGTAATAAAATACCCGCAAATATTTCATGATACATAATATTGTTTAAAAAGAGGAAGAATTGGGTTAAGACACTTCTATAACATCGCAGTTCCTCATAATATACAGGTAAATTCTTAGAACCTTCAGTTGTCACCATCAAGTTTTGCTATTTAAAAAAAAAAATCAAATTTTACATTTTTTTTGAAACTTCCCATGCTTCCAATTAAATTTTCAATTTTACTGCTTTTAAGGCCTCTTTCAAACTTCCCAAAATTCTTAATAAATTTACAATATTCAGGAATAATTTAATCTTGCTTGTAACAAGCATTTTCGTTGGCTTAAAAATTTATGTTTTCAGCCCATAACGTAAAAAAATGACATCACCATTCGCAACGTCGCTTTTGATTAGCTGATACAGCGGCGTAATAGTTTCCAAGAGAAAAAAGTCCATCTTTAATAAAAGTGGATTTCCACAGGGATTGTGTATAGTAGATTAAATTATAAGGATTGACCTGAATACGGTATATATTTCATGTTATGGAACTACATGTATAACACAATTGTTTTATTGATATACAAATGCAAACATTTTTGATAAAAAAGGGACATTTGATTTCTCTTGTAGGATGTGCAGAGGGTGTCAGACATTGTGTACAAACATATGGATAAAAAGAACAAAGGTAATTAATTAACTTATTAATAAGTCTCAATATTTTTCAAATCTAATTGAGGAATAGCCAGGATTATTTTTTGGGTTATACAGTATATACCGAAAGAATATGTGCACTTTAAATAAAGCCGCGAAGCACACATTTTTTTCTCTGTTTGTACCGTATAACCCACAAAATCATCATAGTAATCCCTTATAATTTTATTTTAAAAGACAGACAACACATTATTAGTTCAAAAGTCAAATTATTATTTCTTTACTTTTTTTTGGGAAAAGTTATTGCCCTTTTCCCAAAAAAGTACTTTTCTGTACAACTTTTCTACAAAAGTATTTCGTAGAGTTCAAATAGACAATGAAACTTTTTTGACTTTACCAGTATATACAGTTGTTATCAACTATGAAATTTGTTTTTCTTTCTGGGTGAAGGATTTAAGTTAGTCTATTACACAACCCGACTCTAGTCCTAAGAAGATGTAGGGTTGCTATTTTTAGCATACAACTTTCGTCTTCTAATTTCTATAGCCATGATGACTGAAGACCAGTTCGTTACCGGGATCAGGAACGTTGTTCCAGACGACACACTAGAGGATTTGCTTCTGTTTGAGGTCCTTCCGACCTACATGAAGGAACGCCTTCACAGTCAACTTCCAGAGGTAGGTATCCCAAACGACATCAAAGAAAGTTACAAAAAAGTTGTAGTCATGTCATACAACTGTCCCATTTATATAGTATCCTAGAAATATAAAAAGGCAAGCGATTTACAACAATAACAAAGCAATTCCAAGATCCCATTTGTTTTACCATTTAATTATAAAGGCTGTTCAAAATTGATTTCTTATTTCATCAGAAATTATTTAAAAACAAGGAATCAAATTCAATTTCCAATAAATATGCAGAGGATTTTTACAGGAAATTTGAGAAAATACAAACAAAAAAAAAACAAAAAAAAAGGTAGCTTAAAACCATGCAGGCATCCACAATTTCTAAATGGCAGTCATGGGCTTGAAAACAGGGCTTGAAAATTATTTGTGCTTGACTTCAAGTAAAATGAAAGTCATTTCTCTTCATGTTGAATATTAGACTTTCAGTAGATTGTGTAAGCTATGTGATAGGTACAATGTCCTGGCTGGAGAAATCGTCAATCAATGTCTGGAAAGCTGCATGAACCCTGTACAAAATTGTTCCCTATTACAGTATCAAGCTGCAGGACGATTCCAGAAGGTTGGTTATCACCCCTTTGTAAGAACTCGCAAAATCAATCAATGGAAATGTGTGAAAGCACAGGGGTCCATATTTTCAACATACTGACGTGCATGGTATTTCTCTTTTTGTAAGAACTCTTCAATTCACTCATTGCGCATGTGTGGATTGTGGAAATTATCAGGGGGCTACACTGGTCCTCGCACAGGTACACAACACATAGACTAAAAGATTTCAACACACGTTTTCAACTAATGAAAGTCACATAAAAACTTCTCAGTACATCATTTGCAGTAACTATGGAAACATCAAGATAGTAATTAATGTCTCTTAAAAGATTCCTGTCCCTATGCAGGTAAACACTAGAGAATTTCACTGTGTTTTTTTTTAGCTCACCTGGTCCAAAGGACTGGTGAGCTTATGCCATGGTGGGGCATCCGCTGTCCGTCTGTCTGGTAACTTTTCCTTGAAAAGTGGATTTTGACAAAATTTGGCCTGGTGCATCCTCAGCCAAAGGGGACTCAATCTTGTATAAATTGACGGAGGGTGTGCCGCTGGGCATGGGGAGGGGGGACACAATAGGGGAAATTAACAAACTTTAATGTTTAGAATCAACCCCACCGCATCATGTCTTAAAATAATTGTTGACCTGTACTGCAATGTTATAGCGACCATCTGCCCGGAGTCTGTGACTGACCGTTTAAAGTGACCACTGTGGACCGGACAGGTAGCTTAGTCTAGTGTGGTTCTGGTGGTGTGATATGAAAATATTTTAATTTACATTCAACAAAAAATGATTTTTGAAATAAAAATGTTTTCTGTGATGTTGTTTGATTGATTTGTTTTAATAATTAATTTGAAAATAACTTTTTTTGTGATATTTTTGAGATGAAATGAAAATGATTTTGTAATGTTATGTATAACTGAATACCGTGTACTTGACTTTTAAGTGCCATTTGAATGTTTGTGATTTTGATAAAAACTAACAGAGTGTGCATTGTATAATGAGAGATAATTAGTAAGTAATTTATTTAGCTCAAAGGGCCAAGTGGGCTAATGCCAAGGGACAGCTGTCTTGTCGGCTTTCGTCAACTTTTCTTTGAAATAGGACTTGTCCACAAGAACAGTTGAAGCGATTTCAACCAAATTTCAATCTGGGACATATCATTGTATGGTAAGGGACCTGAGTAATTATTCTAGCGAAGGTGTTTTCAACTTTTATTTTTCAATTTAACAAGGAAAGCAAGCCAAAATTAATAAACAAAAAGTGTGTGGGGGTGGCAACTGAACTGAAAACGGAAAAGATGTTGAGGCAGTGACTTCTTGGTGGTTTTTAATAGAGGTTCATGATTACCAAACTTCATGTGCCGTCACATCAAGGGTGAAAGTGTGTCATGCACCAAAACTAGGTCACTGTGACCTATATTTTCTCAGCCATTTAACATTTTCTACACAGTCAACACTCAATAAATAGGTCATTATCACATAGATACTTTCACACGTCTTTCAGCCATGCATTTTTCTCCAGTTATTTTCCAGATATTTTCAAGTGCATTCTTTTGACCATCTCATCAATCGATGACAACATGAGTTTTTGTGTTCTCCTAAAAATAACAAAGAAATACAAATTGGCAGCAGACTTTTTTGTAGCATTGCTCAGTACCTTATTTAGTTAATTTTGAAAATATGGTCACTGTATAATGTTGAAGAATATTAAAAACAATTGATGTCAAATAAAAACATTGAAAAATTGAAGAACTGTTTAGAGCCAGGCAAACAATGAACCGGTTCCAACACATCAAGTGTGTTACAAATGCATTCTCATTACATAGTTTAATCTAGAGACAAGTCTTTGAGAAGTCCAAAAACATGGTCCCTGAACATAGGTAGTCTCTAAATACAGGTTTTTTTTAATCAAAAGAGGTCTCTTAACACAGGTGGTCTCTGAATACAGGTGATCTCTTAACACAGGTGGTCTCTGAATACAGGTGATCTCTTAATACAGTTGATCTCTTAATACACCTTCATTTTATTTAAAGTGGTCTCTTAACACAGATGGACTCTTAATAAAGGTTCATCTTATTTAAAATGGTCTCTTAACACAGGTGGTCTCTTAATAAAGGTTCATCTTATTTAAAATGGTCTCTTAACATAATTGGTCTCTTGATAAAGGTTCATTTTATTTAAAATGGTCTCTTAACACAGTTGGTCTCTTAGTAGAAGTGGTCTTTTGATCAGGCTCATTTGTATAGAAGGGTGTCATTAATGTGTTCAAGTTGTTGTCAACTCAATTTACAGTCTTTTATTAATTGCCCTGTTATTTGAGTTGTTTTTACAAATAAAAATGTCTTGAAGTTTCAGAATAATATTTATGCAACAAATTTCTACCAGCAAAGTTGATGAAAAATGTCATCACACAGGTGTTTTTTTTACCTGGTAAGATAATACCTGGGAATGAGATTGATTGATTGATGTTTTATCGCCAAGGTCATATGACCACAGAAAATGGTACTACCCATTTTGTCTGGCCATAAAAATAGAAAAATAGTACATTGAAAAACGAACTTTTGTGTGTAATAGCTATTATATTCACTAACAATTTTGTGTGTGAAAATTGACCAGAATACAGTTATATACTTCACATAGTCACTGGATTTGGTAAACCACAATATGGCCATGTCAGAAAATTAATACACCGCCTATATGCCATTAATTGTTTGAGTTTAGTTGAAACTCCTTGGAATAATTAACTTCAAAATGAGAGTGTTCAATTTTATCTCAACTGTACTTGGTTTAAATTAATTTTAAACCAAATATCTAATTGAAAAAAAGGAATTACTGGTATATAATTTTATTCTGAGTGATAATGTAAAAGAACATGGCAACTTTTGGTATGAAACATTTCATTTCTTAGGATTCCTCAAGTCATGTATTTCCTGTCACAAGTGATATACACTGTAAATTACTTCTTTTTCATGAGAAATATATTATTGCCTTAACTTTCCAGGAGATTTATTCAAATGTCTTGCAATGTTTATTGAAATGAACTGATACTACTGTATGTCGGGAAATTTTTGACCTCGTTTAAATTTCGCCTTTTTTTCATCCTCTGCTATGAGGGCGAATTTCTCATCACAGCGAACATTAGTAAACAAGGAAACAAACATTGAAAGGTTCACTAGGCAAAATTTCTTGTGGTACAGTTTTTGTTCCCCCCCCCCCCCTCACCCCAATTAAAATCTGAAAAATAAGGTACCAGGTAGTGGAAGAACAACCCTGAAAATAAGAACCCATGAAACTTGAGTGAATTACAGTATTGTAATGTCTGAAATATCCTTAAGGTGATTTAACTCATTCACCCCTGAAGACACATTTGAACTCTTCCAATTCAAAGGTTGGAATAGGTCATTATGAAATATCAGGGGTGAGTTAATGAGTTAATAATTCCATATTTTCCTCTTTTATTGTTTGAGATTTTTTTCATAGAATTTGAGATTGTCCTAGACTAGTTCTACAAGACTACCTGAAGCTATGGCAACTGGTTAAAGTTCAATTTGGTTTCAGTTTAAAAGTGAAGGACCCACCCCAGACCCTGGCGGGAGGCAGATCCCCTCGGAGGCAGCTCTACGGCAGGTAGCGGAAAAAATCCACAGACGTGATTGGTTGAGGACTGCCAATAAACTTGGACTGACCAATGAGGTTGTGAGCGAAATCAAAGCTAATGCGTCCGACTCTAAACAACAGGTATTAATTCAGAGAAATGTTAATTTTATTTCCAATAACTATTAAAGTTGAAGTAGTAAACATTCTATAGTTATTAATCAGCAAATTTCTGGTAACATTTCCTATAGTGAATTAAATTATTTGCTATAAAAAAAAATGTTATACCTGGTAATGTCAGCGCTACTTCCTCAAGAAATGCCATTTTACCCCATTACCCCATTACCCCATTACCCCCCATTACCCCATTACCCCTTGAAAACTTGTGACAAATTCTTTCCTGGACACCAATTATGTCACCCTGGTAAAATGGGCCCATTAAATGACTGAGCTTCACATGCCAGCGTTCAAACTCCGATCTAGAGTTTCTATGTCAAGTACATGTTCTAGTAATATGCCAAAATAAAGTTATAAAAACATAGTCAATACAATTACATCATTAAGTAGAGATGCATTGAACAGCTATGTAATTAGTGCCAAATTCTGTGTGTTTCAAGGCATACACCATGCTGAGGAGATGGAAGGAACAAGAAGGAGCCCACGCTTACACAAGTGTCCTGGAACGAGCTCTGAAGGACTCGGGCATGACGGAGGCTGCATATGCCTTGATGTTATAACTTCACCTTCTCCTACAAGAATCGTGACACAGTTACTGCAATGCGTATTCTGAAGAACTCGGGCATGTCGGAGGCTGCGTAGGCCTTGATGCTACAGCTTCAACTTACCAGACCAATATTGTGACCTCACTGCATGCTTTTAACTCATTCACCCCTGAACTTTTATAATGAACCATTCCAACCTTTGAATTGGAATAGTTCAAATGTGTCTTCAGGGGTAAATGAGTTAAAGGACTTGGGCATGGTGGAATCTGCATACAGCATTTTGCTATAAAATTGACCTCTTTCCAATATCAGAAAACAGCTACTTTATTGCATGCTCCGAAGGACTCGGCAAGACCGAGACAGCTTATGCCTTGTTGCTTTAAATGTACCTTTTTCTATGTATTGATGAAACAGCTACTTTTCTGCTTGTTCTGAAAGACAGAAGCGGAATACATCGCGATGGTATACTTAATAATCTCAACTGTTTGTGTGCACATCCTGTCATGGCTTTTTTTGTTAAACAAATTTTTCTTAAGGCTAAGTTTGTCTTGAACACAGACAGGAATTGAAAACTTACAATTTTGCGTGCAGTCTTTGAGTGCAATTTGGTGAAACGTCTCTATGATTTTTGACAGCTGACTTTACCTGATTCGGTCCACTGTTGCTCTGCGAGTTATTTTCACCGGTTTAGAGTCGAGACACCGGTCATTTACACTATTTGCTTGACAAAGGAAACAGATGTTTTCGAAAGCTCACAAAATAAGTTTTCTATTCCTGTTTGTGTTAAAAACAAACTTAGCCCTTATACCAAAGTGATGAATTTTATTCCGAAATTTTTGTGGTCATAAGGTGCATGGTCAATTTGAACGATGTTAATATACATATATATATTCACTGTACAAATGTTTCACTCAATATTCCACTTTAATCAAGAAAATTGCAAAAGTTGATACAAAACTACAGTTTCATGTTATAATGTTATTCCAAACCTCTCACATTATTTTCATCATTCAGGTACTTGAATGACCTCTGAATGACTTTGGCATGACAGAAACTGTCTTTGTCCTGATGTGGTATCACAGTATTGAATACACTTTCAAACGTCAGTTCATAAAACTACTATGTTGCATTTCTTTTTCGTTAATACTAAAACAGCAATAATGTTATTATGGTAAAGTTTTTTGACTCTATGCTCAAGATATTTATGTGCAATCTTGAGAACAAGTTTTGTTTTGATATTTCACGTTATTGATGAAAGCATCCCCCCTAAACTTTCAATTGGATGACAGATTTTACAGATTATTTGATGAACTGTAGTTGTGTTCAGTGTATAGAGTAAGTTATTTCTCTGGAATACTGGATACAGGGAAATTTATGCCCAGTCATATATTCACACAAAGTGTAAATTGCACCCTTCACATGTAATCACTATCGAGGGTAAATTGTGTGAATTATATTTACTGTCATGATAAATGTTCCCCGATTGCAGAAGGCGAAAAAAGGCGAAAATTGACCTGCATCAAAAATATGGCAGTATATAGTAGTTCAGGGTTTGAAACCTGTTCCATGAATGGCTAAGATCTAATGGGAGGCTGATTGAGTTGTCAGTTTGCTGAAGTTTTCACGGGTTTTAAAACTTTTTTCTTGTTGTTCTACACACTATCAGAGGCATACTTCTTTGCCTTTGAGTATCTCCTATGCAAGGTTTCAAGATGGTGCAATAAATGGCTCTCAGGTTTTCAGGTTCCTCCTGTCTTCATATGACATCGGCTGTCGTGAGCATTAAACCCCATACAAACGAAACCCAGGTTCATCTTGGCGGAAGTTTTTTTTTTAATTTTTACTCAAGTGTCATTTTTTTGAGGGGCTGCAGTGGCAAAGTGGTTAAGGCGTCTGACATTCTACTACCACTAGCCCTCCATCTCTGGGTCGCAGGTTTGAGGCCTACGTAGGACAGTCGCCAGGTACTGGTCGTAGGTCGGTGATTTTTCTCCAGGAACTCAAGCTTTCCTCCACAACCAAAACCTAGCTGGCATGTCCTTAAATGACCGTAGCTGTTATTAGGACGTAAAACACAAACAAACCAAATTTTTCTCTGAAGTGCTATGTAACCGTCTAAATATTTAATTTTAGACAAATTAAATTGGTTTACCTAGTAAATAATGTCTTGTTAAAGTTAAATAACACTAAAACATAGCATATAGAAATGATAAATATATCTGGTTTGTGTATTAAGATTAATTGTTTAATGATGGAATATATTTGAATAATCTGTACACATTAATGTGTTCATTAAATTAAACTCAAAATTTTGAGATATAATTATTTTTTCAAGGAATATAATTCCGTAAGTGTTCTCATAGCCAGTACTATTGAAAAAGGCAAAATAGAGTTATCTCCCTTCTCAAGAAAATATATAGTTATGTCCCTTCTGAAAATAGTTTCATATATTATTTCCAAATATGCAAATGAGTCTTTGACCAAGGCTAGAAACTTGAAACATAACTATAAGTCAAATTTATGATTTTGTAGGGTATGTGGTAGGGTGGGGCGTTTCATTTTGTTGTGAACAAAAGAAAGAAATCCACTGTATTTAACTTTAAAATCCATTCATTTTTTGATAAAAAAAATCAAAAAATTGTTCTCTGGGATTTGAACTGAGGACTCACTGGTCATTAGTCCAACACCTTACCAACTTGGCAATTCAGGATGTGTCATTGTAATAGTAACATTTTGTATATTTGATGTTGGCATTTAGTGGATTTTTTTTTTAATTGCTAAGGTCTTCTTGCTTTCCATAGTTCAGTCAATGCCTTTATTTATTGCAATATATCTGTCATGATTTGTTATTGTTTGCAGTTTTATAATTGTTCTTGCAGTCAATAAATGAATTCAATTTCTGTGATATAAATAGAACTATTATAGAAGTACAGTGTCTTCCATCCATGATAGAACTAGATTACATGTCCACAAATATTTTAACTTGTACAATGTACCTTGTATTCCAAGAAATATTGTGACACAAGAATTTGTATAATGTAGATTCCGCTTAATATAACTTCTCATTTGTCAGAGAAAACATGATATTAACAGGAACGTATTATGCAAACAGAAATAAATATTTATCAAAGTTTTATTTTGTTGTCTTTTAAGAGATTTTTTTTAAGTCTATATAATGTTGAGATCTATATCTTCAAGGTCTTCCGACCTTACTTCAGGACCATGCACTCATACACTACTCCTTCAGGCCCCAGTTCCTCAAAATTGGTTAGGGAACATTTTAAAATATTAATACAAGAACATCTCGTATCATTTCAATGCTATAGATTAGTTAACCTTTTTTACCACGGTAGAACATAATGGACTAAACCAGATCAATGAATGGTAGAGTTTACTTAAACTACATAGGGGTGAAAGAGTTTAGACAGATCAGATGGATGTGTTGTAAGGATTTATTTTGCTTTGAAAGCCCTTGCTTCTTATTGAAGACCATTTGCATTTTTCACTAACCACTGGTTAAGCTAACCAGCCTTTGAGCAACCCGGGGTAGGATGTATTCATTAAGCATGCTTAAACAAATTCAAAACTGCAACCGATCAGTTTCACGTTTTTTATTATCATTTCAATGCAAGTCAGTGACATAAAATTATAATCAAAAATAAACTGGGACAAATGGGTACTACAAAGTCAAACATATACATACAACGGGATATTTGTAAGTCATACAATATGGGATGGGTGTAGAATTTAATGGCGCACATTATACCGTGTAGTAGTTATGGAATAATCTTATAAGTAATAGCAAAGATTCTAATATGAAATAATCTTATGAGTAATAGCATATAGGTTATATGAAGTAATTTCATACATTTTAGCAAAGACTTAATAAATGCAATTAATATGATGAAAAGATCTTTTTTTGCTGAAAATAATATCATTTTGTGCATGTCTTTTTAGTGTACCTACTCTACTAGCTGCTACTTCTGAGAAAATTTTCCCTATCCCCTGTCAGCAAAGAAACAGTTACAGTTTTCATTTTCTGTCAAATTTTTTTTTTTCAAAAGGTTTTTTTTTTTGTGTTCAAAAAATAGCTATTGTGTCCTGAATTTAATTCCATATTAATGCTTTCCCTATCATCATCACTTATCCAACACTACAACTTTTCTTTACTCTAAATATTCATTTGTTTCCAAATGAAATTAAAAAGAACAATTTCATATGGAAGTATCTTTACTGTACACATACATCAACAGCCTTGTAAAAGTTTGTTTTTTTTTAAATAAAAACAATCTCGGTCTTAAACATCTGCCCCAGCTAAACCTGGGCCATTTTCATCTGAACGGTTGAACCAGTCGGACCAGAGTTGTTTGTTTATTAAATAAGGTCGGACTTGTAATCTGATGCTGCTTTCAGACGTGCCTTGGATTCATAACCGACATTGTTACATTTATGAACGGACAAACCGGTTGTTCCGCATAAACAAACAGGCCCCTGTAAAACCAAATTATGCAAGCTATATCAGTACAAGTACTTCAGAAATTGCTTTAACCCTTTCACTACTGTAGTCCAAAATGGACTCATCCAGATCAATGCATGGTAGAAATTACTAAAGTTACATAGGGTTGAAGGGTTAAGAAAACATTTATGTTTCCCACACTTTAGATTCTAAAAAAATTCATGAACAAACATATATGATCAAAGGAGTTGTATAGAAAAAAAAAAAATATTGGTAAAAACTTATTTAGAAGTTGTAGACTTGTATGTTGAAAGGTATTTCTACCTCCTAAATGATAAACTTGGCAAAGGAATAAGACGATATTACAGCCAGTCCAAAGGTAAAAATTTCTTACACCGTCGCAGTTTAACCTATTTACATACCTACTGTAAACATTGAAATAGTTAAAGCGGGATTTCAAACAATAAAGACACAAGTTGATAAAACTAAAATTCAAAAGTATATTAGAGTAGTACATAAGATATATTTTAAAGATGTAAAATGCAATATATTGGTACATGTTATATAACTACTGTACTTTACCAGTTTTTAGCCCATTACCTTGTCCAACAGATTTACACAATGACCAGTAGTCCTGTAAGATTAAGACTTATCACTAAGCATGACTGGTCGGCCTCTAAAGACTTATCCCTCAGCATGACTGGTCGGCCTCTAAAGACTTATCCCTAAGCATGACTGGTCGGCCTCTAAAGACTTGCCACTAAGCATGACTGGTCGGCCTCTAAAGACTTGCCACTAAGCATGACTGGTCGGCCTCTAAAGACTTACCACTCAGCATGACTGGTCGGCCTCTAAAGACTTATCACTAAGCATGACTGGTCGGCCTCTAAAGACTTACCACTAAGCATGACTGGTCGGCCTCTAAAGACTTACCACTCAGCATGACTGGTCGGCCTCTAAAGACTTATCACTCAGCATGACTGGTCGGCCTCTAAAGACTTATCACTAAGCATGACTGGTCGGCCTCTAAAGACTTATCACT